TGTCGCTATTGCTTCCTTTATTTCATGTGCTTTTGCTGATGTAGCTGTTTAAGACGATGTGTACCTACTATTGTAGGCTGTAGCTGTCCTTCATAATTGCTATCAGTTGTTTAAACTCTAATGTCAAAAGTAAAGCATATGCGGCTCACAACGTTAGCAAGCGCAGTTTAGAGGCTCATTTACAGTTTACTAATAACCAGTGTTCTCGTGTTTCCAAACCTCGAAGTGTAATCCGTATTTTTCCTACTCGCTCCTTGACGGCTGCGATACTTGCAACACGATCCTTAAATATGTGTAATAGACATGCCGGCCGCCAGCACATCCCCGACCGTGACCCGGTGCTGACCTCTATCCCCTCTCCACGCTCTGACCGTGACCTTATGCTGGTACCTGTCCCTTTTCGCCCTCCTCCTGTGACCCCATGCTGACCTCTGTCCTCTCCCCACCGTCTGTCCGTGACCCTGTGCTGACCTCTGGCTCTAACAGTGACCCCGTGACCCCGTGCTGACCTCTGTCTCTATCCCCTCTCCACCCTCTGACCGTGACCCAATGCTGACCTCTGCCCCTTCCCGCCCTCTGATCTTGACCCCGTGCTGACCTCGGACTGTGATGACTGTCCCTTCCCGCCTTCTGACCGTGACCCCGTGCTGACCTCTGACCGTGACCCGTGCTGACCTCTGACCGTGACCCGTGCTGACCTCTGCCCCCCTCTCGCCCCGGGCAGGTACGCGCGCAAGAAGAAGGACAAGGACACGTCTCTGCCGACGATGGTGAAGCTCGAGTACAGCTCGTCGGGCGGCCGCGGCGACGAGGACTGGGAGCGCGACGGCCGGGAGCGCTCCGACCCGCCGACGGCCGGCGTGGGCCTGGGCTGGCTGGGCGGACTGGGCTCGCCACGCGCCGTCACGCCGCAGTGCAGCGCCGACGTGTAGCCGCCCCCGCCCCCGCCCCCGCCCCCGGCGGACGGGCGGGGACAGCCGGGCCACGTGCCATGTGCCAACAGCCGCGCGCCGAGCGCGGCAAGATCTGAGGGCTGGAGAGCTCCCGAGAGCAGTGTGAGGGGTCGCGGAGCCCCGACAAAATACGAGTTCTGGTCGCTATGCCGTGTAGGGCGTACCGCTTGTGAGTAGCACAGCTAACAGTGCGTAGGGGTATTGTACGGAGGTCTAACAGCTAGTGCCGAGAGCGCGAGACAGATGCTTTAGATCTGAGTCCAAGTTTCAGGTCAGTATATATTGCCGTTACTGTGAGGCCGCTCGCCCAGCCGTCGGTCGTGTCCTATGTATTTATGTCCGGCCGGGTGTCGGCTCGGCCGGTCCGCGCGGCGGCCGCGTACTTATAGAGCGGGTCTGCGTGAGCGGGGGTTTGCCAAGTACTTATAGCGGCGCCAGCCGGGTCAGAGAAGTATTCCCGGCGAGTGTGCCAGAGAGAGAACCGCGCCTCCGTGGCGCCCTGTACATAATCATGCACGCCGTGCCGGCGCTCATTCCGCAGACGAGTATCAGCTACATTCCAGGGCCGGGCGCCCCGCCCACCCGCCCGCCCGCCATGTGTGTATGACGTGCCGTTGTGAAGTGTTTATCGGATGTTTGTGCCGCGCGCGGGCTCAGCGGGTCAGCCTACCTCCGGTCGGCTGACCCGGCCCGGGCCGCCGGCTCACTATACATACATGTTATCTCGTGTCTGTGTATAACCTATGATGTGCGTGCGCCACCGCGGCGCCCGCGAGGCAGAGGCCGCCGGCGCCCTTCTTTCCTACTGAATCCATGCGTGGGTGCATATTTGGTTGTAATTTGTGGTTTTCTCTCCCTCCCTTTGAGTGTTGATAGCTCTGCGTTGTTCCGGCTGCTCCCAGCCCCAGCGCCGGGTGGTGTTTCGATGAACTTTGTATGTGTGCTCGCCCATGAATTGAGTATTTTGACTGCGTCTTCCCTGTGCCCTGTCACTGTTTTTTTTCCGGCCCCCATTACTGGCAGAAACGCCCTAATCAGTTAGATCTCGGTAATGTTTTCGTTCGTTGGCCATAGCCGTTCAATTGTGGCTGACCTGGCGTCAATGCTGCGCAGCAAAGCCGATCGGTATAAGGTGACACCGACGCAATGTCTCTGTAAAGATTATTCATTGGACGTAGCGGGCTCTCAGAAAAGTCACTTCTGAAAGTCGTTACACTGTCTGTTTGTTTGATATCGGTCCGGCTGGGTGGCTCGTATACCGGTCGGTTTTGCTGTGCGTCTGTGACCGGTCGCCCCCCCCCCCCCCCCCTATATCCGTGGCTGGTGCCCGTGCCGGGCCCGCCGTTCACCGCGCCCGCGCCGTGTATGACAATCTGATCTCCCGTGAGCTGCGTGTGTCCAGTGGCGAGAGGAGCGCGCTGTGCCGCCGGCCACCGGCCGCCACCGCGCACACACCGCGCCGTGCCAGCAATAAATGCACCAGTCGAGCCGTGACCGCTGCCTTTGGAGAGCGTTAGGGATATGGGGGAACACCAGATAGGAATGACCTGCCAGGGCGCGTTACAGGGCGAACCCCGCCCCTGGCGGGGTTCGCCCTGTAACGCGCCGGATGGCTTCGCCAGTGTCCCATCAGTGTGCTACCTGGAACTGAGCACTTGTGACGATAACCAGCGGCTCCTGGGATTTACTTGTTCTGGAATTTCGCTGTGGGGCTTGAATTTTTCTCTACTGGGTCACATGGAGCTCGATTGTCTTGGTAACGTGTCGACGCCCTGGACTTGGAGTCGACAAGATCAGCGACTGAACAGGACACTACCATCGCAGCTGAGGCGGTACTTTGGGCAAAAACTGGCCGTGGGAGTGTCCGGTCGCCGACATGGCGCGGTTGCGATACAGGAAACTGGCAAACTCAGCCCGTAAGAACTCAACCGGTTTTGGAGCGTCACTGGTATAACGCCACGGCGCAGCCTGCCCCAGTCGGCTGCACAGTTAGCCCCGGGACGGTGCTGCGGACAGGCCCATCGTTCGACGATCCGCCGTACAGCCGCACCAGTCCGTTCGACGAACCGTTCTGCAGTGGCGGCGCAGACTGAAACATAAACAGCGGCGAGCTGGGCCGGCAGCGTGCATCAGTTTTCGTTGGAGTGTTTGCGCGCAGTGCGTTCGTGTGTCCTTCAGAGGCGCTAGTGAGTCCGTCAGAGGTGTGTCATTGAGCGAGTCTGTCGCGCGTGGGAGGCGTCCATCACTCCGTGACGACGGTAGGTGTCTGCGCTGCTGACGGAAGCGAAGAGTTGAATAGACGGCGCCGGACTCTTGGTCCCTCAAATCGAGACCAAAACTTCGCCTTCCAGCGTTTCGGAGTCTCGGATCCGTGCCCGGCCCTTCACTGACAGAGCTCTGACCGGGCGCTTCCCTCCGATGCGATGGGAGCCGACCGCGGCACGGTGCGCCGCTCGCTGGCGCTGGTCGGCGCGCTGCTGCTGCTGCTGCTGGGCTCGCTGGCGGCGCTGGGCGGCGCGCTGGTGACGGGCGCGGCGGCGCGCACCGCGCTGCTGGTGGCCGCCGGCGTACACCTGGTGGCCAGCTCGGCGCTGACGGTGGGCGTGGCCAGCCGGCGGCGGCCGCTGCTGCTGGCCGGCCTCACGTGGCTGGCCGTGCTGACGGCGGCGGCGCTCTACGCCAGCTGCTCGGCCTGGCCCGGCTGCGGCTGGCACCTGGCCGTGGCGCTGCTGGCGCTGGGCTACCTGCTGCTCACGCTGGCGGCCGTGCTGCGCTACTACCACTCGCTGCAGCCGACCGACGGCGGCGACCGCCAGCTACCCTACAGCGCCATGGAGGAGACCGCCGCCGGCACAGAGATGGTCCTCCTGACCGCCTCCGGCCGGGCGCAGACGGGCGAGTCGGCCACCGACCGACTGGTGGCCCGGTGACCGAGGGATATCTGTGGCCGTGTGCAGTGAGACGAAAGGCTCTGTGAGCGTATTCAGTGACTGGCTGATGCGTGATCCGGTCCGCATATGGCCTGATGTAGCCCGTGAGATTGGTGATGAAGGGGGACGGTGTGCCCGTGATTGCTGAAGGAGGGACCCGTGTGATCGGTCACGGAGGGACCGTGTGCCTGTGGTTGCTGAGGAACCCGTGTGCCCGTAACTGCTGACGGAGGAACCGTGTGTCCGTGATTGCTGACGGAGGGACCCGCGTGCCTTTGATTGCTGACGGAGGAACCCGTGTCCGCGCGCCCGTGATTGCTGACGGACGGACCCGCGTGCCTGTAACTGCTGACGGAGGGACCCGTGTGATCGGTGACGGAGGAACCGTGTGCCCGTGATTGCTGACGGAGGAACCCGTGTCCGTGTGCCCGTGATTGCTGACGGAGGAACCCGTGTCCGTGTGCCCGTTACTGCTGACGGAGGGACAGGTGTTCCGCGTGGTGCTGGTGAGGTCAATGACCGAATCCATGGAGGCTGTGAAATGCTGTGCTGTGGCAGAACGGTCGCCATACACAGAGGTGACGAGGGTGCCGTGTTTGATGCTGTATGTAACTGGGCAGAGTGGGATCATTGACACTGGCACTGCGTTGCTGGCCCGTTACCATTTACTGAAATCCCACCTTATAACCTGAGAACTGAGTAATCGTAAACTCAGATACGGGATGCCTAAATGTGGCAAGCTGCGACCCAATTTGTATCGCAGAATACCGTGTATCGTAAATAAAACAGTGGTGCGCGTCGCCTAATCAGGAAGAGACCCGTCAAGAGACCACCGATCAGGGCATGTTGTCAGACACGCCCCGACAGACGTCGTCTCGTCAAACAATGATACAGGCGTCACAGGTCCCAGAAATGTTGCTGACGCTGAGTGACGCACCAATTACTGGTGACGGGACCACCAGGCACCGAGAACGGAAAACCGCGCGTCCTTAACGCAAGGTCACGAGCCAGTCGGCGAACAAACAACAGCTGGGCAGCAGAGTCGCAGAATGCAGCAAAATCCGGCTCACGAAACACCGTCGCAATAACTACGTCATCCTACGCAGCAAACATGACCTAGGACCCAATTAAATCTGTATTTCGTAGTCACATTATAAAAGCATCGTCGACTGAGTGCGACTATTTATTTGACAAAATAATTACTACGAAAAATACATTACACAGCGCGGTATTAGCCCAGCGGTATCTTTGTGCACGTAGGACAAACGTGGCAGCGCGGCGCGCCCGGCGTCCGCCGGCCCTGAGGTGGCCGCCGTCGGCCGTCGTCGGCCGCGCGCCCGGCGTACAGACTAGAAAAAAACAGGGGACAGCGCCGTCCGCGCCGTCTCGGCCGCCGCTCGCGCGCGCGCAGCCGGTAAAGCGCTAGATTTGCATTAAATACTCTGCGCGCCGGCGGCGGCAGCAGGTATTAGGGTCCGCTGCCGCCGGCCGGCGCGCCGTTAGAACCAAGGCAACAACTGGCACACGCACACCAGATCAAATGGTATCAGCTCACAACGCGCTCACACCCGATTTGGAGCCAATCTCGCGGGTCGGCGGTACAAAACTAAAGCCTCACGCGCGCGCGCTCCTCGCTCCCGAGAGGTGCGCGCCGCACCGTGTCGATGTGTTGAGATTCGGTATCGCTGCCGGCCGCTGCCAGCTGTGCTCCCTAGCCGAGCGCGCCGTCCAGCAGACACGAGCCCAGGAACAGCTCGTCCTCCTTGTCCAGCGCCGTCTTCTGTAACGGAGCGTACACACTGACGGCCGGCGCAGCTGGGGACGCCCAGGAGAGCCTAGGAAGTCTCCACGAACTATGTACACACAACAAAGGCACACGATATGGACACCATTCAGGTTCGGGCAACACAAAACGCAAAACATGACAACACAAAACAAGACGACGTCGATCAAGCCAAATCAAACAAGAAAACACAACAATAGCATCTGAAAATGAGCCGATATTCAGGCAAACTAATAATATACACATCTTATTGCAACTGAATGAAAGAACAGCGCAAATTTTCACTATGGATCCGTTGGTAGCAAAGCCTACCATCAAAACACTGGCGAAGTCCAAACAAAACAATAAACACAGAACGCCCAAAAAGGGCCAATCGGCAGCTCATAGTGCCAGCACTTACCACAGCTTCATACTCCATGGCCGCTGGCTAGCGGCACCGTATGCATTAAAAGGAACAGAAGGAATAAGTATCACATCCGGGGAGTAACGTTTGACAGACAGCGGAGGAGATATAGATAAGATAGATAGATAGATAGAGGTGCGGCTATAGGGCAGGGCTGGGAGCATATCGGCGCAACACTAGCTATTGAGCAGCTTCCACGTCGGTGGCCCACGTGATAACGGGTAACGACTTGGCCTGTGGAAACAGACGGCGGTCACAGTCTGTGGGCCGCGGCCACACCGGCACCGCTGGCCGCGCCACTCGCTGGCCACACCAGCTGGTCACGCTTACTGTTCTCTTCACTGACCAGGCGACACGAGGGAGCGGGGGCCAAGAGGGGAGGCGCAGCATAGTCGAGCATACAGCGAGCACAGAGCGCGGGAACTCGGCGGCACGAGCGCGTGGCAGATAGACGGCGCGCTGCACGACGATAGGCCGGGAGAGCAGCGGCTCAGAGCGGCAGGCCTCGCCGTAAGAACACTCACCGTGAGCAGGTTGACGCCGGCGTTCTTATGTCGGCTCGACTCCGTGTCGAAATGGATGCCCAGCTTGTGAGCGACCGTCAAGTGCATGTCATTCTCTAAAGCCTCGTCTTCCTGCGCAGGGCATAGTGGGTTAGTGTGGACGTGCGCCGGCCAGTCGCTCGCAGCGGTTAGAGCAAGCGGCGGCGGTAGGAGGCAGACAGAGTGACGGGCAGAGGGAGCCGGTCAGTCGGCCGCCGAGCGTCACGGATATGTTTGTATGCGTCACACGGACCCCAGCTGCACCGGTCCGTGACGGTCGTGACGGTTCAGCAGCCGTCACGGACAAGGCCAGCGCGTCACGCACCAGCGGCGGCGATGGCGGAGCGACCGCACTGCTGGGAACCGCCTATAACAAAGCTAGCCCAGCCCCACCGCACCGAGGCTCGGTTCCCCGGCAGGTCGGCTCCGACCCGTTGTTACGCCGTGTTTGTTGATACGCGACGCTACACTGACCATCACGCTCTAACCCCACACCACTGACCGTTAGACCGGGATATTTTAGTGAGCCCACTCACGATAAAAACGCCCGTTACGAGAGCCACACTACTGCCACCAAACCACCATTAGTCACACAGTGTGCCGGGCTCGGCGCTCTCGCAGTTCCCGGTCCCCCGCCGCCACCGTCCCTCCCTCAGCCGGAGCGCCGCGCAGTCCGGCTCGGAGCTCCACTCACCGCGATCCACGGGTGGATGAGCACCTCCTCGGCCGAGAACCGGGCGTCCGGCTCCACCTGCAGCATGGCCGTGATGAGCTCGCGCGCCGCGTCCGACACATCGTCCCAGAACGGCGGCGTGAACTCAAACTCGCCAGAGAGGATGCGGTCGAACAGCTCCTCCTGGTTGTTGTCGGCCGACGCGAACGGCGGGAAGCCGCACAGCAGGATGTAGGTGATGACGCCCGCCGCCCAGATGTCCACCTGGAGGAAGTCGGAGAGCGGCCGGCCGGCGGGGTCAGGGAGACGCTGGGCTACAGGGCGGGACAGCGATTAACGAACAGAACACACCACCCACATTCTGATCACAGGCCAGTTTCCCGGCCACCCCCTCGTCCCCCCGTCCCACCTTGACGCCGTAGCCGACTCCGCTGAGGATCTCGGGCGCCACGTAGGTGGGCGTGCCGCAGACGGCGTACAAGGGGCCCGTCACCTCCTGGGCCAGACCGAAGTCGCCCAGCTTCAGGCTCTTGACGCCGCCGGGCCGCTCGACCAGCAGCAGGTTCTCCGGCTTGATGTCGCGGTGCACGATGTCCAGGTGGTGCAGGTAGGAGAGTGCCGAGGCCAGGTCGCGCACCATGTTACTGGCGTCCTTCTCCGTGTACTTGGTCGTGGTCGAGATGGCGTCGAACAGATCGCCGCCCTGCCGACCGGGGAACGGAATGTCAGATAAGCAGGACGGGCAGGGCGCCTATTTCGGGCTCATACCATGATTGATGAGCTAACATCACCCAGTCATTAAATCAATAATGTGTCGACAGCATGTGACGAAACAATCACGAATGTCATTTATCAATATCACCATAAAACATGAAATAATTTATCCTAGCATTGGAGTTGATAATTCATGAGCTGTCGCCGGCCTTAGTCCGTGCCAGTATTTAGCTGGATCCCAGCTCGCCGAACGGCTCACCACTCTACCCCACAGGGCCAATGCTGTGCGTCAGTCTGCAGCGCGCGGGCGGTTACCTTGACCAGCTCCATGACGAGGTAGAGCTCCGCGGGAAAGTCGAACTCCTCCACCAGCTGGATGATGTTGGGGTGGTGCACCCGCCGCAGGATCGACACCTCGTTCTCGATCATCTGCTCCTTCCCCCGGCACTTGGACTTGTCGATGGCCTTGAGCGCGTGCTCAGCACCAGAGGACCTGTGTACGGACAGCAGCGGGCGTTAGGAGTCGCGCCAAACGTGTCACCCACACAACCAACGGTAAAAACAGACAGCACCAGCAGCCTTCGACCCGAAAGAGCCCCATAACAGTCGGCTATCCAAAGAAAACACCGACGCGACTCGGAACTACAACACTCACAGCGCTAATGTATCGTAACGATCAGCAAACAATCCGGCCTCCTCTCCACTCAGCCCACCCACAGTCTATACAGTTTCCCGATTGTAGTTCTCTCCACTCAGCTCACTCATCCATCGTACGTCAGCCCAGCTCCCCGGCACCCGTCGGCCGGCCCATACGCACCTGTGCACACACTCGCACACCACGGCGAAGTTGCCGTCGCCGATCTTGCGGCCGACCCAGTACTTTTCCCGCACGCGGGCCGGGCAGTCGACGCCGCTCTCACTGGGGGGCGGCGCCGCTCCGTTCGTCTGGCCAGAGGCGAGGAACGGCGACTTGGCGCGCAGCCGGCGGCGCGCGCGCGGCGTGGCCAGCGTGCTGTAGCCGTCGGGTGCGCCGGCCGGTCCGGCCATCGAGGCGCGGCCGCCCGGCGCGCGCGCAGACACCGCGCGCCGGCCGCTGGACGAGCGGAAGGCCGAGGGATGCTCGGTGCCCGGCTCGAGCACGTGCTTACTGCCCGCCTGCCGGCAGACCGGTCAGAGGAGTCAGCGGGAGCACGGGCCAACCGAGGCCGTGCCGAAACGCACACTGCAAACTACGCTCAAAGTCCCCTCCCACTCTCCCAGTCTTTCTCCGCCACAGATCCACATTACAGCGCGAGGCCACGGGGAATAATCAGCCTTAGAAACTGCGACTATGAACATAATCGATCGAACAATAATAATCAGCCTCAGTGTTCCGACAGTTAGTTAACCATCTAGCTGCACGCAGCTCGGTGTCATATCAACCTCGGTTCATTAAATGACAGCAACAATCAGCGGCCATGTCAATTATGCTTACCACGTCCCTCACGGTCAACTGATATTAAGCAGATAGCGTATATTCAAGTACCACTAGCCTGATGTGGCACATGACCACCATGACTCACGGCCCACCTGCGTGAGCTCGGCCGATTTCCACTGACCTGGCCTATCAGCCACTTCATTTCGTCCGGGTGCAGGTCAAAGTCGTCCGGACGATGCTTCTCGTGGCCGTACGCGATGAACAGAGAATCGTTGTCAAAGAAATCTTCTAGTTCCCGAATCTGCAATGGATAGTGAAATGAGGTCGAACAAAAAAACTAAGCACAATAATACTGATCCCAGAACACTAGCTGCCCTCGGATGATAAGTTTCATCCAAAACGGCTTAATGAATGACGAGTTCACGTTCAGCGATGAGGATGACAATAGCAAAGCCGAGTGCTTCGTTGAGCACAACATTACATCAGTAACTCAAAATGAATACACAGAACATAGAAACAATTGAATCAGCACATTCTGACCATCTACCTCGAGATAACCGTAAGCGTATTCTATCCCTTGGCAGTCCTACCTGTCGGCCTTCGACGGTGAAGATTTTCCTCACGACACCCGAGTCGAGTTTGACGGCGCGCGACAGCTCCTGCAGCACCTGCTCGAACGAGTGCGCCGTCTTCTTGTTGAGCAGCATGCGCACGAGCCGGCGCGGCCGGGTGCCGCTGCGTATCACGGTGATCAGCTTGGGGTGGATGAAGTCCCGCGAGCCGCCGCCGGCCGTCATCCGCTCGCTCGACTCGGTCTGCATGTCCTGCCGGGGCGGCCGGGAGCCGGGTCGGGTCAGCGCCGGCATCGCGCCAGAGCCGCGCACGGCACCGTCAGCTCCGCAGACCGCACCCAGAGCCGGGACAGAGACGGCAGAGAGCCGCCGGCGGCGAGAGGTCCACTCTACCGACACCGCCGCTCCACGGGCCGCTCAATACTGGCCCGGCGACAGGCAGTTGTCCCGCTGCCCTGCAGGAAACCCTCCCCGACGGTACGCTGACTCACGGGTCGATACCTCACGAGTCACGGACCGCCCCTCACCTGGCTTCACCCCCCCCCCCCCCCACCCCCACCACCACCCAACACACACGGGGACCCACCTGCGCGCTGCCAGAGTGCTGCGGCGGCGTGTGCGCCGGCGAGGGCTGGCCGCGCCGCGTGTTCCACGTCGGGTCCTGGCTGCCCAGGTAGTCGAGCTTCTTGAAGGTGTCCGTGCTGGAGCAGACGTAGTTCTGTCCCTCGAGGATGTCGTCCAGGCTGTTGACCTTCATGCCGTCCAGTGTGAAGATGACGCGCACGCCCATCGGCAGCGCGGCGCGGCTCACCACCGAGGAGCGAGTCAGGTCGGCCAGCAGGCTGTCGAACGTGCGGTAACGGTCCGGCGGCACCGCGAACGCCAGACCCTTGAAGAAACGGTCGCCGTTCCGGTAGAAGCGCACCTGAAACAGCGGACGCGTGAGATCAGCGAATGGTGAGCGAAAGTACACGGAGCACAATGGAGAACTGTTACATTATCAAGAAAAGATATCCACTTTCTCAATGCAAGATATAACCAGACATGATGCTTCAGGCGAAAGCCATCTCAACTTATTTATAATTGAAAGTTAATAAAGCCCAGTAGCATCAGCCAATGTCTCAACTATAGGCAGGCTTCAAAAGTAGCAGCCCTCGTCCTCCCAGCAGGCCGGGCTGCACGGGGTTACCTTTTTGGCCCGTTTGTCGGCGGACATTTTGACGAGCGATGTGCGCGTGCTGGCGCCCGTGGGCGTCTGCTGGCCGGCCGGACTGAGGCGTGGCGTCGAGTCGCCGCCCGTGTCGCCGTGCTCCTCCGAGCCGTAACCGTTAGTGTCGCCGGCCACCATCTCGGCGCCTCTCCACGATAATTTACCTGCAGACACACAGCCGTCAATCTCCGCTCATTACAGGGTGTCCGGAAATTGATTGCACACTCTTTTAGCACGGAATATATAGTCTACGACATGGAATGGACAGGAGCTTCGATTAGCATGGCCACGTGTGTAACCAAAAATCAAGGATTTTGCCGGATGAATATCCGGAGATCCGGAGGATGCGGATGAATTTCTTTCCACGTGGGTTTACATTTTCATATATTTTCTTAACATTTCATACATTTTTTCTTAACAATCGTCGAATGATTCGTCTTCAAGGGCCAAGTCGTAACTGTGACTTTGAAATGGTGACCGTATATTTTATTGGAAACTTTTGGCACACATTGTTACAGGAGCATTTATACATATTCATTGCATTACAGTTTTAACATTAGTCTAAAATTAAATGAAATTCGATGAAATTCGTCTAAAACTTGAAGATGAGGAAGTGCGAGCACTCGCGCTCTACTTTCAGGGTCCCAGGGCTATATATGGCCTTGGTCCCAGGGCGTATCGGTTCCTACAAAAACAGTACGTCCTTCCCCATCCTCGAACTCTGCGGAAGATGGAAAAAATACAGATGCGACCTGGCTTTCATGACGCTATCTTGGCTCTCATAAAAGAGAAGTTCGCCGGAGCAAGTGCCAAGGACAAGCTGTGCATCATTTCGTTCGACGAAATGCAGCTGAAACCAAGGTTGGCCTACCAGCGGGGTGATGACGTCATCGAGGGCTTCACTGATCATGGCTCTCTCTGCCGCGCCAATGCCTGCGCCGACCACGCCTTGGTCATGATGGTGCGGGGCGTCAGTGTCACCAAACGCTGGAAACAGCCCATCGGTTTCTTTCTGACTTCCGGAACGACCAAGGCCGTTGTGCAGCAGCAGCTGTTAACACAGTGTGTCCAACGTGTAACAACAGCGGGATTCACTGTGCTAGCTACAACTTGTGACATGCCAAAGAACAACCAGGCGACCTACATACTGCTCGGAGCTGCGGAAACCGGCTTGTTCACCGTGGACGGGCACGAGGTTGCTGCTCTGTATGACGTGCCTCACATCTTCAAATGCATACGAAATGCATTAATGAAATACGATATTGAAGTAGACGGTGAAGTAGCCTCTTGGAGTCATTTAGAAACACTCTATGCACTGGAATGCGCTTCTTCCCCACGGGCTGCTCCAAAACTAAGCCAGAAACACATCAGGCCAAACAGCTTTGAAAAATGAAAGTCAGCTATGCCCTACAGGTGATGAGCCGGACAGTAGCAGCAGCAATCACATTGCATGCGACCCACGGCAAGCTCCCGCGCACTGCACTCCCGACTGCTACTCTCCTGCTGCGCCTCAACGACCTGCCCGATGTGCTAAACTCTTCCGCCCGGTTCGACCCCTGCTCAAAGCGACGCGCGATATCCAGCCTCCATCCAGCAACGGCGGGAGAACACATGCAGTTTCTTCAGTAGAGCGACGCCTGGCTGCAGCGGTGGACGGTCGGTGGCGGCGCCAGCATCGACTCCATTCGAGGACTGCGACTTAAACGATAAAAGGCGTGGTGAAAATCTGGGACTTGTGTCAGGCTGCTGGGTGCACGTTCCTGTGCACTCGCCGCTTAAACCAAGATCCAAGCTACTGAAAATGAAAGAGTTTATCTCGGCAAAAATATGTATTAGGCACATACACGGTGCCTGTGTACCTATGTACTTATAATGAAGAAACATTATGACAACGTTTGAAACGTTTAACACCAGGGATGCGGAGCCGGAGCCGGAGTCGGAGCCGGAGCCGCCGGAGCCGGCATATTTTGCCCGGAGCCGGAGCCGGAGCCGTGAAACAAAATAGCCCGGAGCCGGAGCCGGAGCCGGAGCCGCCAAAAAAGGGGGCGACTCCGGCTCCTTTTTATTTTTTGAAGAGGAAAAAAATAATAATTGACCTAGTTCGGTTTGACAGTACAAGGCAGTAAAACATATGGTACTTACGTCATGGGCCATCAAGTGAATGAAAAAATCCGAATATCCCCAGTATCCCACAGTACGCAAACAACTTCCTGTTTGCTCTTCCCCCCCCCCCCACGTCTACTGCATCCCCTGAACATGAGGACCAGTCATCAGGTGACGGCCATTGTTTTCAAACCAGTGCAGTGGACTGCGACTCCCAGCACCGTCTCATCCCACACACCCCCCACCCCTCACCCCCAATGCAGCCGAGACGGGTGTCAGCTTACGATGGTTCACTGAACTCCGATTCGCGGCGACTGCGTTTCCAATGCCATCGCTTCCTAGCCCTTTGTTCTGCCAGTTCTCTCCGAGGTGCGTTTGCGCGGGGACGCGGTGAGCCGGTCATGGCAAAGAGTAACGCGTATAACCAATCCAATTTTTCTTCCACCCGTATTTAATTGATTGCGTAGGGGATGTACTGAGTCGGAGCCGGAGCCGCCGGAGCCGGAGCCGCCGGAGCCGGACCATTTTACTCGGAGCCGGAGCCGGAGCCGGAGCCGCCATAACATTTCACCCGGAGCCGGAGCCGGAGCCGGAGCCGATTTTTTTCTCCGGAGCCGGAGCCGGAGCCGGAGCCGTCTGAAATTTCCACGGCTCCGCATCCCTGTTTAACACAACCCCTCCTCTAAATGCATTTATGAAACGTGAGTGGGCCAATAAAGGCAACTAGTTTTAATTGTAACAAAAAAGCACTTCTGGGCACGTAAATGTGGTAAAATTCACCACCCCATATCGCCTCTACCGGAAACCCGTTTTAACCCCCGAAGGACATTGGCAATAGAGCAGGATCGTTCATGTTTATCAAAACAGCCGGCAACTTTCTATCGCAGCGAAAGGTTGGCTAGGACGAGAGTCATTGCTTTCACTGACTATGACAAACCTACTCGAACGGATTTCACCTAGGAAGTTACCAAACGAATGTTGGAAAATACATCAGCACCATGAAAAAACCTTACCCACCATCCTCAGCAACGCCGCCTCCTGCCGGCGTCCACCGGAAAAGGGCGGCAAACGAGCGAAGTTTAAATTGTCAGAAGTGATTCCAGACAGCGGCACCTGATTAGAATAAAATACACCTTCTCATATTGCCCCGGTACCCCGTTATGCCCCACCTTCTATTAGTTATAGGTCTGGCAACTATACTTTCATCCTCGTAAAGGAAGTAACCACAGCGAATCCGCACGACTAAATCATCAGGTCGCCAAAAACTCGGCAGTTACAGGAAATCTCGATCTTGTCCATTCCATGTCGTAGACTATATATTCCGTGCTTTTAGTACATTTGACAAGGAAACAAAACGAGCATGTTTTATGGTTTATTTGCCGATATACCCTCCACCCAGTCGCACACACTCCCTCATGCGGTCTGGCATGCCGCACATGAGGTTATCCAGTGTCTCCGCACTGATGCTGAGCCACGCTCGCTGGAGGTTCCTGATTAGCGCCTTCTCGGTGGTAGCCGGCTCCATCATATCGAGCTCGCTCTGCACGATAGCCCACACGTTCTCGATGGGCGACAGGTCAGGGCTGTTGCCCGGCCATACACCCTTCTCCCAAAACCCTGGGAGGTTGTCCCGGCACCACTGTTGAGTGCTGGTGGCGTGATGAGCCGGAGCGCCGTCTTGCTGGAAGATCGCCTCGGACATCTTCGGGAGCAGCTCGACCTGTGTTGGCGGCCCCGTCTTCCTCTTCCGCTTCATCGCCGACGCTGCCGACTTCTTCAGGACCTCCTCCACGTAGTACTGGGCCGTCACGGTCTGGCCGCGGGGGACGAAGTGGAGCTCCGACAGGCCCTGATGACCCATCATGGCCCAGACCATGACTCTCAGCGGCTGCTTCACCGTGTCGATGGCAGGCACTTCAGCGCTGCTGTGCGCCCAGACGCGCTCGTTCTGGCGATTCGGCGGGTGCATGAGCTCGAACACCGACTCATCGCTGAACAAGACGCGCCGCCAGTCCTGGATGGTCCAGTTCTTCCGCTCCCGGGCAAATGCCAGCCTTTTCCGCTTCTGGGCTTCGGTCAGTTTTGGCTGGCGGCGCAGTTTTAGCGGCTTGAGACCCAAGCACTTGGTCATGTAGTGGTGAACAGTGGTCTTCGACACCGGGTGACCCTTCTCAGTCAGCTTTTTGGCCAGTTTCCGCGTCGATTGGCGTCGTTTCAGCACGGCCTTGGCGAGCACGATTTTGGCCACTCTGCTCAGCACAGTCTTTCTCCCACGACCTTTACGATTCTCCAGTGATGCACCGCTGCGGTCGAGAGCTAGCCAGTAATGAAGGGTCCGGCGAGATACGCCCACTTGTCGGGCAACATCGCCTACCGTCATCCCGGCTTGAACCATCCCAACCGCGCGGTGGCGCGTCGTCAAAGTGTGCTCCCTCACCATTCCCGATATGGGGCCCGCGGGCCGCGCGCGAAGACTGCCTCTCGGAAAATGACCTGTGGCCGCTCACTGCGGCTCGGGTCAGGTCACCTGCTGGGTCACGTGATCAACTGACACTCTGGGGTGCCCGGGGGCGGGGTCGCGACCCTCCCTAACCGGTTTGGCGGGAGCATGTGCGAGATACGGGCATATGGACAGTGTGCAATCAATTTCCGGACACCCTGTACAGGGTGGGGCAGAAAGATTTACCTGTTTGTTTTCGGTCAATAACTCAAAAATTTATAAACGGATTTTGATAAAATTTTGCATGCAGCTTCCTAACTGACTCATGTATCAACATTATGATCCTTTTTGCATTTTGTAATATCTGTTGGCAAGCTATAGCGAAGATGACTAAGAGAGCCCAAATTGCGGCGCTGAAGTAGGTTGGCCATAGCTCCTGAAGCGTTGCCAAACAGCTCGGTGTTGCCGTAAAAACTGTTTGCAATGTAATTAAATGACTTAAAAAGACAGCCTTAGTGTCGACTAAGTCCATGCCAGGCAGAACAAGGGATATCTGCTTCAAAAAGCTGGTAAATATCGTGCACAAGAAGGTGTTTCAAGTTCTAGGCGAAGCATGCGCAAACTGCCAAGGGAACTCGGTGTTTCGCCAAGAACCGCCAGGAGAATCATAAACGACGGCTTGGGCTTCATGTCATACAGTGTGCAACATCGGCACCTAATTTCGGCGGGATCCAGGGAAAAGCGGCTACACAGGACCCAAAAGACATTGGAAGAGATGAGGAGCGCCGGTAACAAGGCATTCTTCTGGTCCAATGACAACATTTTCATGCTTGAGCCCCAGACACTCCCAAAGCGTCAGATTTTTGGCAGATGGTCCATCCAGCATTGATCCTGCTATTCGCACCATTTTTCGTCGCCAGCAGCTTGCTGGTGTCTTGGGTTGGGCTGCCGTCGCATCCGACGGCTCAAAAGGAACCTTGGTCTTCATCAAGGAGGCTGTAAAAGCTAATTTACAGGTTTAAGTCCATCTGCTGGAGAAACACGCTTTGCCTTGGGTCACTCAGTCGTTCCGAGACGGATACGTCTTCGTCCAGGACGGTGCGCCGCCGCAAACGGCCAACATCGCTCAACCGTGGTGGGAGACCCACATGCCTGGGTTCTGGGACAAAGACATTCGGCCATCATCAAGTCCAGACCTGAACCCGATGGACTTCGCAATCTGGACCATCTTGGAGAGGAGGGTGTGTGCAGCGGCACACAGCAGAATCGCCGCGCCCTGGAGCTGGCCCTCGAGACGGCACCGTCGAATCTTGGCGGGGACACCGTGCGGCGCTCGTGCCCCTCCGCAGAGGAACGTTTCGAGGCAGTGGTGAAGGACAAAGGTGACCCTATGGAGTCATAATGCCGTCGCTGAGATGTGTACATGTTACTGCATATATGTGCCAGAAATCAATTTCATATCTTTGTTCGGGGCCGAAATATTTAAGAAAATCAAGAGGTAAATCTTTCTGCCCCACCCTGTAGAAGCTAAAAGGATCGTCATCAAGGGAGCTAGGACGACGGATGTTCGTTTTATTTCGTCCTGGAAACACTACCAGACAGGCAGGTCTGTGGCGTTAGGGCGATGTGATATAGAGTCTCGCTGTCACGTGGATAGCATCCCGACAGCTGCATTGTCTGTGTGATGCCTCAGGATCTCTCTGAATGTTGATTAAGTTGCTGCTTTCCCCATCCAGTCCTTCTGGAAACAACTGGGGTGTCATGAGATATGACATCAAAATCAGGGATGCGGAGCCGGAGCCGGAGTCGGAGCCGGAGCCGCCGGAGCCGGCATATTTTGCCCGGAGCCGGAGCCGGAGCCGGAGCCGTGAAACAAAATAGCCCGGAGCCGGAGCCGGAGCCGGAGCCGCCAAAAAAGGGGGCGACTCCGGCTCCTTTTTATTTTTTGAAGAGGAAAAAAATAATAATTGACCTAGTTCGGTTTGACAGTACAAGGCAGTAAAACATATGGTACTTACGTCATGGGCCATCAAGTGAATGAAAAAATCCGAATATCCCCAGTATCCCACAGTACGCAAACAACTTCCTGTTTGCTCTTCCCCCCCCCCCCCCACGTCTACTGCATCCCCTGAACATGAGGACCAGTCATCAGGTGACGGCCATTGTTTTCAAACCAGTGCAGTGGACTGCGACTCCCAGCACCGTCTCATCCCACACACCCCCCACCCCTCACCCCCAATGCAGCCGAGACGGGTGTCAGCTTACGATGGTTCACTGAACTCCGATTCGCGGCGACTGCGTTTCCAATGCCATCGCTTCCTAGCCCTTTGTTCTGCCAGTTCTCTCCGAGGTGCGTTTGCGCGGGGACGCGGTGAGCCGGTCATGGCAAAGAGTAACGCGTATAACCAATCCAATTTTTCTTCCACCCGTATTTAATTGATTGCGTAGGGGATGTACTGAGTCGGAGCCGGAGCCGCCGGAGCCGGAGCCGCCGGAGCCGGACCATTTTACTCGGAGCCGGAGCCGGAGCCGGAGCCGCCATAACATTTCACCCGGAGCCGGAGCCGGAGCCGGAGCCGATTTTTTTCTCCGGAGCCGGAGCCGGAGCCGGAGCCGTCTGAAATTTCCACGGCTCCGCATCCCTGATCAAAATTGACATCCTGATGATGTCCTGCTGCCCATCATACATCCCTCTCTGTCACACTTCCTTGATGCACCCTAAAATCCTATAAATCTCTACCTATGTTCCACTTTTCAGAAATGTTTGAGACATGTTATGGTTTAAAAACTGGTATTTTAGTGCAGAGAGCAAGGGGTGCTCAATTTATCTTTCAAGCCTTTGGAGTGTTTTCTTGTCTCAATGTTATTTTTTGTTACATATAAGTGAACAAATAGCCTCTCTATGTAGAAACATATAAATTGGTGACTGTGATGAAGTAAGAATTTAGCTTGCTTGGTATGAAACCATGCAAGGTAAAAAGTCATCAAAAGGTACCTATGAACATTTATTACTGATTCCCTTCTATATCAACTTTTCAGTTCTCCCTTGCCTTGAGCCTTCCACTATTTGTTGAGCTCTTACAAGCAGAATGAAATTTTATTATTTAACTTATGGGCAAAGCAGCTTAGTTATCTCCATTCAAAACATTAAGACTTTCCTCTTCTTTGTGCCATACAACAAGTATTACTGAAACTGAGGTCCACACAGTTTTCGAAGAGTAAATTTTGTTCATTTTCCATTTTTTAAATGTCCTGAATCTAAAAATGATTCTCACTAGTGTAGCAAATAGCATAATTAATTGAGGGGAGGTCTCCATATCCAATCTGATCTAACCCAGCACGCAGCCCGGCCTTCTGCCAGAGGTAGGTGTTAGGTGGGTGTAGGGTTAGGTGAGGTTAGGTATTAGGTAAGGTAACCCAGCTTCAGTTTTACCTTTTCACCAAAACTTTTATTTAAGAAGTTTCAAACCACTCATAAAGGTATTACAAGAATAGAAGAAGCTATTGATGTGCCTATGCTTTCAAAGAAATCAGGCATTTAACAGACCATTCACCAATTCATTCACCAACCAATCACCAATTCATCTATTATCTTCAAATGCTGGACCCATCAGTGTCATCTAAAGCACGTAGCAGACTCTTTTTGTAGTTAAAGCCACATGCCTATTCAAATAGATAAAACAGTGCTGAAAACAATTTCACCCAACTCCATGCAGTGTTTAAAATAATCGAAACTGAAATTCCTCACTCCGCTTCCGAGCGTGCCTTCATCACAAGAGCTTAATTAAATAACCTGGGTCCATATCACATTATATTTCCTGCATTCTAAAAGAGTCTGAGGCAGCCTCAAAATGTATAAAACTAGTCATTGATGCTTACATTTCTCAAATAAGGATGTACAAAAATATAGACAATCGCCAGCCTGTAGCGGTACAAATGCGACGCACTTTGATTGCCATTAAATAATGCCCACACATACTCCAAAAAGGTAAATACGATGCAACCCGCAAGAACACTACCCAACTATCTCGATCCACCACCTAAGCGACCAAGAGTACCAATAACTACTGAAAACTCACCGGTAACACAACCCCTCCCAGCAGCCCCCACCCCGTCGACGACCTCTTTCATCTCACCGCATATGGTAGCCCTGTGAAGACCTCATATGCCAGCGCATTCCCCAAAAACCATGAAGTTTTTACTCTACGTTTTTCTCCCGTCGAAGTCGTCCGTCGTCGACCAAGGCGATAAATACAGTCGACTTTGTCGACTTTGTTTTTGGATTTTGTCATCGACAAAGCCCAAAAAAGCTCTTATACATCGTTTCGTTTTGAATAAAAACGCAAAAGTAGGCTTGTGCCAAAGAAAAACACTTGATAACCTATTCATGATGAGCGAACGACAACATCGTTTCCTATTCCCGCGACCCGCAACAAGCGCTCAGTATCCATGAGGTTGAGGTGTCTTTCTTACCAGTTTCCCTATAGACGGTTCGAGCAAGGCTACGTTCCTAATATTTGAGCAATAGACGGTTTTTGTCCTCCGCAGATGAAATCGTTATCTTTTGATCTTATTTCGAATGAGGTGAAAAAAACGTTAAAATCGAGGGCATTTGACCTTTGATGATCTTGGTGGTCTGGTCACCGAGTAATAAGTAATTGGTCAATAAGGACAAGGTAAAATATGTCTAGTTGTTACCAGTGAGAAAATAATGCGTCGAAGTTGGATCGTAGTTATAGCATCAGACAGTGACGACTCCCAGCAAAAAAAAAAAAAAAAAAATGCTTAGGTAATGTGCCTTTTACAAAGGCAGCGCTCAAAAGCGCACATAGTACACCAATCACCGTTCTGACATTACCTGCGGCTTGCTGGTCGGTCCTCAGTGGCCGCCCTTGCACCAGACGATCCGACGAAGGCGCCCAGCGAACCCTGCAGCGTCGGCGCCCGGCCGGCCGCCGAACCAGGCAAAGAGTACGGCTCTTCACACGGGCCACACTCATCGTCAGCAAACACTTCACCAGCGCAGAGGCGGAGGACGGACTGCGCCTCAGAGACAGCACTGGCATGGCGCCGGCGCCGGCGCTTCACTCGGCGGCCGGGCCGGTCGTCAGCGGCCGGCGGCTGCCGTGTCAGAGCCGGCCCCGGGCCGCCGGCAGCCTGGCCACCCCGGCCCCGACACCGGCCTCCGCGGGGTTAGCACGGGTGTCCTGTCGCTCACACGGCGTCCGTCTCGGCCAGCCGACATGCTGGAGCCGTGGGGTGGGTCTCGGAGCGGCGCGGCCGCCACCGACAGACTGAGATATACATACATACGGCGCACGTGCCCAGTCTGCGCGCACGGCAGCCGCCGACCGGCCACCGGCCACATACGACATACGGCCGTATACGGGCACGGCCGTCAGAGCCGGCCGGCCGATTATATCAGCCGGGAAGCCGACTGCAGGAGAGGCAGAAAAATGGCACCTTCAAATGGACGGCGCCCCGGTACGGGGCGGCCGCTAATCGGATCATACAGGTGTAGGATGACACGAATAGAAATGAGACAGCCAGACGTCCAATAAGCGACTGAGCTGCGTAGCAACTAGCAACGTTTCCAACCCCACAAAAGTCTAGGCATTTCATGTAGTTGGCGACCAAGATCGTGGCGGCAACACATCGAACTTGAGTGGATGTCTTGAGACGGTTTCATCGCCTGTCCGCCAATGTTTGTCCACTGACGCTCCTCCACGCAGCGGGCCGGGGGTCTTTTTCCTAGTGTGCCGAGCAGGGATCCGCGTGGAGCGTTTGAAGTTAAAAGTCCCCCTTTAGCATCGTTCCTCTGGCACAAAGACGGCGTCAAAAGGCGATATTTTCAAGCTAGTTAACCCGCGCCCTGCTGGGGGGGGGGGGTGTTTGAACACCCCCCTTGTGGTTTTTCGCGAATATCTCAAAAACGGCGGCGCGGAGCGCCGCCGTTTTTGGTACACCTTATCATCCATCAATTCTACACATGTTGTGAAAATTTCAGACCAAGGTCATTCAAGGTCAGGTCACCAGGTCACTTGAAGTGACCTCACCTCATAAAAACTTTCAATGTCTGTCATAGCTACACCGAGCGACCGATCGCTTTGAAACTTTCAGCGATTGCTAAGAGCAATAGCATGTACAAAATGTATATCTCAGAATTTTGATATCGATGACCTAAGGTCAGGTCAATTTTGCGACCTCCCCATTATAAGTCAATGGGAGAAAATTGAAATGCGCCTCTTTTGGATGAAAGACATTATAAACACTCCCAAACACCGAATTACAAGTGGTTTAGACACACTGAACTTGAAAATGGTGTCCGTGACCCTTGTTTATGCCCTGAGGTCATCTTAGGTCACGAATGGTATATAACAGTTTTTCGCAAATAACTTTTGATAGAGGCATGCTAGAGCGCTGAAAACGCCTTAGATGTGTTCAGCTCGACGATACGGATCGACTGATATGCAACATGACCCTTTCCGGTCAGGTCATGACCTTGACCTGAGGTCAAATTTTCAAGTTGACCTTTCAAGGTCAAGTCATAGTTCATTCGATGCGTCTTGACGAGAGGAACACGATGCCGGTAAAAGTAAGCTCGTACAAGGCTTGGGTCAAAAGTTATTGCAGAAAAACTGTTTTCGAAAAAATCGGCTATTTTTGCAGTTTTTGCCCCCTGCAGGCAAAACCGTTGACGTTAGGTCAAATCTGAGAGAATTACTCAGAAAGGGTGTTAATAGGGCTATCGAATGCGCTTTTCCGCGGCGCTGTAGCTCTATTGGTTCCCGAGTTATGCGTTGGCTTCTTGGAAATTTTCGACATTCGACCTGGGAATCGGCGAAATTTTGCCTTCAATGACCTCTGGTGACCTGACCTTTGACCTGACCAAAAAATTGACCGAAGTGATTTCGTCATTATTTTTGACGCTCTTTCGAACGCCGCCTTCCGCGTATCGCTACGTGGCCCAGGAGCCGAGTTACAAGGGGGGGTGTTCAAACACCCCCCCCCCCCAGCAGGGCGTGGAAATCCAGGACCCCCAGCAGGGCGCGGGTTAACAGTCGCAACGAAAGAAAGTACTCGTATTGTTGTCATCAGCAGGCATCGGTAGGATTGTGATTGCAGGATTGCAAAATCCTGATTGCATTCCTTTTTGGTGGACTGCACCTGGATTTGAAATCCATTCCAAAAAACAGGATTTGATTGCGGATTGGATTGCATCATACTTCCATTTTTTGCAATCCAATCCGGATTGTGTTTGATTAGTGCTTTGAAATGGTTTGTTGCGATTGGAAATTATTAGATCGGCTTCATCGGCTTAATGTACTTTGCTATTAGGAGCTTTTTTTTCAGAAATTTTGTCCGAATGGATGAATGGGTGGCTATGGGCCCGGGTGCCCCGCTAAGCAGAGCTGGTTGCGAATGACACCACGGACCCACCACCCCACCTTGCCCGCGCCCGGTTCACCGGTGATAATTTGGATCGAAAGTTTAACGTGCCGCAGGTAGATGGCGGCACGGTCCTCCCGGGTCTAGGGTGGCCCTCTCTCGCCAGTTGCCAGCTGGCTTAATATAGGAACGCGGGTCAAACGACGTGGAGCTTCCCGGCCGCGAACTCGCTGCCACCGAGTTAGGAGACGGACGCCTTATCCACTAGGCCACGGGGAGGACATCTAAACTTGAAAGAGGAGGCTTTACATCTAAACTTGAAATAATTTAAACGCTTTTAATTTAAACGCTCAAAATAATATACGCTGATGAACTACATAGGAAGGGCAAAGTTACGTATTTGAGGGCGAGTTTCAAAAACATAAAACACTGGTTGGGTAGAGGTTTCAATGTGGGGGTGTTTGAGGCAAAAAATATTTCCCATAAAATACCTGTGCCTTAGATAGGAATTACTCGCAAGACTAGGTACTAGAAATGGGTGATTTGGGGATGGAGGCACGGCCCTATGCCCCCCTCCCTCCCCCAGACCCACTAGTGCACATAATAATACAAAAGGATTGCAAAAAAGGATTGCGGATTTGATCTCAATCCAAGTGAAAAAGGGGATTGCGGGTAGGAATGCAATCCACTTCGGCACTAGGAATGTGGATTGGGAATGCAATCCTTTCAAAAAGGATTTTACCAATGCCTGCATCAGGCAGCGAAAATGAGGTCATCAGAGTTCACGAAAGGTCCCATTCTCTGGAGTTCTGACACATATTTGAGAAGCATGGACGAAAACATGACCGCATGGCTTTTAAATACTTGATGTTATCGATTTTGTTTTATTATATCGTTTCTTTTCCTTAGAGGTGCTTGCCTAGCCTCATCGGGGATTTCATGAGGTCATCATTTTGACCTCTAGCTTCTTAGGCTGAACGTCAAAATAGTTTCTGCGTTTACTGAGAAAAAAATCTGCGATACTAAACAGAACTCCCAAGAAACGAATTTCGGATGTTCGCAAATACAACGCGATTTAGGTACATGGATTAGAACGAATGCAGCCATCCCAGCATGCAAAATGTCATAGCCAAAGTTAGAGATGTTGCTACGCGGATGCACAATACCTATTCATTGAAGCCCTCGCAGGACGACAGGCTAAACGTAAACAGGTCATGCATTATTCAGCCGCTACATACCTTCTAACCGCATAATTCTAACAAACAGACCGCAGATGTACTGTTATGGCCCTGGTTGAACGTCACGACGCGATCGCCAGCTTTTAATATCCATCCGTACGGGATGCTTCTTCCATACTGGATCATGTGGTCGTATTAGTTAGACCGTAACTGAAAGCTCTGGTAGACCACCAGATGCACGATGTAATTGTAAAGCATTTAGGACGTACAGTCGTCTCTTATGCTAAATAAAAAATGGGCATTGCCCATTGGGCAATGGGCATTCACTACCAGCTACAAGGAGAGATCAGGGGGAAATACCCGTTCATTTAATTTAATGCAATACCTATGCGTAAAAGTAATACTAATAACTAGTATAAAAACACAATACCCTAGAAAATAACATACAAATTAAACAATAATTATCAATGAGTAGGAATAAACGGGCTGTCCAACGACGCGTAGAAACTTGGTTAACAAAACAGCTTATGAAGGGATAATGAAACGTACCTTCAGGGCTGCTTTCGACGTCTTCTAAGAATTTCATCATCTTCAAATGCACCGATAATAGCAAACCACCCTCCCCTCCAACAAATATGAAATTATCCCCTAAATAATCCAACTTAAATATAATGGACTACCTAATAATTCAAGTCAGCTAATTAATCAAGCATCCATGATGTTTTTCTCGTGCGAATGTAGACGGCGCGCGCTGAAATTCCTCCTAAGTGCTTCCCTATAAACGACTTGGGTGTGACATACCACACTTGGGTGTGGTATGTCATCATCCTTTGGTATAACTGCAGGCGTTCGGGTAGAAGAAGCATTCGGTCTTCGGCAAACAACATAAATATTTTCATTTTTATTCATTTTTATGAGCTTTACCTGTCAGTCTCAAAATAAGACATCTCTTTTATATTTTCCTAGATACAACACCTAGGAAATTAAAAATACTTCTGGAGCCAAAACGGCCAGGACTTCAGCGATATAGTGAGGCAAAAATGTCGAGCACAATTGTGGAATTCACTGCGACAATGGAGTATAAAACATCACACTTTTTGTAAATAAATACATGCAGACCGTTGTGGTCGGGAATTTCGCCGGTTCGCCACAATTGCGGTAGACAGCTGAAACCGACGCAACGAATACGCGAAAAGTGCGCATAAAATTATGCAATTCTGACACCGACACAATCGCCTCTTATCGCTACTGCCATCACTGTCTCTGGCGTTGGCTTATCAACCAACGGCCATCCGAGGTCAGTTCGGTCGGCCGGGTCAGCGGCTCGAATAGAGCGTCCCGGCAGGCGGAGACCACTTGCCTCCTGCCGGACCGTAACAGCGCCGCGACTTTGTACAGCGCCCGCTTCACGATGCCGACGCAAGCACGCACAAATATACGCATCCACACACACACTTACACATAAGACAAGCGGTCTGATTGGGCTGGCCACAGCGCGCGCGCACTGCGGAGCGGCCAAGCCACAGAGACCGCGACGCGACCCTGTTGGAAACCCTTCCAGTCGGCACGGCGCGCTACCCTGGGACACGGGGTCTCACCAGTAGCACCTCCGGAGACGCAAAAACACATCGGGGACGGGCCCGACCGACAGCACAGCTTCAGAGCGTGCTTTGAGCGGATCAAACCTGTCAGCGCGGATGGTAGTAAAAGAGGATGACAAGTGCACCCCTCAATTTGATAATCATATAAAAAATAATCCGATTCCAGGCCAGATGAGAGAGCATACAAAAACTATCCGGGGCTGCAAGCAGTGTCGCCACCGGCCACATGCTGCATTGCAGCGCCGTATTGCAGCGCGCGCTCAGGGTGCGGCCCGACGGAGGCCGCGTCCGTCCGGGCGTTATGGAAGCAGGGTCTGTTTGTACCTTCGATCAATGGGTGGCGATACTTTGGACGGGTGGAATAGGGTGAATGAGACGCCACGAGTCATATTTGTGAAACATGTTGCTGAGTGGAACATAAGGTCCATTAATGTTATGCTCCCTGGTTTATAAAGTTTAATGCGCAAATATGTATAAAGCTAAAACATCGACCTTCAATGGGTGCATATCATAAATAAACACACAAGTCGGTCGCAGTGCAATCATTTGAGTTCATTTTCAGCCATCGTAATATCACGAAGGGCTTCAAGCAAATAAAATGCAAAATAGACAGATCTAAACGCGTTCTGCATGGAAAGTGCAGAAAGACATAAGTACGGCCAGCCCTTTGTGCAGTGGCTCACTGCTCAATGATTGCATCTCGCCTGTTCCACGTACTCGCCCTATAATATATAAACTGGCGAGCAACTATTAAGGAGATGATTCAATCTGCTTAGAAAGACTGAATCTAATTACATCGTACCACTTATCTGGCCACTGGCAATATCTAGCTTAAAAAACGAACGTAGTAAGTGTCAGCAACTTAAATAACGAAGCTGAAATATCTCAGTAAAAGCACAGAGCAGGACACTTTTTTCATGCAGCGCCATAGGGTTATGTAAGAGAAAACTTTCGGGACTACTCTGCAACTGAGCTCCTAGCCACCACTTGTCGTTGCCGAGGTCCCGAAACTGTGTGTGTGTGTGGCCGATCCCTATAGATGAATACCTAAAAATGAGATGAATTAAGACCTTCGGTTCCATTATGACGACAAACCGGTAAGTAGGAAGTGGGACGGTGAGTATACGAGTGTACTCGGTGGGAGGGGCGGTAATTTTGAACGGCTCACGGGTGGTACTTTTGAACGGCTCATCGGCGCTTGGCCTGCTCACAACCCCATCAGTTTGCTCCAGCCCCTGCCCCCTACCCTCCCGTCCCCCGAGCCACAGCCCCGCGGAGTGGTACGGCCGGCTGGATGGGAGCGTCGCGGCATGTCGCCCACCCCCGGCCGCGCCGCCACCCCGCCAACAGCCGGACACAACCTACCAGACTCTCCGCGCGCCCGCCACCGACCTCAGGGCGCCGCTCGCGCCTCCCCCCGCCGCAGCCGGCCGAGCGAGGCTCCGGCGCAGGCCGACCGTCCGTGTACCGGGCGGCACTAGGAGGCCGCGGCGTCCTCCTTGGCCAGAGTCTCCTCGAACACCTCCTGGAAGGAGCGCTGGAAGCACTGCTTCAGCTCGGCGTACGTGGCCACCAGCACGTTCTGCATGTCCCGCGACATCAGACAGATCTGCCGGGGCGAGAGCGAAACAACTGGGTCAGCTGCTGGGGCGACATCAGACAGATCTGCCACGGCGAGCAGAGAAACGACTGTCAGATGGGGCGAAAGCAGGGTGCGCTTTCAGAATGGGGCGACATAGAGCTGTCATAGAGAACGACAAACAGATCTGCCTAAAGATGGACGATGGGAGCCGCATGACATCAAGAGCAAATTAACGTCAAACGGCACTGTAGGGAGAAAGAAATACGAATGCAAGGGCGAACATGTCTGTAGGAAAACACATACAGGACATACAGGACATGTAAAACTGTAAAACCATTTGGTTCTTCCCATCCACTCGCCGCAAACCGCTCGCCTCCCACCATCAGAAGTACGAACAACTGTCACTACGTTCTCGAAGGCTGGTTCCACGTTTGGGCAAAACTTCCTTCACTGGGAGCAGCTCCACCAAAACGCGGACCCGTTCAGAGCGCCGCACTCCTGCCGCCTGTCGAGACAGGTGCTCTGCCTCTGAGCTAAGGCGGCGACGAACCATCCACAGATGATCATTTGACTCCAGAAATGATATTGAGACGCTCAGATCCCCCGCTCGTCTCTCCACCCACCGTCACAAGCGGTTGCCCAAGTCTGGTAAAAGTGACCGGTTGGGCTGTGGCACGCGCATGGTCTAACCGGCGCTAGCACCATCTGAGGGCGAGTGCTCGTTAGGTGATGGTGTTAGTCATGCTGGACTGGTCGGAACAGGAGTGGTACTTCGTACCGACATCTCATTATCACTACAGTTAGTTCGTCGATCAGTGATCTAGTTAAATCCTCTCAACTCCCACCCTGCCTAGTTAGGCGCGGCTAGGCGTCGGTACGACCCGTCCTGAGCCCTGTTTCACGGCACACCGCTAACCGACGCTGCATGAGTCCACGGGGAGCTGTGGCTGGGAGTAGCACCACGGAGAGCGCCGCCAACCCCGCCCCGTCGGCCAGTGATCAATGCAGCGAGGTGACATCCGTTTGAGGACAAAACTATTTCCCCTGCATAAAAAAAACTGGCTTTCCCCGCGGGGATAGCAGCCAATGTATCGCCGCAGCCCCCAGCATATCATGCCATTGTTCCACAGCGCAATCACCATGTCCAATATTGCGATATGTGCCCCATTGCAGTCTCCAATATAGTGTGTTATCGTGACAAGTTTCACAACAGTCTTAAATATCATGTGATACCGTTACATACCCCATTGTAGTCTCCAACATCCCTTGTTATTGCTTTATCCCCCACAGCATCTCCAACATCCCATGTTATTGTTTTATCCCCACAGCATCTCCAATATAATATTTTATTGTCATATGCCCCATTGCAGTCTCCAATGTACTCGGGTTATCGCCATGTGCCTAAGTGCGGTCTCCGGTATCCTGTGTTATCGTCATGTGTCCCAATGCAGTCTCCAATGTCCTGTGCTACCGTCATGTGCCTCATCGCAGTCTCCAATGTCCTGTGTTATCGTCATGAGTCTCACTGCAGTCTCCAATGTCCTGTGTTATCGTCATATACCCAATTGCAGTCTCCAATGTCCTGTGTAATCTGCCGCCCGGTGGCAAAAAAGCGTAAAGCAAAATAAGCAAGTTTTCAGGAGAGCCGATTTAAGGTTGTTATGGATTATTAGGAATTGTTTGGGCCCTCTCTGTCGTACAAACTTCGAAATAGCACCGTTGTAAAGCATTTCGATCCAGCATCAAGGCAGTGTTACTTAAAAATAACAAATCGGGCCATTACAGCAGCATAACGGCGCAAACTTCTTTGCCGTCCGCTGAAATGCACAACCGGCCAATAGCACCGTAACCAAAAAAGCGCATTGTCTCTGTATGTCAGCCAAAAAAGCGTAAGATGTGATTTACGCTTTTTTACCAGACTTTCCTCAGATTTATCGAGCACAGCACGCTTTTTTAACCATGCGTTATATGCATTAACTCACGAATGTTTATATTCTTAAACATTCATAAACACGATTTTTTATTTACTTCCTTTTGAGGAGCAGTTTTGCTCACGTTTTTGCAACACTGAGTACATGCGGGACATACACCAGAGGGTTACAGGGCCGAGGCACGCTCTTGGGCTCTCTAGGCATCCTGTCCCTGGAGGGGGGGGGGGGCGGCACCGGCTAGGGGCGTCTGTAGGGTTCAAGGCGGATGGTACATATCGGAAACTGTTGACACGTACGCGAAACAAATGGGAGCTAGGCTGCGGGGCACCGACCCTTATGAATATTATGCAACACTGCCATGTTGTCGGTGTAGACTGTTGTCTCGGGCGGCACCTGCAGGGCCGCGATGAAGGCGGCCAGGTACTCTGCCGCGTAGATTGGCAGGGGCCTCTCGAGTGGGATCGCTAGGGCTGCCAAGTTGTCGGCAAACCCGAGCTGGGACGGCGTGGCGTCCACCGCCACGCGGTGGTCGTGTTCCCGGAACCAGTTGTGGTAGTCCTTGTAGTCGAAGGACCACACTGGTGGTTCTACACACCGTCGTGAGCCCACTGCTTCAACCGTGGGCCTCTTTGGAGGGTAGCCACGATGAGCTGGAGAGGAAGCTTTGCAACGGGCCGAACCAAGTTGAGATATCCGGACAACTGTTGCGCTTGGTGCTCGGAGAGAGAGCTGATCTGAGCCAGGGCCCGCAGAATCCGGCGTTGTAGGCGGTCTGGGATCGAGATCCGTCGGTGGTTCAAATCGTTTTGAAGGCCCAGGTAGGTGAGGCTCTGCGTAGGATCCGATGGATTCTTTCTTGTTGATCTGGAGCCCGATATCCGTGAGCAGCGCCGGGATGCCGAGTAGGTGTTCCGGCTGCGGCGCGTAGAACAGGAAGTCGTGCAGGTATACACGTACCTTGGCCTGGACGAGTGGGAACCTGTTCCTCATATATTTGGTCACACTCTGCATTACCAACTGCATTATGGCCGGAGCGGACGCCAGGCTCATCGGCAGCACGGTCCACACGTACTCTTCACCGGTGGAGAGCCGAACGCCCATGAACGGCTGGAGGGCCTGGTGTAGGGGAATATGGTAAAACCCATGTTTCAGGTCCACTTTTATAGCCCACTGGGGACTCTCACATTGAAGGAGGTCCAGCGCCCTGGGAGGTAACAGGGCGGAGGGTTCAAGTGGTCCGTGAGGGGGCTGAGGTCGTACAGGACCCTAGCCCTCGTATTGTCCTTGGCTAGGGCGAACAGTCTGAAAGCACAGCGGGCACGCGCGGGCCGCAGGTGGCCGTGCTGGGTAAACGCAGCTATTAGCTTCCGAGTGACCAGGCCGTCTTGAGTCGGAGAACTGGTCACGGGCCTCCCGAGGTATAAAGGTCCGAGCACCTGAGGTCAGGCTGGAGGCCACCCGGTGATCCTGGGCCACCACCGGACTCACTTTGGGTCGGTCGTCTATGTCCACCTCGTGCTTGGGCGAAGCTGCTGTTGACTGTGGACCGCCGATGAACGGCAGGGGCGATTCGTCGTCATCGTCGGCGTCTTCCTCTTCCTGGTCGTTGTCCTCTTGGTTCTGGTCCTCGTCCTGGTCTGGGGGTCCAGAGGCGACTGCAGGGAGGGGCGGCTGCTGTGGATCTGACTGCAGGGAGGGGCGGCTGCTGTGGATCTGACTCGGCGTCCTGGGCGGGCAGATTCTGCAAGGCTCGAGCTTGGCCGGCCATTTCCCTAAGCTCGGCGTCTGTGAGACGGCGGAAGTGGTCCATGAAGCGCTGCGGCCTGGGTGGAGAGGGCTGCAGCTGCGAAAGGTCCACTGTAGTCGGTCCCCGGTAGCTATCGTCGGAGTCCGACTCAGACGGCGTGGAGGCCTCCGGCGGGTCGCCCGCCCCGCTACCGCCCAGCAGACTGTCGAGATCTGACAGCTAGGGCAGCGGGGAGGGCGAGGCAGGTACCGGCCGGGTGAGGGAGTCAGCAGCTGGTGGAGGTCCGGGAGCGACCCAATCTCGTCGATGGTCAGCTGGGACTCTGCACTGATGAGGGACCCCGCAAACGAGAGCGTATCATCGTCGCGGGGAGAGGCTCGTCCGGAGCAGGTGGTACCTCATCTGCTGGGACGTCAGCTGAGCGCGGCCGCTCCGGGAGCTGGAGCAGGAGAACCGCTGGCTGCCGTCGACGAGGGAAAAGCCTCTGGAAGAGGGGCCCGGCCACCGGCTGCCAAGCCGAGGGGCCCTGGGGGACCCGGCTCGCGAGCTCCGTCGGCGCGGGAGAGGACCGGAGGGACCGTTGCTACAACCCGCACCGTCGCGTGCCAGGCGCCCATTATACTATTAATGCGCACCGCCCGCGGCAGCCGCTGCCTGCCTCTTGCGACGGCGGCGACGGCTGGCAGCAGGGCCGGGGGCCACACTCTCGGCATATTGTATGTACATGAGGGGCCGGGGCTGGTGGCAGGTGTAGTACTGGGGCGGGCGGCGGCAGCTGGACTTCCAGCTGCAGTACCTAGTTCCAGGTCTGGAAGTGCGGTTGAGGTAGCCGCCCAGCCGCGGTGGCCGACTATGACGAACAGTTTCAATCTGTCTTGGAGAAACTGGAAGTCCTGGATGTCGGCCGGGATCTGGGCTGTAGCCAGTAGGAGCACCCGGATCTCCTGTCGGTCCCGCGTCGTTGTCGTTGATGAGTCGAACTACCAGGTAGTCCCGCCCCTGTTGGTTGAACACTGGCGGGGGAGCACCAGTGGTGGGGGCCCGTCCATCGGGCGTAGGTTAGCCGAACCCGGGCGCGGTGTCGAATCTGGTTGCGACGGCTCGGCTGGGCGAGCCGGAGGGGGCGGCTGCAAAAGCGCCGCCACTCGACGGGCAAGCTGGTCCAGCTGGTCGTCTCCGAGAAGCACCGGCTGGGGGGCAGCTGCGCCCGGTGGGCTGCCTGTCGGGCTGTGAGCCAGGTCGAATTGTATCCGGCGAGCGACGTGGCTTCTGGTGTTCCGCGAGGGCGTGTCAGCAGTTGCGAGGGATTGCTGCGAAGTTGAGGGCGTATTGGGCTGACTTCGACCCATCCGTCCGAGGAAGTGCAGGATCCGTACGCGGGTAGGCACTAGAAGTGCGCCCCGCTAGGCCAGTAGCAGGAGCCCGCCGAGATATTGGTACAAGATTGTGCCAACAGCAATGCAAATTTGCACTTATTTGGTGCCTCCGTTAAGGAGATTTTAACGAAAAAAAAGCGTATCTTGACTTGACTCCATTTTCAATTGCAGCCAAAAAAGCGTGCTGGATGTTTTGCGCTTTTTTGCCTGCATCAAATCCGCTGCCAACGGGAGGTTACGCTTCCGCTCATCATTGCTATTAGTCCTTCGTAGCTGGAAGAAAAGCGCGTGAGCACATTTACGCTTCCTTGCCTGCAAGCCGGATCACTTTATCGAATGTACACGCTTTTATTCCATTAAAAATGCATTATACGCCTTTTTGCCTGATGTTGCATGACTTTAAATAACTATGCACTCGCAGCACAATAAAGTTATTGCACATAATTCGTGCAATATTAGTGATAGCCACCTAAGGCCAATGTCAAGAGATGCGTTTCGTTACGCGGAAACGAATGATATCAAAAAGTCATATTCGCCCAAAATCGAGTTACGCTTCTTTACCTCCGGGCGGCAGTGTTATTGTCATATGCCCCATTGCAGTCTACGATATCCTATGTTATCGCCATGTGCCCCATTGCAGTCTCCAATGTCCTGTGTGTTATCGTTGTGTACCTCACTGCAGTCTCCAATGTCTTGTGTTATCGTCAAATGCCCCATTGCAGTCTCCGGTATCCTGTGTTTTCGTCATGTGTCCAACTGCAGTCTCCAATGTCCTGTGTTATCGTCATGTGCTCCACTGCAGTCTCCAATGTCCTGTGTTATCGTCATGTGCTCCACTGCAGTCTCCAATGTCCTGTGTTATCGTCATGTGCCTCATAGCATTCTCCAATGTCCTGTGTTATCGTCATGTGCCCCACCGCACTCTCCAATGACCTCTGCGTTATCGTCACGTGCTCCACTGCAGTCTCCAATGTCTTATCCCTTGCCGGGAGGGGGGGGGGGGCGCTCCCCATAGGATTTTTTTCGCCATTGCTCCGAACAGGCCGGCGATAGAGAGCTGAAACATGGCATACCTGACCTTTGATTCAAGTCAGATTTTTTTTTACACCAACCGCATTTTTGGGTCAGGTCAGGTCACTGACCTACCATTATAAGTCAACGGGGGAAAATAAAAACTGCTATTCTGGCGCCGGGAAAGATCTCCAACTATCTCAAGCACACAGAATCTTGATTTTATGCACTCCTGGCAAGGTTCGATGCGTCACTTTTGCAATGTTGACCTTGCGTGACGTCATTTATGACGTCATTAGGGTCATATTAGTTTTTCGTCAATAGCTCCCGATCAAATTGAGCTAGCGAGTCGGGAGGGCCACCAATAGACTCAGGAAGACCTGCCGAATCGAATGATGTGCGACATGACCTCATTCGACCAATTTTATGACCTGGGGGCGCTGACCCGACCGTGACCCGAGGTCAACAACCTAAGTTGACCTCATCCAAACAAAATGTATATATTACACGCGCCTGAGCGAGGCAAACACGATGCTGCCAAAATCGAGGCTCTGCGGCCATTTTTTGCGAAAATATTCACCAAAAACGGAACCGTACCTTTGGGCACTTGACCTGACCTCAGAGGCCACCGGCTGAACTAGGACCTTAAAATCGGGTACCAATCTCTGCGTCTCGTAACGGCGCACACGCTCGCTTCTTTCCGCGACGCGCTATCTCCACCAGGGGCGAAACGGCGAGGGAGGTCGTATCCGCCCTCGGCCGGCGCGTATGTAAAAAACCAATAGGTCCGGGGAGGGTTATGTTATCGCCATGTGCCCCACTGCAGTCTCCAAATAATGTCCTGTGTTATCGTCATGTGCCCCACTGTAGTCTCCGAAGTCCTGTGTTATCATCATGTGCCCAACTGCAGGTTCCAATGTCTTGTGTTATCGTCATGTGCCCCACTGTAGTCTCCGAAGTCCTGTGTTATCGTCATGTGTCCAACTGCAGTCTCCAATGTCTTGTGTTATCGTCATGTGCCCAATTGCAGTCTCCAATGTCCTGTGTTATCATCATATGCCCCGTTGCAGTCTCCGGTATCCTATGTTATCGTCATGTGCCCCACTGCAGTCTCCAATGAACTCTGTGTTATCGTTGTGTGCCTCACTGCAGTCTCCATAACAAAGTGCTTTCGTCTTGTGTCTCGTTGCAGTCTCCACGAACTTAAGCTACCGTCACACCCCTCCGTTGCAGTCACCAATAATTTTATGCATCTGTTTGCTTCACTGCAGTCTCACCAATGCTGGAAACCCACCGGCGCCCGCCGCGGTCCCACAATACACCACCGGCGCCCGCCGCTGTCCCATCCTACACCACCAGCGCCCGCCGCGGTCCCACAATACACTACCGGAGCCCTCCGCGGCCCCACTCTACACCACCCCAGCCCGCGGCCCCACCCTACACCACCGGCGCCCGCCGCGTCTCCACGCTCCGCGACCCGCTGACCGTACCTTGTCCGAGGAGCCGGCGTCCAGCTTGTTGAGGCACTGGACCACGTGCGCCATGTCCAGGAACGGCCGGCCCTCGTCGGTCACCGCGTGGAACACGTAGTCGCGGAACAGCTTCAGCATGTAGCGGTCGCCCGTCTCGGCCCACGACGGCTCCAGGTTCAGCCTGGAGACGGTGTACAGGCGGGTCATCTAACGACGAACGGTGGTACGAATGCCAACTGAATACCAGCTGGTCCACCAACGGGCGTACACACAGGCAATACAGGGCACCACACCGTATCGGATCCAGCAGCATACTCCTCCAAAACGATCACCCACCCCCGGTCTCCACTCCGCCCACTGCCCAGCACCTCTCCCGTCCCCGTCCCCTATGTCCCGTATCCCGCACTGACCGCCCACACCATCTCCCTGGGACTCACTCGGGCCGCTCTGTGATGGCCGACATTTTGGCCAGCAGCCGGAAGAGTCGTCCGTTCTGCACCTCCCGGCCCAGCTCGTCCTCGAGCCGCTCGGCCAGCCGGCCGCTGGTGTCCAGCTGCTGGTAGAAGCGCGCCCCGATCAGCGGCATCACGTCCTCGATGGTGCGCGGCCGCGGCGGCATCAGCAGGCTGAAACAGACAGAGGGGTCAGCAGGCTGAAATAGACAGAGGGGTCAGCAGGCTGACACAGGCCGCGGCGGCATCAGCAGGCTGGAATAGAATGGAGAAGGGAAGGGTCAGCCAGGGACTGAGACAGGCGGCCGCAGCGGCATCAGCAGGCTGAAATAGGAGGGGGAGGGTTAGCGTACTGAGGCAGACGGCCGCGGCGGCATCAGCAGGCTGAAATAGGAGGGGGAGGGTTAGCGTACTGAGGCAGACGGCCGCGGCGGCATCAGCAGGCTGAAACAGATGGAGGAGGGAAGGGTTAGCGTACTGAGGCAGACGGCCGCGGCGGCATCAGCAGGCTGAAATAGGAGGGAAAGGGGTCAGTAGGCTGAGGCAGACGGCCGCGGCGGCATCAGCAGGCTGAAACAGACAGAGGGGGAGGGTTAGCGTACTGAGGCAGAAGGCTGCGGCGGCATCAGCAGGCTGGAACAGACGGGGAGAGGGGTCAGTAGACTGAGACAGACGGCCGCGGCGGCATCAGCAGGCTGAAATAGAGCGGAGGAGAGTCAGTAGACTGAGGCAGACGGCCGCGGCGGCATCAGCAGGCTGAAATAGACAGAGGGGGAGGGTCAGCGTACTGAGGCAGACAGCCGCGGCGGCATCAGCAGGCTGTAACAGAGCGGAGGAGAGTCAGCAGACTGAGGCAGACGGCCGCGGCGGCATCAGCAGGCTGAAATAGACAGAGGGGTCAGTAGACTGAGGCAGGTGGCCGCGGCGGCATCAGCAGGCTGCAACAGACGGGGAGAGGGGTCAGTAGGCTGACACAGGCCGCGGCGGGAGGGAGTGTTCACTGTTTATCGGCTGTTGCCGAAACAGGCGGTGGGAAGAGTCAGTAGACCTGAGATAGGTGGAAGTAGCTGGGAACATGGGAAGGGGCCAGGAGGCTAAACAGGCAGAGAAGCTGGGTACATGGCAGGGCATGGGTACTAGGGTACTGTACAAGAGGGAGGGGTCAAGCGAGTGCATATTAGTGCAGGGTACGTAATTAGCGGTCTAAAATCGCGAAGTAGGACTGGTGGAAAGCTTAGATCAATCAATGAGAATGACAATACAACAATATAAGCACGCCCTTGGTAAGCACGTATTAGATTCAGCAATTCATCTGCCACCCGCCCCCGGGCGCGGAACCGCCGCTCGCCCTACTGTCCGGCGCGGCGCCGCCCACCTCATGATGAGCGCCTTCAGGTCGGCCGAGTAGTGCCGCTCCACGATGCTGATGCTGGTGCTGAAGTTGTCCCGCTGCACGGCCAGCAGCGAGTTACACGACAGCGCCAGCAGCAGCTTGCCCAGGCTGACCAGGTCTTCCTGCTGTTAGCGGGGAGGGGGCAGGGTCAGCTGAGACGGTCCCTAACTGTGTTTTCAGCGTGGTGGGTTTGCTGCCGGTCTGACTGTGACATGGTTGCTGGGGTCAGTTGTAGCTACGGCGGCATGGATAGACAGAGTGGCGTGGGCAGACTACGCTCCCCACACGTATCACTGCGGCGATTACAGGACTCACTTCAGCCGGATGTTAAACAAACGGCGCCCTGTCACGGACAACAGCTGAGACTAACCTGGTAGTGCGGCACCATCATGGCTAGCGGGTTGGTGGATACTGAGTAGTGAGTCCACAGGCTGGCTGCAGACCGCAGTGGTACACACGCTTACCCTGATAATGCGGCACCCTAGCCAGCGGGTTGGTGGCAGGCTGCAGCTGGCTTCAGACAGCTGGTAGACAGCGGCTGCCGACTGACCTGATAGTGCGGCACCATGGCCAGCGGGTTGGTGGCGTTGTTGTCAAACAGCAGCACATCGAGCACCCCGCAGCAGTTGATATGCAGCCGGTCGCTCCCTGTTGGGGGCACGGGACACGTATAACACATGTCCTTGTAAAACGTCCTGGAACACGTATCCGGGATTGGAGAGCTCACAAGTTGGCCGCTATCACATCTGTCAGTCACAGCTGGCGTTCTAAGGATGGTCCCGTCCAAGACGAAAGAAAGCGGGCGGCTGCCAGCACATCCCGGCGGCTGAATCATCGCAACCTAATAGAACAAGTGATACAAAGAAACCATACTGTCACAAGCGAACGAAAAGTAAATTGATTGATCCAGGCCATACACAACTCACAAACAGACCCCTCCATGTTCAGCGGTCTATACGTGTAAGTGGCGCGCTCGCCGCCGCCGGGCCGTCAGAACCCATCAGTGACGAGGGGTCGAGCACTCGCCAGTCGGCTGGGGACGAGTACGTACCTCCTGGGGACGCGTACTCACCGGTGACGAGGATTTTGCTGGGGTCGAGCACGCGGCAGGCCAGTCCGCTGGAGTGAACCTGCCGCAGCGCGCCCGTCAGCTGGATCACGTAACTCCAGATCAGCGGCTCCGGTATCAGCGCTGTCAGAGGCAGGCCGGAGGTCAGGGGTCAGCTCAGCACACGGCACTGCGAACTCCGGCGCTGGCCAGTGGCCGGGTCAGATCGGCGGTCAGAGGTCAGCGCAGCACACTGCACAGATGATAACAGACGGGCATGGCGGAAACCAGAACGGGAAACACGACCAGTTCACCTACCTACGTATTAGGCCTGTACACATTCAGCTGTTGTGCTGTTGTCAGCTGAAATAGGCTCCGCCCACCGCTTCTGGCTGACGGAACTGTATACATTTGGCTGATGAGAAATGTCAGCACTGGCTGGCTGTTTACAAATATGGCGTTGTAAACAAATATTTCGTCTCATCTTCATGTTCTTTATTAATACAATACTTAAGCAATTAGATATATTATCAAAATATTTACAGACAATGTGCGAAAGTAATAAGTATTTTTCTTGTATCGACAATTAATTATGAAACCAAATATATGTGAATAGCGCCAACATGGTGTCCAAATTTCATTTATCTGCAGTGCTCAATAAAAATCTGGCACGTGATTTGCTTTCATGCGCCACTACCAGTGTCTAAATGCGTCATTTATGGCTTTTGCTGACGGCTCGGCATCTCTGCACTTGCTTTCTCGTAGCAGCACAGCCCGTCAGCCCATGCTGCCGGCAGCAGAGAGGTGACGTCATGTTGCAAGTGCAACATAACGTCATCAATTTTTCAGCCAATAGTGTGAGTGATTTTCGGCTGACAACAGCACAGCAGCTGAATGTGTACAGGCCTATTATGTACTGAGAAATCGATTGACAGCAGCTGATGGTGAAAGGTCCGATATCAGTCGGGCCGGTGTCGGACGGCGCACTCACCGTTCTGCTGTCGGAGCACGGCGTTCTTCTGGGCGCTGTAGGGCCGCGGTATGCTCGGGTCCTGGAACGGGTCGGCGAATCCGTTCAGCTGCGGCGGCTGGCTAAAGTGGCGCGCCATCAGCGTCTCGGCAGCAGGCAGAAAGTCGTACACCATCACCACCGCTGGGGGAGGGACGGGGTGGGAGGTCATCAATGGATCCACCGAATACCGATGGCAGCGCCGAAGGTCTGTCACTGCTAGAACATTCAGCGTCTCAGCCGCCTTTCTTGTGAGCAGGCAGCGTCTAAACAATGGTCACCATTGCTAAAGCGTCAAATTAGCCGTCACAGTTTTATTACAACATTAAACGCTACCGTTCTGCAGCAGAAACTCACAGTTATCTCCGAAGCTTTTCGTGGTGAAGAGCTCCCGGAGTGTGACCAGGTTGCTATGGTTCACCTTGCTCCAGAGGGCCACCAGCTGGAGACACTTGGTGCCGGACAGTCTCAGGCCTAAGGGCGGGGAGAGCCGTCAGAGGCGAGCGTGACAAGCACCAACAGGCCGCTGTAAGCGCACAGAAAATGAATTCATAGACTCAACTCAAAGTACTCTGGCCTCATCAAATATCTTTAGACACGCCCTTAGACCGGCCCAAACAGACCCAAACAGGAAATATGTGTTGAGCTCGTCCTGTCTAGCACAGTCCTGCAGACTAGCCCACAACAGTTACCATTCACCCATCGTGCATCCGCCGGAGGCAGCAACACTGCATCCAGTATCCACCCACCGTGTATCCTCCTGTGGCAGTGTTTTCATGCACCGTGTGTCCTCTAGTAGCACTGTATTCACTCACCGTGTATTCTCTGGTATCACTGCATCCTCTGGTGGCACTGCGTCGCTATCCACCCACCGTGTATCCGCCAGAGGCAGTAGCACTGTACCCACCCTTCAGTAGCATGACTGTAGCACTGGATCCACCTACCGTGTATCCGCCAGAGGCAGTAGCATTGTATCCAGTATCACCCACCGTGTATCCACCAGAGGCAGTAGCATTGTATCCAGTATCACCCACCGTGTATCCGCCGCAGGCAGTAGCACTGTCCCGACTTGGTGTTGGTGGCTTTGTAGGCGCTGGTGACGTAACCGAACGTGCTGGACTTGTGCGGCTGGCCGGGCGGCTCCAAAGGACACAGCTCGTGGTAGTTGTCCACCTCGGTGGGCAGGTCTGACACGAAGGGTAGCGGTCACATATAGATCACAGACACACACAGACACAGCTCGTGGTAGTTGTCCACCTCGGTGGGTAGGTCTGACACGGAGGGTAGCGGTCACATATAGATCACAGACACACACAGACACAGCTCGTGGTAGTTGTCCACCTCGGTGGGCAGGTCTGACACGGAGGGTAGCGGTCACATATAGATCACACACACACACAGACACAGCTCGTGGTAGTTGTCCACCTCGGTGGGCAGGTCTGACAGGGAGGGTAGCGGTCACATATAGATCACAGACACACACAGACACAGCTCGTGGTAGTTGTCCACCTCGGTGGGCAGGTCTGCCACGGAGGGTAGCGGTCACATATAGATCACAGACACACACAGACACAGCTCGTGGTAGTTGTCCACCTCGGTGGGCAGGTCTGACAGGGAGGGTTAGTAGCGGTCACATATAGATCACAGACACACACAGACACAGCTCGTGGTAGTTGTCCACCTCGGTGGGCAGGTCTGACATGGAGGGTAGCGGTCACATATAGATCACAGACACACACAGACACAGCTCGTGGTAGTTGTCCACCTCGGTGGGCAGGTCTGACAGGGAGGGTAGCGGTCACATATAGATCACAGACACACACAGACACAGCTCGTGGTAGTTGTCCACCTCGGTGGGCAGGTCTGACACGGAGGGTAGCGGTCACATATAGATCACACACACACACAGACACAGCTCGTGGTAGTTGTCCACCTCGGTGGGCAGGTCTGACAGGGAGGGTTAGTAGCGGTCACATATAGATCACAGACACACACAGACACAGCTCGTGGTAGTTGTCCACCTCGGTGGGCAGGTCTGACATGGAGGGTAGCGGTCACATATAGATCACAGACACACACAGACACAGCTCGTGGTAGTTGTCCACCTCGGTGGGCAGGTCTGACAGGGAGGGTAGCGGTCACATATAGATCACAGACACACACAGACACAGCTCGTGGTAGTTGTCCACCTCGGTGGGCAGGTCTGACACGGAGGGTAGCGGTCACATATAGATCACACACACACACAGACACAGCTCGTGGTAGTTGTCCACCTCGGTGGGCAGGTCTGACACGGAGGGTAGCGGTCACATATAGATCACAGACACACACAGACACAGCTCGTGGTAGTTGTCCACCTCGGTGGGCAGGTCTGCCACGGAGGGTAGCGGTCACATATAGATCACAGACACACACAGACACAGCTCGTGGTAGTTGTCCACCTCGGTGGGCAGGTCTGACACGGAGGGTAGCGGTCACATATAGATCACACACACACACAGACACAGCTCGTGGTAGTTGTCCACCTCGGTGGGCAGGTCTGACAGGGAGGGTTAGTAGCGGTCACATATAGATCACAGACACACACAGACACAGCTCGTGGTAGTTGTCCACCTCGGTGGGCAGGTCTGACAGGGAGGGTTAGTAGCGGTCACATATAGATCACAGACACACACAGACACAGCTCGTGGTAGTTGTCCACCTCGGTGGGCAGGTCTGACATGGAGGGTAGCGGTCACATATAGATCACAGACACACACACAGACACAGCTCGTGGTAGTTGTCCACCTCGGTGGGCAGGTCTGACACGAAGGGTAGCGGTCACATATAGATCACAGACACACACAGACACAGCTCGTGGTAGTTGTCCACCTCGGTGGGTAGGTCTGACACGGAGGGTAGCGGTCACATATAGATCACAGACACACACAGACACAGCTCGTGGTAGTTGTCCACCTCGGTGGACAGGTCTGACACGGAGGGTAGCGGTCACATATAGATCACAGACACACACAGACACAGCTCGTGGTAGTTGTCCACCTCGGTGGGCAGGTCTGACATGGAGGGTAGCGGTCACATATAGATCACAGACACACACAGACACAGCTCGTGGTAGTTGTCCACCTCGGTGGGCAGGTCTGACAGGGAGGGTAGCGGTCACATATAGATCACAGACACACACAGACACAGCTCGTGGTAGTTGTCCACCTCGGTGGGCAGGTCTGACACGGAGGGTAGCGGTCACATATAGATCACACACACACACAGACACAGCTCGTGGTAGTTGTCCACCTCGGTGGGCAGGTCTGACACGGAGGGTAGCGGTCACATATAGATCACAGACACACACAGACACAGCTCGTGGTAGTTGTCCACCTCGGTGGGCAGGTCTGACACGGAGGGTAGCGGTCACATATAGATCACACACACACACACACAGACACAGCTCGTGGTAGTTGTCCACCTCGGTGGGCAGGTCTGCCACGGAGGGTAGCGGTCACATATAGATCACAGACACACACAGACACAGCTCGTGGTAGTTGTCCACCTCGGTGGGCAGGTCTGACACGGAGGGTAGCGGTCACATATAGATCACACACACACACACAGACACAGCTCGTGGTAGTTGTCCACCTCGGTGGGCAGGTCTGACAGGGAGGGTTAGTAGCGGTCACATATAGATCACAGACACACACAGACACAGCTCGTGGTAGTTGTCCACCTCGGTGGGCAGGTCTGACATGGAGGGTAGCGGTCACATATAGATCACAGACACACACAGACACAGCTCGTGGTAGTTGTCCACCTCGGTGGGCAGGTCTGACATGGAGGGTAGCGGTCACATATAGATCACAGACACACACAGACACAGCTCGTGGTAGTTGTCCACCTCGGTGGGCAGGTCTGCCACGGAGGGTAGCGGTCACATATAGATCACAGACACACACAGACACAGCTCGTGGTAGTTGTCCACCTCGGTGGGCAGGTCTGACATGGAGGGTAGCGGTCACATATAGATCACAGACACACACAGACACAGCTCGTGGTAGTTGTCCACCTCGGTGGGCAGGTCTGACAGGGAGGGTAGCGGTCACATATAGATCACAGACACACACAGACACAGCTCGTGGTAGTTGTCCACCTCGGTGGGCAGGTCTGACACGGAGGGTAGCGGTCACATATAGATCACACACACACACAGACACAGCTCGTGGTAGTTGTCCACCTCGGTGGGCAGGTCTGACATGGAGGGTAGCGGTCACATATAGATCACAGACACACACAGACACAGCTCGTGGTAGTTGTCCACCTCGGTGGGCAGGTCTGACAGGGAGGGTAGCGGTCACATATAGATCACAGACACACACAGACACAGCTCGTGGTAGTTGTCCACCTCGGTGGGCAGGTCTGACACGGAGGGTAGCGGTCACATATAGATCACACACACACACAGACACAGCTCGTGGTAGTTGTCCACCTCGGTGGGCAGGTCTGACACGGAGGGTAGCGGTCACATATAGATCACAGACACACACAGACACAGCTCGTGGTAGTTGTCCACCTCGGTGGGCAGGTCTGACACGGAGGGTAGCGGTCACATATAGATCACACACACACACACAGACACAGCTCGTGGTAGTTGTCCACCTCGGTGGGTAGGTCTGACACGGAGGGTAGCGGTCACATATAGATCACAGACACACACAGACACAGCTCGTGATAGTTGTCCACCTCGGTGGGTAGGTCTGACACGGAGGGTAGCGGTCACATATAGATCACAGACACACACAGACACAGCTCGTGGTAGTTGTCCACCTCGGTGGGCAGGTCTGACAAGAAGAGGTAATAGTCACACATGATAGTAGGCTCACGCCACAGTTCTGCACTCTAAAGTGCCCCCATACGTCCTCCGTCCCCTGCCTGTAACCCACCCTCTGACCGGGTCGACGGGCACGCACCGGGGAAGGCCTGCGGGTTGGCCTGCATGAGCAGCACGTGCTGCTGGCGCAGGATCGCCTCCCGCAGCTGGTCGCTGACGAAGAAGCTGGCCGGGTGGGTGGCCGCCTGGGCGTCCGAGAGACGCGCGGGCGGCGCCACGTACGCCGTGTAGGGCGGCGTGATGGTCGGCGGCTCAGCAGACTTCTGCACGGCCGCGTCCTCGGCGCGGAAGTAGTACGTCGTGCCGCCCACATTCTCCTATGGGGGATGGGAAGGTATTGGCGATCGATAGCTACTAGGATGATCCCAATACAGTTTATCAACTCGAGGTCGAATCCATGACAAACATTGCAGTATGGCACGGACAATTAAATGTACAAAATTCTACCTAATAGTATTTCTCGAAACCACAACTCAGGAGTTAACTGACTATATCAGCTCTATCCAGCCAGTCCCTACTCAGGGGTAGACAATTGTGCCGAGTTGGGGTAGCACGAGTCTTCCCAATTTCACGCCGGCTGCGCCGGCTTGGCTTTGGAGCCGCACCAGACGGCGGAGGTCAAGGTCACCGCTAGGGCGGCGGCGGATTTGCTGCGCCCATGCAACCCCAACTCGGCATATTTCTCCACCCCTGTCCCTACTGCAGCCCCTGAGCGGCGACCGCGGTAGGTACCCCACTGACCTCAAACAGGGGCGCGGCGTCGGCGGCCTCCTGTCCCGGCGGTCCGGCCGCGGTGGCGGGCCCTGCCGGAGCGGCCGCCGACTGCGGTGGTGAGCCGTTAGCCGTGCTCTCCGGTGTGAAGGGGCGCGCCGAGGGGCCCAGGCCGCGGCCCTTGCCGGCCGGACTGAGTGTCAGGCCCGATAGAGCGCTGCTCAGCTCAGGCCGGTCCGGCACACGACTCTGTGGGTGGCAGGCAGGTCAGATGACCGCGGCGGGCCGACATATGGTGAATTAGTGGCACACGACAGAGCTATGGGGATACATGGCAATATGAGCGACACCAAATGGCAAATACTCCAAGAACGTGGCATTCTAGCTTATCACTGGGATTGAACAAAAGGCATACAAATGCACTTTTGTAAGTGTGAGTTTGAAGGGCACTGAAAAATGGATTTTCTTATCAGAGCAATTATCTACCAGGCAGTAACAAAAAAAAAAAAACATTAAATGCTTCTGTTGTCTGCTTTTAGGCACACAATTTAGGTAGCTACTAGCAACCTAGTAGGTATATGCAACAGGTGTTGCATAGATAATACCTACATGCAATACATGTCACAGCATTAGGTAAATATGTTAGTGAGAAATATGCTGGCATAGGTAATTCATGAATATTTATGAATAAAATGGGCTAAGCAGGGAATATTACACAGTCCTAAATCCCTGATTACCAAGGGAATTGTGACAGCAAGAAAAAATGATAGAGCACAACCAATAAAGCACTAAGGCAATGCAGCATGCCCTGAAATGAGCTTGTAACATACCTATGCAGCATTTTGCAGAATACCTTATTGAAAATGCATTACCTTTTAATGATCAGTACAGCAATCAATGCAAACTGAAGCATTTATCAATCATGTTGATCTCAAACTTACTAGGTACTACCTATTATTCATGTCAGGAAATGCATACTGCATAGTTATTAAAAGTGATGCAAAATATGGCAGTTTGCACATTGCATAAAATGTTTATTATGAAAACTCACAGTAAGGTATGTTGAAAGTTTAGATCCTTGTGGCAGACCAGATGAAGAAAATGGAATAAAAACATTGTCCATTTCAACACCTGTAAAACAATCTGCAACAGAGACAAAATTTGAGTAAAGCACCCAATATCACATAACAATGAAAAGAGGCAGGTTTTAACTTTCTCCAGAATTCAATTTAAGACAGACACTTCTAAAAAAATAAGCTCTTTCAACTAAGGCGGTGGACAATTGGCAGCTGTCATCTCGAGACAGAGTGAGGTGAGGTAGCATGTGTTTGGTAAGTAAGGTTAAGTTAGTTTCAAGTGGTGTTTTCAAGTCATTTGATTTTTTATTAAGCTGGCATGATATGACTAAAAACGCAATTGCTAAAGAAGTGGAGCAAAGGATGAGAAGTGAATATGTTTAGTAAAAAGAAAATACATTCCCCACAACAAAACAAAAAAAGAATAGAATCAGCAGTGGTCATTAAAATCAGTAATTGAAATATAACTGATCCAACTGTAAAATGTCTAGCTTTGCCTCCCTAACTGTCCTGATAGCACAGAAAATATTTATTAGCCAGAAGTGGTCAGTGTTGGTGTGCAACAACTCAAACTGTTGCAACAAATGGTGCCCAGCATGTTGACGCTTAAATACTATCTGCTACAGTGACCACTCAAGTGTAATCCAACGTAATTGAGTAGCAAAAGCACATATATACAATAAAACGCAGGCTAACCTAGTGTAAATAATCACCTAACGGCTTTATTACTACTGATGTTGCTAAACATCAACATACCCTGCGAAATTCTGCACCAAAACAACACACGGCAAGCACCAGATATCCGTCGTCAACTCCGGCGCTACTTAGACGATATATTTGTTGGTCAGCTGTTCTTATTTATTTTGCTTTCATTCGCTATTCTATATTTCTTTTTCTTAAAGTTTGAAAATTTTGATGAAAATATTTAAGCTGAAAAATAATTAAATAAGATGTCAAAGAGTAAACCAAGGCCTCAAAGTGGACTGAAATATACCTTTTAATACCGTTTTCCGACATTTTGTGCGCAAATTATTTCTATCAGCTGACAACGTACTCTTCCTTGAAGCAAACTATACGCGTTCAATGGTTATGCCCAAGGTTATGCCCGTTATGCCTTTTGTATTATCATAAATCCGCTTATTACACAGTTGCGAGGGGTCACTGGCTTTCCCCCCGATTAGTTTTGTGAGGGTCCGCGCTGGGGCGATATTTATTTTGGGGGGCGAAAGTCTGTTTCCCATCGGAGTTGTGTCTGTGTTCTTTTGTTATTTCACGCATAGGTTATTGCATCACCCTTTTCATTTTAGCATCACTGGCACAATGATCAAGCTGTTCTCTCTCAAGCAACAGAAGAAGGATGAGAGCGGCCAGTCGCCGTCAACATCAAAGCGAGTCTCTGCTGCCCAGCTCCGAATTACTAAAGGTAAAGGGAAAACAAAAGGTGAAAGATTATTGCTTATTGAGTGGGTACATCTTTTCAAAGGCTGAAATGTTTATCCGTATCAGTTTTAACGCATCAGTCAAGCCCATATCAGTGTTGAATTTAAAAGCAATTTGCTCTGTAAAATTTCAAGCTATTTTCCATTGGCTATCGGATAGGTGAGTAAAGTCTTAAACCAGTTAGCTGAAGTGAAGTGTTTTCACGTAATAAATGCAGCATGAATTCATCTTTAATTGCCCTTCAGCAGTTCAAGATATCCTACTTTGCTTTGCCGCTGTCCAAAGAAGTCATTAGTTGCAACCAACTGATTAAGTGCTGCACCCATAGGGAGCAGCTGAGCAGAGCACAGCAAGGTTTCAGAAGAAGGTGAAGGTCACTGCATGCATGCAACTGCTTAATAATCCTCAGGAGTGGATCAGCATGCTGGGAAATGGTTATGTAGGTATTTAATGTTTGGCCTTAAGATTTGAGAGAGCTTCCTGTCTAGAAGAAAGGGACCTTAGTATTTTATCTACTTTCTGCTGAAGGTTAAAAAACAAGCACTTCGCAGGTCTCCATGATACCTACCATGCATTTTACCAGCCATGTGCAATTCATTGGTTCTTTGCTTTTCTTGACCATTCCAAAGGTATGATAAAATGGGAAGACTTGATCCTTGACCTATCATCACTGAAAAACACACCACAATCACTCTGGTGATGCAATAGCGAAGTATCTACCACCTATCTGGAGCGCGCATGGCAGGTGTGACCATCTGGTTTCCTGCTGTCTAGATACACCCTGGCTAATCCATCACTCAACACTGTGACAGCTACAACCATTATATGACCTCTGCATCCATTTCTCCTTTAGCACTCACAATCGCAGCATCAAAAATGTGGTTGAGATAGCTGAATGTTGATAGAGAACTATAAGTGGAGACATTAGACATTTCAAAGGCATTCTGATGTTTGTGGCCAGAAGGAAGAAACGAAGCACTTCAGAATGTCAGCGTTAAGGTGCTACTCTCCGACCGAGAATTCCATGCCGGACATCGAGGGATGGATGTTTTATTCACTAGACCCCGCAGAGGACACGGTCTGGGTAGTGAAGTGTCGGGACAGACCCATCATCCCTGAATTACTCGGAGCTTTGGTGCATGGACACACTAATTCAATGAGCACTTCAAAGCTAGGGACTTAAAATGAAACGGAAGTCTTGAATCAATCATTTTGGTGAAATTGAGTCTCATTTCTTTCTCTGACATGACAAGGAATTGGAGAAGAAGAAAGGAAAGGAAGAATAGAAAAAAGGAAATGTCAGCGAAACTAGCCCGTCCACTGAATTGCACGTTTAAGCAACTGTCTGTGTTTCTTTCAGACATCAATGAGCTGAACCTGCCGAAGACGTGTCAGACCGAGTTCCCTGACCCTGACGATCTGTTGAACTTCAAGCTGATCATCTGCCCGGATGAGGTGAGTGTCGGAAGCGACGATCGTCGAGAAACCAGATGTAACGACGATAAACCAGATGTAACGACGATAAATCAGATGTAACGACGATAAACCACATGTAACGACGATAAACCACATGTAACGACGATAAACCAGATGTAACGACGATAAACCAGATATAATGACGATAAACCAGATATAACGACGATAAACCAGATGTAACGACGCGACGATAAACCAGATGTAACGACGCGACGATAAACCAGACGTAACGACGAGAAACCAGATGTAACGACGACAAACCAGGTCTAACGACGATAAACCAGATGTAACGACGATAAACCAGGTCTAACGACGATAAACCAGGCCTAACGACGGTAACCCAGTTATAAGGACGATAAGCCAGGTGAAACGATGAAAAATCAGGTGTAACGACGATAACCCAGGTTTAACGTGGATTAACCAGGTGTAACGACTATAACCCAGATATAACGACGATAAACTAGGGAAGTGATGATAAAATGGGTGTAACGATGATAAACTAGATATCACGGCGATAATTTAGGTGTAACGACGATAAACCAGAAATAACGACGATAGGCTAGGTATAAGAGCGATAAATCAGGTCTCTGCTGGCTGCTAGCAATGACGATAGCTCTAACGGTTCCCCCTGTGGGATGTTAATGTAACGGTACCTAATGGAGGCGGGCTTAGTCCCTGTCGGATCCTAACTAGGTACGTACAGTCCACAGCAGAAGTAATGTGCCGTTTCAGTCATGGGTGTGTTCTGCTTCTGATGCTTAGGAACGATTACCCAGACTACAATAAGATGTAGCTTACATGAATCGTCACCCTTGCAGCTACAAGTTTATCTTTTGAAGTTTTCTTTTCGATCACTCCACAGCTAAAAATCGTCAGCCAAAACCATCCATTGAGATTGGCAAAAACCACACATTACTTTAGCGGTGGGCTGTACAATGGTGCGGTAGTGTGGAACGCTGGTTGTGACGGACTTTGCTCCTGTTGAATGCTAAATATACCGGTATCGATAACAACTTAGTTCTGGTCGGATGCTACCGATAATGGTTACAGTGACGGGTTAGTCCCTGTCGGACGCTAACTATGACCTCAACGAACGGCAGCGAAACCGCCGGGGTCATTTCTTGAACATTGACAGTCAAGTTATTGCGATTCGTGAATTTTACTTTCAGTGGTCCTCAAAGGTATGGCGCTAGCCGTTTTATTTACAGCATTCGGTATGCCCGGTTCATATTGGACGCAAGGTTATGCATTTATGTTGAATGTGTGGTGAGACAAGGACAATGCATATGCAAGGACATCTAACACATTTCGCTACTAAAGCGATTGGAAAATGAGACATATTTTGCCATTTTTCTGACCACTAATGGTCTTCTGAATAGTTGACATACCCTTTATTAACTTTGAGCGTAGATGAGATCAATAGCAGCAATAGCGTCAACTATCGGTTGAACATGTATAGTGTATACCTACCTAAGAGCTCTCAGTATCGTCATGGAGCATGACTGTTAAACATAAGTTTTCATTGATATTGACGCATTGTCCTTGCGATGGCTTCTATCCCCGGTCCATGACATCATGCGCGCCCCGGCGGGATGTGGTTGTTTCCATCGGGCCCTGGATGCTACTGTTGCCGTTGTTGATAGTGCGGACTTTCCTGACCGGATGCCGGTCGTCCTGCCGCGGGTGCCGGTGGTCCGGGGCTGCACAGTGCACAGACCCGTCCTATCTGAGACGGGCCCCGTGCAGGGCGGGGTGATACCCGGCCCCCGGGGCGTGCTGGGCTCCACACAGCTCATCCCCCCCCCCCCCCCACCTGTTCCAGGGGTACTACCGAGGAGGTCGGTTCGTGTTCAGCTTCAAGGTCGGCTCCAGCTACCCCCATGAGCCGCCCAAGGTGAAATGCGACACTATGGTGAGTTCCAAATGGGGAATCGCCCGCCAGCTGTGCCAGTGGCATGACAGGTCTGTGGTCAATATGTAAGTACATTTTTATCAGTGTGTGTTATCATTAGCAGTGAGCAGGTTTCACGTCACATAGGTCATTAATCTGCCCGAGCAAAGTCGCGCATGTTGATCAAAAAGCGCCTGCTTGCGGTCACCGAGTCTTTCGGTGTAGGGGCTAAACTGTTGTTTAATGTGCGGGTTCTCTGTTTCAGGTGTATCACCCTAACATCGATCTGGAGGGCAACGTGTGCCTCAACATCCTCAGGGAAGACTGGAAGCCGGTGCTCACCATCAACTCCATAGTCTACGGCCTCCAGTACCTCTTTCTGGTGGGTCCTCGCTAGTCGGCCAAAAACAACTCCCGGCTTATCGTACAACACTGAGATAATTGACGCTGCTGATTTTCTCCGCTGCTAGGCTGTGCTGACATTCAGATGGTAGAGTCCGTAGACAAGTAGACGAGCCTGTGAACAATGCGGAACGCTGAACATGGTTTGGCTTCAGTGAATTCATGCAAATGGTTTTACATCAGTATTTTTGTGCTGTCGCGTTAAAACGCTTCATAGTGGCTTTGTTCCTCTATTGCTAGGCTTGCTGTTAGTTGTGAAGAGAAGTTGTGAAAATCGCATTGTCGATCTGACCGGGCTGGGATTGGGATTGCGCTGCCTTGTCGATAGATCTGACCGACCTCAGCAGTTGTGTCGATAAATCCTACTGGCACTAACGTGACATATTCTGCAGGATCCAGAAAACCCGTGTCCTATTCTGACCGCTGCTCGCTGTCCCAGAGGACCCGTGTCTTACTCTGACCGCCGCTGTGTCCGTACCGTACCACAGGAGCCCAACCCGGAGGACCCGTGTCCCATAATTCTGACCGCCGCTCTGTGTCCGTACACAGGAGCCCAACCCGGAGGACCCGCTCAACAAGGAGGCGGCCGAAGTGCTGCAGCATAACCGGCGCCAGTTCGAGCAGAACGTCAACAAGTCGTTACGCGGCGGGTACGTCGGCACCGTCTACTTCGAACGCTGTGCCAAGTAGGCGACCGACGCGACGCTGGCGACGTGATACAGACTGCCGAGCTGGCCACCAGGGGCGCTGCCGGCGCCAGGCGCCCGACGCGCGGTCAGTGCCCGGTGATATTGAGAGGCCGCCGTGCGCCGCCGGTGCAGTGAGCTGCCAGCGCAGAGACGGCGTGTGACGTGACGTGACGTGACGTGACGGCGGCGCCGTGTGCCGCGTCACGGGCGTGATCGTGCGCGCGGATCGCGCCAGGACGATTCTCTGACGGCGCGCCCGAGGGCGGAGTGTGCTGCTGGCTTGATGTCGCGCTCCGAGCGCGATTTTATAATGGCTGTTCGCCTCCCGTATGATTTCATGTCGATAGAGGCGACTGGCCTCGGGTATTCACTAATGTGACTCTGGGCTTGGCCTTGGGATTGTCGATAAATCCACTCGTAAGATGTAAATAATACAGAACTGTACATTCTCTGTAGATATTCATACGCTATGCATTGTTCTTTCTGGGGACTTGCTGGGCTCGCTCTTCACTAATCTATTAAGAGGAGGAACAGTTGTCATTGCGCAACACTGTATTGTTCCCAAAAATGAAACGAAACGTCACGGAATGCAAACAATGAAAATGTGCAATTTGTCAATGCCACGGTCATACGCTGAACATATTCAAACATACTAACATGCCAACAACGTTGTAACAGATAAAGCCTCCAAGACAAGTGTGACTGTCGAGCGTCTAAGCCCGGGCGGGGAGACGAACCGATGATAACAGGAATAAACAACTAAACAAACCGGGTATAATAATGCTCAACATCACCTCATAGGTCAATTTTATCGAGGATAGAACATCATTGGTGGCCCGAAGCGAACTGCCCGCCCACATTCACACATTCAGCACGTCTAGCAGAGACCGCCCCGGAAGACCCCTGGCCGCCCTGCCCCGTCCCAAACTGAGGTGACTGACTGGAGCACACCGCCGCCCAATTTCCGCCCGCCGGCCGGAGCCCCATTTGCACTGGTCCGTACGGAGAGTTCACACTGGTAGCCGTCTGTCATTGTGCCGGGCTGTCCGGTGCTCCGTTCAGATTGTCTGTCAGTCGGCGGGTCGCTCTGCCCTGCCACACCACACGGTCGCGGCCGGTGCGCCCCGCGCGCACTATATCACATTGGTTGAGTCTGTTTGCCGAGTGTCTGTCGGCGTCGGAGCGGCTCTAGAGCTCGTCGTGCTCCTCCTTGGACGGGTCGGAGGCCGCGTCGTCGTCGGCAGAGACCTCCTCGGGCTCCTCGGCGGCGGCCGCGGCCGGCTCTTCCTCGGGCTGGGGGAGGGAGAGGGCGGGTACCGTCAGACAGAGTCACTAAGGGTTAGGTACCACAGGGCGACCGGCTCCTCCGGCTGGGGGAGGGAGAGGGAGGGTACCGTCAGATAAAGGCTCACTAGGGTACCACAGGGCGGCCGGCTACTCCTCCGGCTGAGTGAGGGAGAGAGAGCATGTCAGAGGGACTCTGCCACTAGGGGTATCACAGGGCGGCCGGCTCCTCCTCCGGCTGGGGGAGGGAGGGAGGGAGGGAGGGTACCGTCAGACAGAGGGTCACTAGGAGTAGGTATTAGGTACTACAGGGAAAGGGAGGGTACCGTCAGAGTCACTAAGGGTTAGGTACCACAGGGCGGCCGGCTCCTCCGGCTGAGGGAGGAAGGGGACGGAGGGTACGTCAGCCATTCATTCAATATACCCTGTGTTGTGTGCTGGGAACATTCCGGAGCGGTTACCCATCCCCAGTGCGCGGGTACCCGCCCAGTTTGGTCTGGCGTCTCGCAGTCTGGTGTCTGGCTGTCTGGCGTCTCGCTTTGTGATTGGCTGACCGTTGATCGGTCAGTCACGTGATCGCATCGGACGGTCAGGGCCGCGTCGTGCTGGCCGGTCGGTCGGGGGGAGTCGGTCGGTCACCGCTGAGCCAGCCGTCGGTATGGTGTTGTTGCTAAAGTAAAATATACTGCACCCGGTTTAAGAGAGTGTCTCAAGATACAACACCCTGCTTCAGCACTGTCACCGGGGATCCTAAGCAACAGCGCACCAGAACGCGACCGGCATGTCGACTGGACGCCGCTGAAGTAAGTGAGCCGATAATAGAAACTTTTTTTCAGCTAACGATCAGGCAGATTGTCAGCCAAACGGCGATTAAGAATCTTCAATTTCGCGCGAATCTGCTTCCACGGCCATCACCACGGCCTCCCACCGTCCCCGCCTTCCGGCCCCTCCGCCCGGCTAGCTATCGTGACCTCCCACCGCTTCACTATCATGCCCTCCATCTAATCGTTTCAATTACGCCTCTCGATCACTCACCTGTTCATCGAGCGGCACGCCGAGCGTCTTGCGCATCATGGTCTCGATGCTGGCGGCAAAGTCGACCGTGTCCTTGAGCTGGAAGCCGGAGCGGAGCACGGACGTGCGGTAGAGCATGCGGGCCATGTCTCGGGTCGTCTCGTCGGCACTGCCCTCCTCCACCAGTCGGAGCATCTCCTTGATGAGCGGGTGGCGCGGGTTGATCTCGAGCGTCTTGCGCTGGTTCTGGTAGTAGGCGCGGCTCGGATCGTCGGCCTTGGTGTGCGTCTGAGAGGTGACGATGCGCTCCATGTTGCCCGTCCAGCCGAACTGGGAGGCCACCAGGGCGCACGGCGTCGACGTCAGACGGTTGCTCACCGCCACCTTGCCCACCTGGAACGGACGGGGACGCTGGTCAGAGCACGGCGGGGGCGCAGTGGCTGAACAAAACGGGTCAACAGAGCTGGAGACAAACATTGATGTATGAGGACAGAAGCAACTGCAAGTCACGCTGCAGCTATTATCGACCAGTGGCCACTGCAGCATCTAGCATATTCTGTTTGGGGTGCACAGACAATCGGCACTCACAGTAAATTTCCAAAATGATTTGGGCATCACAGTCTGCCAAAGAGCCGATCAAATAGTGAAATATGTTCTCTATGTGCCAGTACGATGGATGCCGCCGGCCGGCTCGGTACGGCACGCTCACCTCGTCACTGAGCACGTCCTCTCCGAGCCACTTGGTGAGCGGCTCGTAGGTCTTCTGCAGCTCCTCCATCGTGTCCTTGTCCTCCTTCAGCGTCAGGCCCTCCTTGGCCGTGTTCTGGAACTTCTTGCCCTCGAACTCGGGCAGCGACGAGATGGCGTACTCGTCGATCGGCTCAGTCAGGTACAGCACCTCGTAGCCCTTCTTCAGCAGACGCTCGGCGAACGGGAACGTCTCGCACTGCCGACGGAACGGCGAGAGAGTCGGAGGCGGGGCGAGGCACAGCGAAAAGGCCGGAGAAAGGGAGAAATATTGAGTTCACTTACTATGGACTCAATAGACAGCAACTGAGGCAGGTGTTCACCGGTAAGGAAACAGCGACCATAACTTTTTTTAAAAGCTGCTACCGAGTTATTGACCAACGCCGATTATTCTGTTATAAACTAAAAATAAGTTCACGATAGCACCTTCAATCAGCCAGTCAAAACCCCGGAGTTAACCGTCGCGCAGATAACGCACCTCCTTGCGGTTGGCGCCGGCCACGAAGTAGATGTGCTCCTGTCCGTCCTTCATGCGCTTGACGTAGTCGGCCAGCGAGGTCTGTTCCTCCTCGTCGTTGGACGAGTAGAAGCGCAGCAACTTGGCCAGCCGGCTGCGGTTGGAGGCGTCCTCGAACACGCCCAGCTTGATGCTGGTGCTGTACTCCTTCCAGAACTGCTCGTAGTCCTCGTCACTCAGCTTCTTCAGCATGTCAATCACCTGCCAGCGGCGCGGACAGACCGTTAGTGAGCTGCGAGTCATGATGAAAAGCTATGACTCATGTCAAGAAGTTACAAGAAACTTCGGAATAAAAAAGAAACTTAATGATTTTGAAAGTTGCATTAAATCACACTCACCGTGCTCACAAAATGCACGAAGGAATAATACCTAAATTGTTTCCTCCTTTAGACAGTCCAGTTGACAAATACCCCGGTGTGCTCACCTTGCGGACCAGTTTCTTTTTGATGACCTTGAGCAGCTTGTGCTGCTGCAGGTCCTCCCTGCTGACGTTCAGGGGCAGGTCGTCAGAGTCGACGATGCCGCGCACGAAGCTCAGGTAGCTGGGGATCATGTCCTTGAAGTCGTCGGTGATGAAGACGCGGCGCACGTACAGCCGGATGTTCTCAGTTTTGGTGCCGTAGTTGCGCAGCATGTCCGAGGGCGCCACGCGCGGCACGTACAGCAGCGACTTGAAGGTCACCTCTCCCTCGGCGATGAAGTGCGTCTTGGCCAGCGGGCCCTTGGAGTCCTTGGTGAGCGCCTTGTAGAACTCCTCGTATTCGGCTTCCTCCACGTCGGCCGGCTTCTTGGTCCAGATGGGCTTGGCGTCGTTCTGCTTCACCCAGTCCCAGGTGGTCTTGGAGACCTTCTTAGTCTTGGGCTTGTCGTCCTTGTCCTCCTCGACCTCGACCTCGCCGTCCTCTGAGGATTTCTCGGGCTTCTCCTCGTCCTCCTCGAGCGGCTCCTCCACCTCCTCAGTCTGGGGAGACACGTCATCATCAGCTCACTAACAGAAAGAGACTCGCGGCGTCCCCAGCTCATCATATGTACAGACGAGAATCATTTCCACAGCACAAGTAGGAGCATCTAGAATCTAGATCCTATTGAGTGAAAATCACAAACACAAGTACACACTACACAATCTATGAAAATGTCAGTAGGTAGGGCCACATGTGGCTGAGCTAGAGATGCAGAGATCCAAACTTTCAATGAAGCTATATTCGCCATCGTTGATCGCCCCACCTTGCTCTCCCACAGGTAGAGGTCGAAGTTGATGAACTGAGAGTACTTCTTGATGATCTTCTTGAGCGTGTCCAGCTCCAGGAAGTCCTGCGCCTCATCCTTCAGCACCAGGCTGCAGAAACAACATTTAATTAATAATACCTACAGCTGAGAAGGGCTGAGAAGGCCCATCAAAAGACTACACGGTAAACGTACAGCATGCATTGACGCAAGTTGGTAATATTCGAAAAGAATTGGATTTAATCGATCGTCATAGAAGACATAGGAATATCAGCACTGGATATATTCAGCTGCCAGGATATTACCAGTAAAACGCCTTTTGGGCGAAGAACGAGCGAGCGAGATAGTGAGCCCTGCACGTGCAGAAGGGCGAGAGGGTACTTCCAACGGGCTTGCGCAAAGCACCCTTCTAACCGGTCGCTAGCGGTGTACCAAATTTGAACGCAATCGGCCCAGCCGTTCCTGAGATCTGGAAGCGATCGGAATGCATTGCCTGGTGGGTGCCTACCTGTATGCCAAGTTTCAGCGAAATCGCCCCAGTAATTACCGAGTTATTAAAATGGGAACAAATTTGACCTCTTATTGTTGTATTTTTGCACGTGCACTGGGGGTGACCCACATGCATCGAGAGTATCCTATTTTTGGTAGAAAGGATGCAGCTACCATATAAAAATTACCGCAAGTCAATCGCCCAAGCGGCTGCTGAGATATGAGCTGTTGTGTTTGTGTATAGGCCCCCCCGAGGCCCCCTACTTGGACCGCCTCTGCGACCCCACTGGGCCAGGTGCCTGTGAGCGCCCCTGCCGGCGCCAGCTGACCGTGCGCGCCAAGCGGCGTGACTGGCGCACGAGACGTGGGCTGGCGCTCGCCATACTTGTTTACTTTTCGATCTCTCGGCCCGTTCGCACCGGTCTAAAATAAATCGCGTTGATATTCATAAGCTCTTTCACTTCGAACCGATAAACGACAACTAAACATGGCGCGGTCGGTTTTGTGAATTACTACGTGATTGAGCATACCGCGATGACTATCATTCAAGAACTGACGGCACTGCTGGAGAGGCAAGTGAAGAGAGCCGCCGACGCCGACAAGCGCCTGGAGCGCTTGGAGAGGCTGCTAACCAGGGAGCCCTCCGCGGGGACGGACGCGACGACCGGAGTGTCAGAGTCGGGGGCTGAGCGAGGCGCTGATGGATCCGTTGGACCAGCTGCCGCCGCCCGCCGGACTGTCTGCCTGCCGGTGTCGGCGACCCCGCCCGCGCAACCGAAGTCGGCATCGACGTGCAACGACCGTGCCGAGTGCACTGTTCACGACAGTGATTTAGGAGCGGTGAGCCGCAGGCTGGAGGACTTTGAGCTGACGCTCAAATACGCCGTGAACGTTTGTCGGGCGAGCGATGGTGCCCGTGTCACGTGCCCAGACCTCCGCGGCAACGAGGGACATTCCGCGGCGCGCCTGCCGGCCTACAAGAGGTGCAGGCGGCCGAGTGTCGCCCATTCCGCTACCGCCCAAGCTACCGCCACAGATCATCAGTTTCTTGAGCGTTGCCCTACCTGTGGCCATCGCCAGCACGCCGGCGGAGACGATTGTCGCGCCGCTGGCGCCATCTGTCGTGCGTGTGGCGAACCAGGACATTTTGAGGTGGTGTGCCGCCGGAGGGCCAGCACCACGGCCGATCGTCCAGTGGCGACATCTGCAGTGACGAGAGTACGCGACTCACCGGTGGTGGCGCCAGTAACGGTAGCCGCCGGCACCGCCGTGTTGCCGCCGCCGGCGGACACGGGCGAAGCCGGGCACACTGCGCTTCAGCCAGCCGAGCTGAGTGACGCTGCTGACGTCCACGGAGCCTGCCCGCCGCCGGCGGGAGTCTGGCCAGCGCAGACCATGGACGGCGAGGCAGCCCCTGACAACGCCGTGTCATCGCCGCAGGCGGACACGGGCCGCACCGGCAGTACTGCAGCGCAGCCGACTGAGCCGGTCGGAGCTACCGCATCCTACGGAGCCTCACCGCCGCCGGCCGGAGGCATCCCAACTTGGAGCACGGACCGAGTGTACCGAGCCTCGCCGCCGCCGGCGGGAGGCCCATCGGCTGCCACCGGCGCCGCCGTGTCGTTGCCGCCGGCAGACACGGGCCGAGGAGCCGGCCGTACCGCGGCGCAGCCCACCGAGCCGGCTGGCGCGCGCGGAGCCTGCCCGCCGCCGGCGGGAGGCTGGCCGGCGCAGACCACGGACCGAGAGACAGTCCCTGATAACGCCGTGTCACCGCCGCAGGCGGACACGGACCGAGCTGGGTGTACCGCGGCGCAGTCTACAGAGCCGGCTGGCGCCCATGGAGCTTCGCCGTCGCCGACGGGAAGCCTTCCTACGCGGACCGGCTACGGACACGGAACCGCCGACAACGCCGTGTCACAGCCGCCGGCGGACACGGGCCGAGTCGGGCGTACCGCGGCGCTGTCTACGGAGCCGGACGGAGCTACTGGAGCGTACAGAGCCTCGCCGCCGCCGGCGGGAGGTCTACAAACGCGGACCGGCAACGGAAACAAAACCGCTGGTGACGCCGTGTTGCCGCCGCCGGCGGACACGGGCCAGCCCGGGGCCACTGCGGTGCAGCCCGCAGGCCCGGCCGGAGCCGCTGAAGCCTACGGAGCCTCGCCGCCGCCGGTGGGGGGCATCCCAACGCCGAGCACGGGCCAAGGTGCAGCGGCCGGCCCCGCCGTGTCGTCGCCGCCGGCGGACACCGGCCAGATTGAGTCCACCGCAGGGCAGTCTAGCGGGCCAGCCGACACCCACGGGGCCTCGCCGCCGCCGGCGGGAGGCCTACAAACGCTGAGCACGGGCCGAGGTGCAGCTGCCGGCCCCGCCGTGTGTCCGCCGCCGACGGACACGGGCCAAACCGACTGTTCCGTGACACAGCCCACCGTACCCGGTGAGACTGATGACGCCTACGGAGCCTCGCCGCCGCTGGTGGGAGGCCCGCCGACGCAAAGCAGGGACAGAGAAGAGGTCGTCAGTGACGCCGTGTCGCCGCCGCAGGCGGACATGGGACAGACCGACTGCGCTGAGGATGACGCGTGTCTGGCGCCGCTCGTGGGCCCGGTTCAGGGGATGGCCGGAGACGCCGCTGGCTGTGATCCGTGGCCGCCACCCGACACCGGAGCGCCGCCTACCGGTGACCTCCCGGGCGACAACGGGCGCGCCCGCTGCGGACGCCGGAACAAGCGCCCGCCGCCATGGGTCGCAGCAGTCGTGTGTGCCAGCCCCGCTCGTCTGTTCGTTCGTTGGGGTGCGACCTCGTATGAGGAGTGAGACAACGTCGTGCAGTGTTGTGTTTTTGGCGGTTTCACGACTGTTGTCTCGAGGGGGAGATGTTGTGTTTGTGTATAGGCCCCCCCGAGGCCCCCTACTTGGACCGCCTCTGCGACCCCACTGGGCCAGGTGCCTGTGAGCGCCCCTGCCGGCGCCAGCTGACCGTGCGCGCCAAGCGGCGTGACTGGCGCACGAGACGTGGGCTGGCGCTCGCCATACTTGTTTACTTTTCGATCTCTCGGCCCGTTCGCACCGGTCTAAAATAAATCGCGTTGATATTCATAAGCTCTTTCACTTCGAACCGATAAACGACAACTAAACATGAGCCTCTCAAAATCACTACTTTTGCAAAACAGCTGGAAAACCCTTGACTTTTTCACGTGGCACGTGCCACGACGGTCACTGAGATGTATCAAAAGTAGTCAATTACGGGGTAGAAGGGATGGGGCTGCCCAGCAAAAAAGACCGCAGGCCAATCGGTCCAGCGGTTGCTGAGATATAAGCCTCTCAAAAGCGTTACAGGCCGGGCCGGGCCGCTCATACTGAGATTTTTCCGTTATATTGAAAAGACTCGCTTCGCTCGCTGCGCTCGCTCGCTCGTAATAATTAACGCAATAGCAGACACCATTGGAATAAATGATAAACAGCACGAGTCACATCCCGGATTGCCGAGTGGCGCCAGGTGGCATACTGTACCTGACGGTGGTGCCGCGCGGCAGCGTGTCCTCGCGCGGGTCCTCCACGATGCTGAAGCTGGACGAGTCAGACTCCCAGATGTACTGCTTGTCGGCGTTGTTCTTGGACGTGACGATCACGTTGTCGGAAACTGAAACGCAAAATATCTATATTGTAGTTGACGATTTCGCAGTGAGATTTTTTTTTAGTCCATAGTTCAAAGGCAGCTGGGTACACGGTAACAACACTTAGCACAATTTCATTACGATGTAGGCAAGCTCAGCTATCGACCATTTTGAGGAAGGACCAAATGTAAGCAAGCGTATTTAATGAGAATGCTGTCGGGTTAGGGCGCATAGCCGCGAGGCTCAATTCCGCGTCCAATAACCGAAAAATCTAGCAAGCGATTTAAAGGGACCCTCCCACCTTAACATTAGATTTGAGTTGAGATAGCCAAAATGGGGTCCCTGGCTCACAATTACCGGTTTCGGCACTCACAACATCGAGAAATGTCTTAAATCGGAAATATTGAATTTCAAAATTGCAGCGTTTTGATTCAGAGGGGCTAATGCTTTTGAATACCCCTCTGAATGTGTGACGTCAGCGCAGATCTAACGATTTTTAAATGTTTGACTAACCCCGCGTTCGATGTCTCTCGGACGACGAAGATTCTACGTCGTCCGGCCAATCCCCTTCAAGGTCAGCGGAGGCTCGGCTGTGGTTATGGAACGTGATTGGCCGGACGGCATAGAATCTTCGCCGTCCGAGAGACATCGAACGCGGGGTAAAACGTTTGGTAGCACGTGGTGGTATATGCTGCTTTGCGCGCAACAAGTGCCGCACTTTTAGCTGCCAAACTATTGCTTCCAAATAAAGTCGCTAGGAACAGCGGAGATCCCAAAAAGTAAACAAAAGTAAAAGTCTAATATCTTGAAAACCGGTGAATATTTTTCGGTGAAATTTGGTAGATATTCGTTTTCGCTCTTTCTGAACCGAGCGACTCGCTTTCATCCCAATTCATTAACTTTTTCGAAGGTGGGAGGGTCCCTTTAACGAGCGATCCATATGAGCAGTCGACTAACCGAGGAAGGAGGAGTAGAAGCCGACGCCGAACTGTCCGATCATGTCGGTCAGCTGCTGCACGTCGCCCGTCTCCGCCATCTTGGCCAGGAAGTCAGAGGTGCCAGACTTGGCGATCGTGCCCAGGTTCTTGATCAGGTCCTCCTTGGTCATACCGATACCCGTGTCGGTAATGTGCAGCATCTTGTTCTCCTTGTCGGCCTGGAACGAAATGGACACAACTATGTAGACTTGTAGCTGTTGAATGACGAGCAGATGACAGCCGATAGGACTTTCGCATCGAATATCGACGAGTGTCCCAGCTGAGGAGCCAATGGCCCATTCTGTACTTATTTTAATCACAACTTCAACATCTTCCTTCGATTGGCCGGGTGGGGGGGGGGGGGGTGGGGGACGCCCGGACTAACAGAAGTCATCGGCGATCTTACTTCGAACTCGAAAGTCGGAACAAAGAAATATAGACCGATACTTGTCCACTATCACCCATCAGACAGACGACCGGACCCGCGCCGCCGGAGCCCGGACTGGCCGGACCCGCGCCGCCGGAGTCCGGACCGTCGCCACCCGCCCGTCGGAGTCCGGACTGGCCGGACCCGCGCCGTCGGAGTCCGAACTGGCTGGACCCGGGCCGTCGGAGTCCGGACCGTCGTCCCCCGTCCCCGCCCGCCGGAGTCCGGACTGGCCGGACGCGGGCCGTCGGAGTCCGGACCGTCGCCACCCGCCCGTCGGCCCCTCACCTTGATCCTGATGGTCATCTCGGGCGTAGAGTCCAGCGCGCTGCGGTCAGTCAGCGACAGCAGGCGGATCTTGTCCAGCGCGTCAGACGCGTTGGAGATCAGCTCGCGCAGGAAAATCTGCCGGTGGGATCAGCCAGGTTTACGGGGGGCTCCGAACACAACCAGCTAAACCTCAAATATTCTGAACTGATATTCAGCTGTAAAATACAATTTGATTATACCAGATAAATATTTATAAGCATGCCTTTCAGTGCTGTCTTAAAAGCAGAACACCTGAGGCCTTGGCTTGGTCATTCTGTTCATGACTTACCTCCTTATTCTTATAGAGAGAGTTAATGATGAGTTTCATCATTCTGTTGACCTCAGCTTGAAACACATGCTTCTCAGATTTCTCCTTCAGTTCTTTCATCTGGGCAACACTCAACCCATCTAATTTAATTGCCTCTTCCTCCCGGGCCACAGTCTCTGAATCTGTGGGAGAACACAAGTCAGCAAATGAGACCATCAATTGGAATACAAATACCTATAAATAATGGTGACAATAAAAAATTATTTTGAACAAGTAGGTACAAGTTTCTAAAATTGAAGAATAAGATGTATGCCAAAATTGAAGATAGAGCTGCCCAAAGTAGCCAGTCTTTAAGTTTTAACCAATGGTTTTGACTTAAAGAAATACCCAAATGCTCTAAAACGAGTAAATGCCTGGGATGGCTCACCTGTCCGTGAGCCTTCCCTGCTGGCTCCAAGGTCTTCATCAACTTTGGGATTGGGCTCAATGTCATCCTCTGCACTGACTTTGGGCACAGAAATATCTGTAAAGGACAAAACAGTGAGCAAAGATACATAACATGACAGTCACTTCCTCACTCAAATAGCTTATCTAGGTACCTACTTTCTGCGTGAGCTACAGATAAAACAATGTAACAACAGATGCTGAAAAATTCACTTAATCTCTTGAAATAAATTGTACACCAATCAGTGGCTTTACACAATGACTCCAGTTGAAGAATTTTGATGTGCAATAAAGCAAACTAAGAAAATTTTCTCCCTGATAAATGTGGTAGGTACCTATACAATATGCATAGCCAAAGCACTTTGATTTAATACCTAAGAATCAAATTATTGCCCCAGTCAGATTGAAGGGATAACTAGTTGGCATAGGCCATAGATTTTCAATTTTACCTAGCATCCACAATTCCAAACAGAAATACCTACTTAAATAACAGCCAATTAACATGTCAACAAGGAGTTGGTACCTATTGTTGATTTAAAAAAAAAACTTCCAAGAAATTTGTTTTAGCAAAAATTGAAGAAATAAAGTTTTGAAAACTTATTTTATTTTGAATGGAATGAATTACAATGCAAGAGCATCTGCTAGGCAGGTGCTTGTTATGTTAAATGACCACTGACAGATGCAGGCAGGGGGGACATCTCTGTAATAATATACCAGGCGTGTCACATGCTGCCACCCGTTTGTAAAGTTGCTTGACTCCAGCTCTGGAGATATTTACACAAATTTTACTGTAGGATGTGCTGCAGTGGTAGGTTGTAGGTTTTAGGTTTGTAGGCTGTAGGTTTGTATGTTGTATGTTAGCAGGAAGGGTGAGGTTGGGTTGTTTTGTTCTGTAAGATTTTTTATTGGACTTTTATAAGCAAAACTTGTGTAATCATCTCAAGAACTGAAGAGCCTAGTGAATTTTCACAAATGGTTGGCAGCATGCGAGACACCCAGGCCGTAGGTAGTCACTAGCATACCTGCAATGTGTTCGTCTTTTGTGATGTTATGTGAATTATGCCATATTTCTGAGGAAATCTCTTAATTAACTATATTGTTTTGGGATATTTCATAAGTTCACACTATGATGTCAGCATTCTCCCAAGACACCACCTGGTATTCATCGCCTTGGAGACACCTGCTGTATGAATACTTATATGTCCCCGCAGTCTCAACCACTTCAACTTCTCTAGATTCGCCAGCAAATTGGACACTGCCTACCAAGTAAGAGTCAAAGTTGAAAGAATAATTATCTGATTTTTCCCATTCATGCCCATATTAAAAAACATCACAATCATCAATGACATCGCATGTCTCTTTGATCCACCACAGGTGGCAGAAGTCTAGTTAAAGGGACCCTCCCACCTTAACATTAGTTTTGAGTTGAGATAGCCAAATTGGTGGCCATGGCCTGCAAATACCGGTTTGGGCACTCACAACATCGAAAAATGCTTTAATTCGAAGATATGGAATTTCAAACTTGCAGTTTTCGGATTCTAAGGGGCTAATGCATTGGAATGCCCCCTTAGAATTTGTGACGTCAGCGGAGATCTAACGATTTTTAAATCTTAGACTAAAACCATCGTTAACACGTGGTGGTATACGCTGCTTTGCGCGCAACGTCTGCAGCACTTTAAGGCTGCCAAATTATTGCTTCCAAATAAAGTCGCTAGTAACAGGGGAGATCCCAAAAAGTAAACAAAAGTAAAAGCCTAATATCTTGAAAACCAGTGAATATTTTTCGGTGAAATTTGGTAGATATTCGTGTTCGCTCTTTCTGAACCAAGGGACATCACTTTCATGCCAATTCATTAACTTTTTTGAAGGTGGGAGGGTCCCTTTAACTTCGTCACATTAAAAAACGACCATTACACCATACAATATAAAGTAAATGCAGACAATTAACAAAATATAATGCAAAATGCCTGCATGACAAATGCAATAATTGTCTTGAAAACCATTGAAAACCATCAAAAATGAAAATTGATCAAAAATGACAGTTACAAGCACACCCTAATAGGCAGCTGGTAGATACTTACATGACACGATGCAAAGAGCAAAGATTACAACCGTTAGTTTATGCATTTTGTCTTCGGTTTATTTCAGACCGTAAATCTGAAAAACCTAGGACGACTAGCGTACAACTTCCACCACCGGCGACAGGAAATTGAGGGACCGGCTCCAGCGCGAGCGTCACAAACGTCGAGGACAAAAGCGTCGCTAGCGCTCAGCTGGGGGAGTTGGAAGCTTCTGATTGGTTGACAGCACAAAGGTGAACCAATAGCAATGAACCACGAAAAGTACACTAGCCAATCACATTCACGGCCGTGTACCAGAAGGCTTTGGATATTCTCCGGCGAGGTAGTGAATTTGGGTAGTGTCAACTTATACGGCCTTGGTAGTGTCCGGGAGGTCAAAATTGGGTCAGGGGGCGTCCATAAAGGAGTGCTTCAGACTTTGTCACCCCCCTTCATCCTTGGCATCGAGGGCATTCAAATGCCTCCTAGTGGATAGAGATAGTGATTTCCTCAGAAAGCCGATGCCCCAATCTGCCCCAATCCACCCAACTGGACCCGAGCCCAACATTTGCCGACCCGGCTGCCCAATGCACATCAATGATCAAGCATTCGCAACCATCGGCAAACTATCCGGTCATGCCTCTCTCGCATGATGCATCCAGTTCCCTATACGACACGAGCCCCCTCCCCTCCCAAACGAACGGAAGGGTCCCTCTGCTGAGCGGGGTCCTCACACACGAGTCCGGAACCTCCGCCCTCGCCCTCTTCCTGTCCTCACAATGTCTTCGGTCGTCCCCGTGCATCGCTTTCTGAGCTGGGCGGTCATCGGCCATCTGAGGTGAACCACAGGTTACGGAGGACCCACGCTGGTAATGGTCGTCGCAATCAGTCACAAATTGCCCCAACAGAGGACTTATTTCCCGCCAGCCGCCAGGGAAGACCCAGGATTTAGACTCACAAACGCCACTTATTAACGAACGAATGTATTCAAACGCAGCATCTGAAACATCTCTGGGCTTTGTAATACTGTACATGCATCCCTGAGAGAGATTCACTTGCAGTTGGATGGTCCGGGTTTCGGAACCCCGGGGACATGGTCGGTGGCCGGCGCGCCAGGAGGCGGAGGGGAGGGGACCGGTACACCACAGCGGAACATAGCGACTCCGGCGACAGGTGCGTCTGGCGGGGAGGGGGGATGACACGGCCACAAGGCACAGTCGCGGTAAGACACGTGGATGATTGCGACACCGCCACGCCAGCGTTTCACCCGCACCCCACACCCATCGCCCGGGGACACGCACCCGCAAACACACGCATACGGGGGCCAATCGATAGGGAGGGGTCGGCTGGCCGGAAGCGGGCGCCGCTCCTACGCCCACCCCTGGCCGAGCGACACACCCACCGACCGGCGGCTGCCGTACCGGACACAGGGGAAATACAGCACAACACCGGAGTCGCCGCACCCGCGGACACACACATTTAGAACATGTTAAGACGAGCGACCTGTGAGCTTTCTAGAGAGCACCAACAGTCGCAACTGGTTTCTACGAGCGCAACTTTCAGTCGAGGATTAGAACAAGTGGAAAAGTGACGTTTTACGAAAGACAACACATCAGAAAACATTGTTTGAGTTTAGGATCGACGACTGCCTAGCAGAGAGATCTAGCGAGATTCGACATTGTACCCGAGAACAGCAGCTACCGCAGGATTCCGGTGTCCACCGCCGACCGAACGCCCGGCTCTTGTACTTCTTCAAACAGCCACACCGCAGTCACTGCTGAAAGCTCGCCGTAAGCTCGTCATTGGACAGGTGAGCTCAGGAAGCTCAGGCACGGCTCACAGCCAGCGTAGGAATTCACAGGTCCGGGCACAGCCACGGAACGTCTCAGTGAGGCCGGTCCGCCGACCGGGGCGGGGTGGGACCCCACCGCTCCCACCACCGGGTCCAGCAAACCAGGGAATTCATTTCAGTCATACCAGAGATACCACCGCCCTAGCAGCTCTCTCATTAATCGACAAAGGTAGTCCATGGCTGTTGAATTGCTAGATTCTATTACCCGCTAATGGCGTACAATAGCCATTGGCCATATTTGACCCAGGGTCCTAATATCACTATCTAATAGCCTACAATGACGTGCGCCTGGGTTTCCCATATTAGCAAAATACTCCCATCTAACAAACAACCGGCAGAGTTTTACATTCAACTGGCACTTGCTATGGACTAGCTTCAGTCCGGTCGGCCCGCATAATACCCCCGCTCGACGTTGGTCGGACTGCGGGCAAACTCTCCCAGCCCCAAGCCGAGCAGGGTTCCTCAGCGAGACCTGTAGTCGGGCCTCGGCGGGAAAGCGACGGCCTCAGCATTTACGCTGCACGGCGTATCGAGCTCTCAGTGAGTAGCCAGGAGTACCCGGGAGTACCGCCAGTGCCCTGGAGCACCGTGAGTCAGTGAGTGTCCGGGAGTGCCGTCAGTGCCGAGGAGTGCCATTAGGGTGGCTCATTCGGCGCTGAAGCCGGTGAACGCCTCATGCTCCTGTGGCGGCAGCCGGTACATGGTGCGTGTGTTGGCGGCCGTCACCCGCACCACCTCCTCCAGCGGGATGCGCCGCATCTGGGACACCTGAGCGGCCACGTGCAGCGCGAGACCCGGGTGAGAGAACCGCATCTCCTGCCGGGAGGGGGTGGAGGCGTCACTGGGGACCGACGGCCGGGATCGGACGGACAGAGCTAGTGTAGTTCAGAGCTGGTGTACTCAGCGGGCACCGACAGGGAACGGACGGTCAGAGGCTGGCCACTGCGGACCTGCCAGACATCGGGGAGGTAAAAGACGGACGTTAATATGGTATACAACAATATTATGGTTTTAAGGATACGATATCCGGATTCAAGGATAGGATAATCGGTGTGTAAACAATGATGTATTGTCAGATCAGCCCAAAACTATCTTTCATAAGATTTTAAGGTAAAATGCTGGGCAATCGTCTACCCAGACGCCAGTATAAGCTCTACACTTAATCAAAATTATCGACTGTTTGAATAGCATCCAGTGCTTGGAAACACTGAATGCTTACTATGCGAACGTCACGTCACATATGTTTCCAGCCTCACACATACAGTACAAAGACCATCATACCGTCCTGAGCCCCCTTCCCGACCCCCGCCGAGGCTCACCGATGCGTCGCGCCGGTAGCAGCTGGGCACGAAGTAGGGCGCGTCTGTCTCGAGCAGCAGCCGGTTGAGCGGCACCTCGGTCACCAGGAAGCGGGCTTGTTGCGCGTGCGGGTTGGTGATGAGCGGCGTCAGGCCCACGTAGCAGTTGGGAAAGGCGTCCATCCAGCGGCGCACCATCACCCAGTTGCCGGTGATACAGTGCCGGTGGATCAGGTGGTCACGGGGCACCATCTGGGGAATCAACAATATGATGATATTATCACGTATCACCAATTTCCGCAACTATTGTAAAATATCGAAACTTTCCTTTAGTTACGCATAGTAACGTAAGCACCACAATTTCAGTCTCCCGGCCTGAACTATTTTGTCCCGCTTTAAACCGACCCACCAGTCCCGTACACTGATCTTAAACACCAAAAACGACACCAACACCAGCACCATCCACCACACACATAACCAAAACCAGACTCTTGACGCCGTCCCCGACACCGTAACACCAGCACCACTGCCCGGACACCACCATCACCACCCCGGCCGCGACACTGCCGCCCGCGGTCACCGACCTCGAGCGCAATGTCGAGCGCGTCCTGTTCGGCGTCCCGGACGTGAAGCACCAGTGGCAGGCCCAGCGCCACGCCTATCGCCAGCTGGCGCCGGAACACCGTCTTCTGCATGTCGTGGCTGGTGCTGTTACTGCGGGGCGCGGCGGCACAGCGGGCGGCGTCACCAGGCGGGGCGCCGGGTCATAGGACAGCAGCGGGATAGCAGGCGGCGTCACGGGGGGGGGGGGGGGGGGGAGCCGGGACGGGGTGCCGGGTGACAGGGAAGGTCACGGGGTCAGGACAGGTGCTCAGTCACAGGGCGGATTCGGCGTCAAGGGGAGCTGATACTGAGCGAAAAGGCGAAGCAGCACAAAACATGCAACGTGGGAACGGAAATGGCTGTCCCAAATGATTTTCCGGTTAGCACTGTTGAGCTGAGCGAAACGCGACAAACAGGAACCTAAGCCACTCGGCGCAGAAGACCAGCAGCACCGGGACATGCGAAGCAGTATCACATTCACCAATCACCACATCATACCCTCAACACCTCAAACAGCTTCCACGCAGCGGAAACTCACCACTCCACTGCCTCCACAAAACCCGACTCGCTTGGTGGAGTAGTTAGTCGGAGTCCAGTCCCTCCATAACACCCCACTCACTTTGTAGAGAAGTTAGTCCAAGTCCCTCCACAAACCCGACTCACTTTGTGGAGTAGTCGAGTCCGATCTCGCCCAGCGCCACCACGTTCTTGTTTGACCGCAGTATGTGCTCTAGCATCTGTTCGGAGACCATGGTGAAGTCTCGGACGCTGTGCGGGTGGCAGCCGAACGCGGCCCACACACCCGGCTCCTCCAGTATGCGGCTCCACTCGGCGCGCTGGTAAAGAGAGGGACAGACGGGGGAGGTCACAGGGAGTCGGGGGACGTCACAGGGGAGGTCACAGCTGGCAGAGGTCACAGGGAAGGGTCACAACGAGGAGTCACAAGAAAATTACACGAGTAACCTGGTTACGTCCACTGCCACAGGACAAATATTCAATCCACATAACACATGACTTTATACCCCTACAAAAGGATAGTAGAACGCTTTGATCCCGGCTAAAAGGACCGTAATCATTCCCGCTGTCGCCAACTACGAGCAGTACCACGACCCGCCCTAGGCCGCCGTGCTCCACCCTGGACCTGCCGCCGCCGCCGCTCCGCCCCACCGGCTCTCACCCGGTGCCAGTAGTTGGGGTCGTCGCAGTGCCGCCGCCCCGCCCCGCCCGCTCTCACCCGGTGCCAGTAGTTGGGGTCGCAGAAGACAGCCACGCAGCCGGCGAAGCTGGCCGGGAAGGTGGCGGACGCTACGCGGCGCCGGAACTCTGTCAGAGTGTTGGAGCGCAGGCCCGAGCCGAACGCCTGGTCGCGACGGAACAGAAAGTCCAGGTGGCAGTGCGAGTCGATGAAGCCGACTGGCAGCCGCAGGCCGACCAGTGACTCCGGGTCGTAGGCCGTGGTGATGCCGGCCCGGCAGCCCATCCGGCGCCGGAACGCCTGGGGGGAGACGGCGGGTCACCGGGCCGGTCACCGACAGCGCCGTTAGAGGTATGTATGGTTCAGGTTAGAACACAGCTGCACTGTCTGGTAGTCTCGACATCATACTGACTAGATGATAAAGACATCTGCTCAAGCAAGAATCGTTAAAGGAAAAGCAAAGCCTAAAAATTAACGTGTCTCAAAATGTAAAACACAACACATCTCCGTTGGTTCCTCACCGCTATGGCCTCCGGACCGCACTTGTCCACTGGGGCGGTGGTGGGCGGCGCGCCCAGTGAGCGCCGGGCACCGCCGGCCGTCAGTCGCTCCTCGGGCGGTACGTAGCGCGGCCGGAAGCCGCCGCCCGGCCGCGGCTCGGAGCGCCACAGGCCGCCGCCGGGCCGCAGCGGCTCGCGGCACGACAGTACCCGCGGCGTGAAGGTGCCGTCCGGCGCGCCGGGCACGGGAGGCAGCGTGGGGGACAGCGGGCGCCACACGCTACCCGGTGCGGACGGCGGCGTGGGGGAGAGCGGCCGCCACGCGCCGCGGCCGGCCGGCGCCGGTGGGGTGACGGTTCCGCCGCGGCCCTCGGCCACCGACCAGTGGCCGTAGTGCGGCGCACAACTCGGCGAGATGGGACCGCCGCTGGTGCCCGGCACACCGGTCTGCAACAACAGCACACGGACAGTCAGTCAAAGCGGTCACAGTCAGGGTACAGTGCTCGCACTCAAAGGTCACAGGTCAGAGGTCAACAGCGGTCACAGTGGTCACAGTCAGGTCACAGGATCACATTCACAGGTCACACGGTCGCACAGTCACAGGACGCCGTCGCACGTAGTGTCACCAGCACGACGGAGGTCACGTGATAAGAGGGCAGCAACTGAGGTTCGGGATAAATCGCAGCGGTAACACAGAATATATGGGAAAACTTCTGAGCCAGCGGAATGTCGGGCATAGTCACTAGTTAGTGACATCGTGAAAGAACCGTTTCACAGGATAGAGTGACCATCTTTTCCACTTGGATTGACGGCACTATGTCCAAATGTGCACTGTGTACCATCTACAAGTTCAAACGGCACCAGTTCAGCTACACTAGCTCGACTGAGAGGCTCCTGAAGCCCAGGTACCATCCGGCTGCCCAAATACCCCAACACTTACCGGCGCCGTGGAGGTCTTGTCTCGCTCCAGGTCCCTCAGTGACAGTTCGGCAGCCGCGCCGCCGTCCGGCTCCCACCAGTCGTTGGGCGCCGGCCGGGGGCGCACCAGCTCCTCCAGGGTGGTCTCCCGGGGCGGGGCGGGCCAGCCGGGCACACTGGGCGCCGGCCCGCCCGGCGGCGGCGGCGGCGGCGGGGGCGGGGGCGGGGCCGTCCACCAGTCGCCGTCGCTGCTGAAGCGGACCGCCTCTCGGATGGTGAGTTCGGCGGCGGAGCCGGGCGAGGGCGCGGCCGTCGCCGCCCGGCTGCGGCCGGCCACCTCCTGCAGGCTCGGCCAGTCGCCGGCGCCGCTCGCGGGGGGCGCCTCGGGCCGCCACTGGCGCACCGCGAACCCGTCCGGCTGGTAGGTGCGCGCGGGCGCGCCGCCCGGCAGCCGCGCGGAGCCGCCGAGCGCGGCCACCGGCCGGCCCGGCACGCCGGTCAGCGGTGAGCCGGGCGGCAGCGGGATGGCGCCGACACACACCGGAGGCGGCGCCGCCGGCTCCGAGCCGCTGACCGCCACCTGACGGCACACGGGGTCGGGTCAGCGCCGGGGCACCGAGGAACAACGTCAGACGCAACCAGATGCAGGGACATAATACAACGGCTCTGAATGACACAAATTGTTAGAGATCTAGTGCTCTTTTCAGCGGTAAAATACCCCTTGCGAGCACTGAGCAGACTGAGTATGAAAGTCACTGTAAGACTGCCGCGGAGTCGATGGAAACCCCGACTTTAAAAAAGCCGTAAATTTCGGGCGCTGCGGAAGTGGCAAATACCCCAAGCCCAAGCCCCCCCCCCCCCCGATCCGCCCGTGCTCCCTTCCCTCACCTTCATGACTAAATCCTCCTGGCTCTGGTAAAACACCCCAGTCACCTCAGGGTCGCCGGGGTGCGGCTGGAAGGCGGTCCGAGGATTGGCGGCAGGGCGGCTCCAGTGGCCGGGGTCGGACTGGACGCTCTCCACGTCGTCACCGGACGGTGGAAAGAGGATACGGGGGGCGGGCAGAGCGGACGACTGAGAGCAATCCTGAAAAGAACACGCAAACATTTTTATGATAAAACGAAATAGTGCAAGGCATAGGCAACAAAACTATCAAAATCAAAACATAAATATCAATATAAAAATCAACATAAATATCAAAACATAAATATCAATACGAATCAAAGAACAAAAGAGCACTAACTCACCAATACAGTAGCAATTTTTACATTTTTGTTGCATGCAAAACACATGTATTATGTAAATAACGTAAAACATCCCACCATAGTCAATTACGAATGTCTTAAAAGCCACAGCCAGCAGGCACCGATTCATGTCTCACAAGCAGTGCCATCGTTTGCGCTCGACTAGACGGCTGCAGCTATTCCGGACAGCCGCAGCCCCCGACGGTCCCTCCCCGTCTGACCCCCCATCCCTCTCACCGAGTCAGGCCTGTGCGGCGTGTGGGCACTGTCGCGGCCCAGCCGCTCCCGCAGTGTGTCAGACACCACCTGCCGGAACCAGGTCTCGCCATCCGTGGCCACCGTCGGGCCGCCGTCCGCCGCCGGTAGCCAGTTGTCGTTCTCGTCCACAGACTCGGGCGCAGGGGCCGATACAGCCTCCGCCTCCGCCGCCGGCGAGTGCTGCGGATACTGGGGGAGCGGGACGCGGTCAGTGACCACTGATCAACGAGCAAGTGACGAACATGGTAACGTGTTCACTAATGGGTCTGTGTCCAGAGGTCGACTCTTTTCGACAACGGGGGCCATAATTAGATTTGAACGTAGACTAGAACCAAGAGAATAATTGTATTATTGCAGCTATTTTTAAGTTTAGCTGTATGAGCGGGTAGCCTAAGACCGGTACTCACAATGAGCAGAGCATAGTGCAGAGGTCATTGTGGTCTTACCCTTTAGGTACCACTGGTCCTAAGCTCTACTGACCAACCAAGAAATGGTGAGCACAACGTAGAATTCAAGGTTCGAGCTCGGGCGTTTTACGCGTCCATAAAGTAGGGCAAAGCCCGTCTCTTCACCGCTCTCCTCGGGCCTATAACGTCTTACGTCACCACTGCCTCTGACAGTCAACCATCCTCGTCAGGACCAGCTGTTCTAAAATTATACCATACTGAGCTGACAGTAGGATGTGGCCCATACCATACCAACTTGACTCAGTCGTAAGTCGACTCGTGCTAACTCACCTGTACCGTCACAGTGATGGTCTCCACCGAGCTGGCCGACTCGCCCCGGTCCTGGTTGTTGCTCGCAGGCTCGCCGCGGTCCTGGCCGGCACTGACCACGCCCTCCATCTCCTCCTCTGGCGTCCCATCGACCACGGAGCGGTCGTCCTCAGGCAGGCGCCGGTCACCACTCGCCGCCGTCTCTGTCCCGTCCGCCGGCGGAGTGGCGGCGACGAAGCCACCTCCTGCCGCCGGCGGCGACTGCCTGCCCCGCCGCGGCTCAGGCCGCTCCACAGGCGGCAGCGGCTCGTCCTCCCAGGTGAACTCGTCAGACCCCGAGCTGTCCCGTCGGACGGCCGTGGAGCCGGCGCCGGCGGCCGCTCGGGCCGCGACAGGCTTAGTGCTCCTCTGACAGGAGTTTCCTCCGGTGCTGGCAGCCGGTCGGGCCGGGGCAGGCTGAGAGTTTCTCTGAAAGGAGTTCCTTGCTACAGCAGAGGCCGGGGCAGGCTGAGAATTTCTCTGAAACGAGTTCCTTCCTACAGCAGAGGCTGGGGCAGGCTGAGAGTTTCTCTGAAACGAGTTCCTCGCGGTGCCAGCGCTGGTGGCCGCTGGGGCCGGGGCCGGCCGAGTGTTCTGACAGGTACCGGCGCCGGCGGCCGCTGGGCCCGAGGCAGGCTGACAGTTCCCTCCGGTGGGAGCGCCAGCAGGTCGCCCACCGACTGCGGTCGCCGGACGACTGGCGGACGCGGAGGGAGGGACCGGGCCGCGGCCGCACCGACTGCCGCCCGCGGCTGCCGATCCCCGGTGGTAAGGTGCTGGTCTCGGCCCAGCCTCCGAGCGGTGCTTATCCTGCGGGAACGCTGTCCATGGTTCGGACGTGAACGGGCGCGGCCGGGAGTCTTTCTCTGACTCAGGCAACGGCTGTGAAGGTGACTGGACATGAGCTGCATGCGACTGAGCAGGGCCCGGTGCCGGGGACCGAGGGACCTCCAAGTATCTTCTATGTCTATAACTCCTCTTCTTTCTCTTCTTCGACGTTGAGTTCATCTCCGGACTGGTTGCATGCCGTCGCCGGCTGGTGGAGAGTTTGCAGCGCTTCTGGTCGCCGGTCAGAGAGCCGGGCCGCGAGCGTCGCTTGCTGCCTGGGGCAGCGTCCGGGCGCGGGCTGTCGACCGAGCCGCGGGCCGGCCCGGGCGCGTCCGCTTCCAGGGTTGCTGGCTGGTCGGCCGGCAGGCTAGCACCTGCAGAACAGCGAGCCGAAAACAGGGGTGTCTCCAGTCTCTAGAGCCAAAGAGCATTTTACATACATAAGTAGTTACCAGTCTGCAAAACGTGGCAGGGGTCGACGAAATCTTGTCAGGGCAGACACTGCGGGGTAGGGGCAGATTTTTTTATTATAAATTTTGTCCGAACCTTTTGATGGGAAGGATTCACAAGGACAGAGCCACCGCTAAGCGAAGCTTGTTGCGATGACCCTGCCCTCTACCCTCCGATCGCGCAATTCCAGTTCTATGGCAGAATTTAGAGTCCAAAGTTTAACGTGCGCACAAAGCCGCGCACGGCCGGTCCCCTCGCTGACTTCGCCTGGCTACGGCCTGCCACCAACCGCAACCATACCTGTCAGGAGGCCCATAAATGTCGAGCGCCCGTCGCGCTACGAACCCGGACTGTTATAACCGGGAACGCGTGCTCTCACCACGCGGAGTCCAACGCTCTAACCAACTGAGCTACGGGACCGGCAGATGGGACCTACAGATGGCCCTGATGAAGATGCTGCAGCACTGATGCCGCATTCGTTCGGCGTTCGAGAACCATTTTCGTACGCATTCAAGCAGCTTAACCAGTAACCACTATGGGTGATCCCCGGGAGCTACCAACACGGCCGATTGTGGACGGCTGAGGTTGGATGCCAACTTAATAGGTACTCTGCTTAATGTCACGCAGTATTATACACAGTTTAAATGTCACTCATGCAGCGGCTATATTCCCATTTAGGGTGAAACTGATTTCTGCAGGATCCCGGAATTGGCAAAATTCGGAATCGGGATCGGGATTAAAAACCTGTCGGGATCCTGGGATTGCAATATCTATCAGCAATGTCACATTTTTAGAAGAAACACTAACTGGGAAGAACACAAAGGAACACTAATTCATATAACTTAAAACAACGTGCAAATTTTTTGTAAAAAAGTTGGTTTTATTAGGTACCGCAACTGACTCTAACGTTAGTGCGGGTTACGTAATAATACAATTTTTTTTTACTATATTTGATATACAGTGAATCAATGGTTGAATGGCTGGAGTGGGCAGGGTGTTGGGTGATGACCATATATGGTCATAATTGGAAAACTTCATCTTTTCCATGCATCCTAGCATTCAAATGAAAAAATAAGGCATAAGAATTATTTTTAGCCACTGAAGGCCTACACTCACTCGGTGAACGATGCACCGGCGGCTCTAAATCACAGAGTTACAATACAAGGTCTAACAGTGATTGGCAAATATGGCGGATTGAAAGACATGCCAAAAAATGTAAGCAGCACCATGGTTTTAAAATGTCATTATTTCTATTATTTTGAATTTGGTTTTTCCAATTGTGGTTAAATTATTATTTTAAATTTAAATATCTTTATTTATTGTGATCAAATTAAATCTTTTAATATCGATCCATTTATGGAATGGCCAGCCGATTGTGACAACCGGAACCTGCAGAAGCCATTTTTTATCGCCATTTTCGCGTGAATTAGCAGAATTTGATCAAATTACGTTGATTCCTGGTGGAAAATGGAAGCTTTTTCTCTGAGATAAGTGGACGCACCGCAAGTACAGGCACGTTACACCATTTTTTACCCTTAGTAGCAAGAGCTGCATTTATGCTCATATATGGTCATAAAAGTATATTTATTGACAGATCCATTTTTGGTTCTTTGCCTCGTTTCCCCAACTGATATGCCGATGCCCCATTTGGGGGCAGAAATAGGGCTCCACTGCCCAGAGGTCAATTGCCCCAAGCACCCTCCTTGAGCCGACACATTTTTCAGAATGGACGTGTGCATGCATGAGATGAGCCCAATGGGTGACAAGGTTTACAATTGGCACAAATAAGCTTCAACTTTCGGCACAAATTTTGCTAAAATTTCAGCACAAAACCACTTGCGCCGAATTTCGGCACATGAGTGACTGAGTCCCAGAGGCGTCTCGCGTACTGCAGCGCCCAAGCAGTGCCTTGACTGTAGTATGAATTTTTCCAGTCTGGGCCTATGATGGTAGTTCTATCGGCTTGCCAAGCATTCACCAGCAGTATATGCCACCATACAATTAATAATAATACTAAAAAAATAAAAGGAGTGTAATGTCAGCTAACACTTCCTACAGCGCGGCCAAGGCTATAGAACTCCAGGTAAGGACACCAGCCGTTTGACCTTGAACGCCGCCGGCCGGCCGATGACGTCATTGGAGGCAAGCCGGCTCGGCGGACGCATCGGGCGAGCGTGTAACGGAGGAGCGTTGGGACGTTGCGGGAGCCGGGGAGAGATTTTAAAGCGTTTTTTGCATACCACCATTGTTATGTTGATTGATCTAGACTGCATTCTTATAAAGTTCGACGCATCTTAGGCCTGGATGGTGCGTACATTCGTAGAACGGTCCGACGTCCGTGGTCGAAGCTGTCTATATGTAGGTACATACCTAAAGACGCCAAGACCGGTACAATAATGGCGACCTGATCCCGTCTCTGGCGATTCTAGGACTCGTTAGGACCCAGGCCGAGTCTGACCCGTCCATTTTAGGGAAACGGGGTGGGTGAATTGAGAACCGAATACCGATGGTTAGAGTGGATCCCGTCGTCGAGCGATGGTTGATTGACAGACAACACATGTTGTAGTGGGGTGGGTGGGTGGATAAGCATCAGGGATGATGCCTGAACGCAGGCAAGCATAATTGGTCTGCCATATTGTTTAGGAATATAAAATCGTAACGGAGGTCCTTGAGGATATGATCTTTACAATACGAGGATTCGCCACCAGTGAAATTACTATACTGTTAAACCCTCAGTCCCGGGCAAATCCAGGGAGCTGCAGTAGTATCCGGCGGCCACCTCGTCGACTCGCAGGTCCTGTGGGCTTCCGTGATACTTCAGTGCTTCACCCATAGAGGCACAGGTAGAGCAGTAGGATGTGGGGTGTGGTGTCTATACGCCTCTTCATTGTAGGCATAAAATAAAACAAACAAAAAAAACATCGGATTTTGATTCCTTGCGCTCTACTGTGCAGTTCGATCAATAAAATTTTCCTCAGAAAAGTTGTGAAGTTTTCGTTTTGTTCTTGAAAAACGAATTCGGACGCTGCCCCGGATGTGGGCCTGTGGGGGATAACATTTGTCCCAAACGCCTTCCCTTGGATCCGCCAGCGGGTTGCCCCACCCTGAGCTTAACTAAAAAGTAAAAACGTCTTAAAATCCCACCAGAGAGCCCGATGGTAAGGTCAATTCAGATCCGATAACTCATCTGTCTGTCCGCCTAAATTACTACGCACCGTACCTACGGCGCCCGGCCCCGTCGGAGCTCTGAACCGACCGTGATATTTTTGGTTTTCCCCCATCCCAAGCTCCATTAGAAACGTTCTCTCTCCCCATCAAATTGCTCATGATGTCATTTCAAATTCAATACCTACCGGCTACCTCATCTCTGTCTGCCCGCCCATTCATTGCACACCTTACGGCGCCCGGCCCCGCCGGAAGGATCCTAGCGCGCTGAGTGGTTGCCTCCAGCCGCGTCATCGCGAGGCCCCGCGAGGCCCGTAAATTAATACATTGCGTGAATAGCCGTGTCGCCCCCCTGAGCGCGGCCTGAGCGCGGCGCACGTGATTGATCGCGACCGCGCCACAAAAAACACGATGCGCTGATTTTGAAATTTGCGCTTTGTTCGTCCTCTAACCAACACTTTTTGTGCACTCCAATCCAAGCGAAAAGGTAGCCTTGATCGAAAATAGGATCACGTGAGGTTAAAAACTTCCTTTTCCAATTAACTATCACGAAAATTATACCACAATTTTTATCATATTTCAAAAGCATTAGAACTTGATCTAGAACAAACAAGTTCTCTAAAGTAAGGTCCGTGATTTTAGAGCCGCAACTTTTTGGGAAGCTAATAATATTTTGCACATATACATATGTAGGTATAGGTAGGTATAGGGTGGGTATAGCCTATAGGTACCTAATACCTATCAAGGCTTGTCTTAGTTATGAATCTATGATTTTCTATTTTTTGTAATACAGTTAGCCTATAGCCGGCAGCATGTCTATGTAGACCGGCAGAATGGCAAGACTGGATCCCTGGGGCCTGGGCACTAGCCATGGCTAGATATGTGCAGGTGCACGGTGACTAGATATGTGCACATAAGGGCCTCAGTAGTTCATGCAGCCCGGCTGCGGGTGACCACTCAAAAAGAACATGCCTCTGACTTTCTCGCTTTCTGAAAGTTTTGATCTGCCCAAGAGTTTCTACGCAAAAAACATTCATTCCACATTTCTCACTGAAATTCCGGCTTCTCGATTGTTTATTCAGAGCCGGTGGACGGAGGGAGCCGCATCTTTTTGACGGCCTGCAATTCAGCTTCGAGCGGTTTTGCAATAGTTCCAGCTCCGCAGCAGCATCCCTGTAATTTGCCCTAATCCACTAAGAAGAAGAAGAAGCATCCCAGTTTTGATGAGTGAGAATACCTGTAACCTCAGCACCCCTATACTCTTGTATCAGTAGGTACCTATAATCTCGGCATGTGCATCACGACGCACCGTGACACTTCTCACCGTGACGCTTTTGACCCGGCAGTCGGCATAGTGACGCTTTTCACAGCCTTATATCTTGGTAACCGCTTGACTAATTAGGTACCTACATTATTGTCATATCTACCTGTATACATTCGCCGTTTTCTGCACCAGAGAGACTCAATACGCAAATTATGAGCTAAACCACTTTCGATGCATATTAGAGACCGCCGACCGACGACTCGCGTGCTTAGTCAGGGGTGTCAAAGCTGCTCCGCTTTCGTCTTTTGAGAGGCTTATATCTCAGCCGCTGATTGGCCTGCGGTCTTTTTTTTCTGATCCTCGCCCGTATTGGTGTTTTACCAGCCTGCATGCACGAACGTATGGTGAGTGATCCCCCCACCCCTTGCCGTTCGGCCCCTGATCGAGCTATAGAGTAGAGCTTCACGGAAAAACGATCGTGTTGCCCGTGACGAGAGGAAGCCGATGATACCCAATTTTAAGGTCCTAGGTCATCGGTTGACCCTCCAGGTCAGGTCAATGACCCAAAAGCCGGGAAAATCGGGACCTGTCAGAACTCCGTAATGTGAGGTCGTTGCTTTTTTCGGGGTGCTGATCACAAATTCCATGTTAGTTTTGATCACAGATGATGTCTTTATTCATTTAGGCCAGGTCGGGTAAGGTCAGGTTGAGTCACCCAGTAGGGACCTGCCGAGCATAGGTAATTGAGTAGGTAGCTGTCAACCACCACAAAGCTTCGTAACATGTTACGCAGGCACCAAAACTATGCAAATGTTCAAATGGTTGCTAAGTTCGAAATCAGCTGCAAAAAAAAACTAGCCTAGAAACATGTAAAACTCGAAAAAGTGAACCGAGGTCATCAAAGGTCAATGACTCCCGACCTCCAGGTGACATTGACATCCACCATAATGCGTGGGACCAGCATCATATCACATGCTTGAACGTTTGAAACCACAAAAAGACTGCAAACGCTGGGCTAATGCGAGCCGATATGCACCGAACCGCGATTCCGGCCAAACATAGTCTCGAGAAATAGGTCACGTCACAGGGCAAAGGTCCGGGTCACGGTCATGACATTTCCAGGATAGGTGTAAAATAAATCAATTCGAGGGCACTGAAAGTTTCGTCGCGATCGGCCGCTTTTATGCGAGTTTTTCGCGAAAAATCTAGGGGGGGGGGGGTGGTTGTTTGACCTCCCCCTCCCTATACGGGTGAGGGATACCTATTTGCCCCCCAGCCTGAAAGAAGTTTCCGCGCCACTGGGACTGGGAGGCACCGTGCCCCCCATCCCAAATTACCTTCCACCGCCTGTGCATGCAAGTCAGTTGGGATACAGTTTGCACCTATAGGTACGCACGTGCAGGTGACCACTTCCACATTTCGAGAACGGCTGGGCTGATAGCGCTAAAATTTGGTGTACCGCTTGAAACCGGTTAATATGGTGTCCCCCCACAAGCCAGGTGGGGGTAACCCTTCTCACTTGTGCACGTACATTGCTGACCCTCGCGCTCGCCAGTTTATCTCCCCAAAAGTCGTCTTTATACCTCCTGGTGTTAAAAGTCAGCAAGTGGTTTGATTCCCATGGCTCGCATATGAACTGATCAGAAGATCCACCACATACCAATCCTCTTCCTCTGCCTATGTACAAATACATATACATGCCTAACCTATGTATAAATCTGCACTTATGGCGTTGAAAAACGTGGCCAGGGGTAAGTCCTACAATGGCATATTGCACAATACTCGACAGAACAGACGTGAGATAGCAAATCAGAAACGTCATCGGTCATTCCCACTTCCCTCCGCTCCGAGCCAATTATACTCGTAGTCTCCGAGCCGTCCGTCCAGTTGGCGTATAACAGAACACGTGCGAGGCAGGGTCTGTCCTCGCCGCAGCCCCGGTGCGTCATCGCGCGGAGATGGCGTCAGCGGCGGGACTCTTCGGGGGCGCCGGTTTTACCGTCCGTCCGGCCCCGGCCGCCGGCGGCGTATCGAGCCGGTCTGCAGAGGTGGGCAGCACCAGGCAGCGCGGCCCATCCGGGCGGATTACGGCTGCTGGGTGCCGCGCGGCGCTGGCGTCGCATCCTCGGCCTCGCCGGCTGGCCACTCGCTCAGTGACACCATGCAGGTAAGGGTGTGCAGGTGTGTGACCAGCGGTCTCACGTTGGTCGGCTGGCGCCTCATCCTCCACATATAATTTTTGTTCTAAGGAAAACAAGCTTTTGCGGCATCCTTTCGTAAGTTTAATTATTATCGTTCGGAGGGAGGCCGCAACAGATAAAAGACAAATTGTGTACCTATATTGCTACAATTCCTTCATCCGGCTGATGCCACTGAGTTTACTTGGACCGATAGGTAGGTATACCTAGGCATTGATATTCGCCACCTCGCGATGGCCACAGACCTCCCGCTGAATCGAATCGCTTCGGAGTCGAAGTGAATCAAAAAGGGGTTTTCGAATCGCTATTTCCTTTCGTAAAGAAGATATCCTGTTGTGCTCGTAGAAACGGGGCGTGTCATATACCCGAGCTGAAATTTTTTATTTAGTTTCGGAAGTCAAATGAAGCCGTTTGCCAATTGAAATTGGAATTACCGCATTGTTTGTTGGCTTGCGTTCGGCTACGGGCTATGTCATACCTATGTCATTTATAGTCATATGTGGACAAGATTCCTACGCTGACAAGCTTAACTTTTAAATCTCAAATCTGCGGTATGCTTACTCGAAAGTAGCAGCCCGGAAGTTCCCAATCGAGTTTTGAAGGTCAGAAATTGCACAATCTTACTTGTCATTGTGTGTGGATTTTACTACCTACGTCGGTACTTTGGACGCATAGACCCGGGAACAGGGGGGGCAGCGGGGCGCTTGCCCCCCCCCCCCCCCAACTTGGGAGCCGAGGGGGCGGCGCCCCCTCAACATTGAGGCAGCGAGAAAAGGTCTTTCCCCCTTTTCCGGACTTCTTTCCTTTTGTTTCCTTTATACATCTAAACATCAACACACGGCATTTTTCTTGCCATCTGAATGGTTTCTGCTGATACCTACAGTATCGATTTGACAACATCTGCTATTGTCATCCCGCTTTGATTTGGGCCTGACCTTGGCCATAAGCTTGGCAGGCCAGTTTTATACTGGACCATTTTGAGTCAACTTTGAGAAATGCATAACGTACGATGGTGGTAAAATCGTTGCTATATGTATAACACAGTTTTGAGTTTACCCGCTCCGGGTGTGAGGGAGGGGTGTGGGGCAATGAGTGCACTGACGTGGCGCCCTCGGTATGGGATGGGATGCATGGGATACATTAGAGGGCCGGTATGGGATTAAAGTTCAGCGACACTAAGGGCTTATGTGGTGCCTTCGGTTATCGGCAGCACCCTCAAAATCACCGGCGTAGGGCGCTCAGAGCCGCCGGTAAGGGGCCTTTAGAGGCACCAGTGTGGGGCCGTCATGGAGGTGCCGGTGTGGGCGCTCAGAGGTGCTAGTGTGATTCTCTCAGAGGCGCCGATGAGGGTCCTTACAGGCGTTGCTGTGGGCCCTCATAGACGCTGGTGTGGAGCCGTTACAGACGGGTGTGGGGGCTTTAGAGCTGCTGACGCGAACTCTCTTCAAGCCGGCAGGGGGTCTCAGTGACCGGCAAGGGGTCCTTAGGCCGGCAGAAGAAGTCCTGTGGGGTCCTTAGAGACCGGCATGGTACTGTCAGACGCCGGTGGGGCCCTCAGACTCACCGGTGTGGGACCCTCAAAAGTCACCAGTGGGTGGCCTTCAGATGCACAGGTGTTGGTTGGGTCCTCAGAGCCGCCGATACAGAGCTTAATTTTAATAGGTTTGGTGTAGGCACTCAGAGTTGGGGGTGGGAAACCCTCAGAGACACCGGTGTGGGCCCTCATAGGCGCCGATGAGGGTCCCATAGTTGCCGTTATGGGGCCCTCAGAAAAATAAGTGTGGGACCATCACAGGCGGGAAATGCCCCTAGAACTGGCCCCTCATAGGGCGGTAAGGACTCTCAGAGGCCAGTAACGGGCCTTTGGAGACCACCGAGGTGCCCTAAAAAGGCGCAAGAGGCGCTCAGAAGCCGGCGTGGGGCCCTTATGGAGATCTTGTGTGGCTATTTAGGGCCCATGTGGTGCTCTAACGAGCCCCATGGGGCGTCAGCGGTTTGACCTTCAGCGGTCAAATGGCGCCGCGCCCCTCGGACCCGAAGGTCCCTTTGAACCCAATGGAGGGGGTGGGTGGGGGGGGGGGGGGGGGTACGTGTCCCCTTAGACCCCTAGCTACGCAATTGTTTCATATGCATCATGTCAGGTATTTTAGGCTCGCCCCCCCCCCCCCCAACTTTAAAATCGTTCCCGGGCCCCTGTTTGGACGTCTGCTGAAACCGGCTGAAACTCACCTAAACACAAAACAAGTAACTGACCTATAGCACGTAGATCTCTGCGACATGTGTTTAGTCTCTTCAAGAACGGTTTTCCATTTGAGTTAGGTACCTACTATATGAGCTTGCAGCTCCTATCTGTCGTCGCTGAAATGCCAAATGGGATGGTGTTCAGGTAAAGCTGATCGATTTCAACCAGACGAGATTTTGACATCGTATTCGTACCTGTGATCTGAAAGGATATATACGATAGCTCTAAGTTGAAGGTGGTTTCTGGTATCGAAGGAGCGAGTTTCGACTTTGCAAAGCCGTGGACGCACTGAAGGTGACCAAAAGGTCGACCAAGATATTCCACCAGTAGTTTCCCGATCCCGGTCGCGGCGGTCGGGGGTCAATATGGCTGGCTTTGCGTTAGCATTCGGTAGGTAATTAGTTTTTATTCATAATAGTTAGGTAGGTACTTACTTCAGTTATCACCTTCAGCACTCTAGGCCGTTGCTCACCGCCCACAACCTATTACCGACCACACTGCCCACTCTGCCGTTCTCTCAGTTCACCGGCACGTCGTCACCGTACTCATTTGGTCCTAGTCTAGCGGATAGGTCAGGTCCGCGTCGGGTCGGGTCCACGTCAGGGTCCTGTGTTGCGGCCTCCGCCTGTGGAAAACGACGGCTCAGGCGATGGTGTTCCAGTCCAGCTCCCGGCCTGGCTACGGGACGGACCCGACCCCGTTCACTCCAGTTCGGAACTCTTGACACCTCACCTCCCGGCCCGTTCGGCAGGTACAGGGACTGCTGCTGCTGCTGTTGGGCTGTCTGGCGCTGTCTGGCGGCCAGCAGCCGCCGGCGCCCAGGCGGCTCGTGTGCTACTACACTAACTGGGCGCGCTACCGGAAACCGCTGGCCGCCTTCACCCCGGAGAACATCAGCCCGCACCTGTGCACCCACCTGCACTACGCCTTCGCCAACACCAACAGCCAGCTGCGCGTCGGGCCCAGCGACCCCTTCTCCGACTTCACCAAGGGCGGCTACAAGCAGATGGTGGCGCTGAAAAAGGTGAACCCGGCGCTCAGGGTGCTCATTATGCTCGGCGGCAGCAACTCGCCGCAGCAGATGGCCTTCGAGGAGATCGCCGCTGACGACTCGAAAATGAAGCGCTTCGTGTCCGAGGCGATCAAATACGTCAGAATGCACAACTTCGATGGCATTGACCTAGATTGGAAAGTTCCACGCCAAAAGGAAGGACACGCGCGGCTTTTGGAGCTGTTCGCTAGCGAGGTTAAAAAGGAATCGGAGACGTCGGGGAAAGAGAGACTCATCATAAGTACCACCATTCCCGGCAATGTCACAATGCTGATGGAAGACTTCGACGTCCCAAGGATCGCCAAGGCAGTTGATTACGTGAACGCTCTAGTGTACCAGTTCCGCTCGTGCGACGGAAACCGGACCAGCCACCACTCGCCACTGTTCACCACGGACCCCGAGAGCACAGACTTTGTCGACTTTATCGTGCAGATGTACCTCAGCTCGGGCGCCGACCCAGCCAAGTTCAACCTGGCGGTGCCGGCGTTCGGCAAGACGTACACGCTGAGCGACCCGGCGGTGAGCGGGTTCGGGGCGCCGACCGCCGACCTAGGCTTCCCCGGGAAGCTGACCGGCGGCGCCGGCGCTCTGTCCTTCACCGAGATCTGCGAGCACGTCAGCATGGACGGGTGGACGGCGCACCGACCGCTGCCCGACGCCGCCGGCCCTTACGCCGTCGGCGGCGACCAGTGGGTCGCCTACGACGACCAGTTCATGATGCGCAGAAAGGGAGCCTACATCCGAGAGAAGGGTCTGGGCGGCGCCGCCGTCTGGAGCCTCAGCCAGGACGACTTCCGCGGCTTCTGCACGGGCCGCCAGTTCCCGCTCATTGAGGCGCTCAAGCTGGGCATGTACGAGGACACTCCGGTCACGACTACAACGCCCAGCCCGCCGACCACGCCCGAGTACGACAACAGCGCCGTCTTCACCTGTCCATCCGACGGCCGCTTCCCCAAGCCGGACAACTGCCGCGAGTTCTACATCTGCTCCGACCGCGTGGCCGACGTCAAGAGCTGCGAGGACGGCACCGTCTTCGACGCCGAGCGGAGCTTCTGCAGGGAGGACGCGCCGTGCATGGACACCGAGCCGCCGCGAGTGACCCAGTTCAGGTCGACGCCGCCGCCCGTCACCGAAGCGCGTCTCACCGTCCCGCCCCCGCTGCTCAGGGCCGGCGGAGACACAGACACCGTCGTGATTCCCGCCGCGGAGCCGACGACAACACGCCCGATCGACATGAAAGTCGACATGGACATGGACGTGAAGACGGACGGGGAGCTGCAGCAGGTGCTGCAGCTTGTTCAGGAGCTGGGCGGCATCGACAGCTTGCGCACGCTGCTGAGCGCGCTGCGGCAGCCCTCGGTACAGGTGGAGGCCGGAGCACCCTCCGCGCAGGTGGAGGCCGTGGCACCCTCCACCCCGGTGGACACCGGCGCGCCCTCCCGACTGACGGAGTTCCCCGCGCCGCAGCCCGCCGTCGCCCAGGTGGTCACCACGGACGGCGGCAGGACCAGGATCAGGGTACACGTCACCGTGGAGCTGGAGCCGTTCTGAGAGCCTGGGGCCTGCGACACCGCGACCCGGAGGTCAGAGGTCAGAGGTCAGAGGCCGTCGCGAACAGTGAGGTGAGGCGTGGGACGAAACATGTGCCGTCCGAGCGAGATAAATGTGCCCATTTCTATCAAATCTAAACCATGTGCAAGAAGTGAGATGTGTTGTTATGATCGCTCAACTGTTGTGAGAATGAAGGCCGGTCCTAATACATGCGTGAAATGTATGCAGTCAATCAGAACCTCTGACAGCACGTGAAGATACCTATACAAATCACAAGAAAATCGGCACTGTAATGTCATCGACATGGTTCTAGAAGCTCCACTAACGCACTTCATTGGTTCGTGCCATTACCGTTCGGTGTACATATGCCCGTACCTAATTCAATGTGTAAACCACCGCTCCGCTGTCAACGGTTGGTGGCGTGGGCCGGGGCAGGAGAGAGGCTGAGTCGGTATGGACCATGTATTGCCAGGCGCACATCTTCAGGGCGACAGGGACGCCCCGCAAACAGCGATGCGTCGCAACACACTGCAGGGCTGCATGGCCCTAAACCAAGGCAGGTCCAACAAGAAGGCTCGGGCCAGAAAAGCAGAAACCCCGCGTCCTGAAAAACGACATAAAATACAGGACCGTACACGCAACACATGGAATAAAATACAAACGCGCAATAACAATTAAATGCAAACGCCAGGTACACCAAAGCGATAACAATTAATTAAGTAGGGAATTCACATGACAGCCGGAACCTAACTCACCGTTCAGGGGCGCAGACGCGACACAAACCGGCGCCCTGCACGACGGCCGGCGCAGAAAGGGCGGCTGGCCGCGCCCAACCCGCCAGGTCAGCGCCGGCCCGGAACTCGCACGCGATTGGTCGAAGGGGGGGGGGGTCATGTGAGAGGTCGCGAGTGACAATACGTCCCGCCCCGACAAAACGCTCGAGAAGGGAAACGAGGAACGCGCAACTAAAATAAACAACCGTAACGTGTAGAACATAATAATACACCGCTTGCAAATGTACGGACAATATTATTTATGCCTTCTTACCGGTGACCGTCACTGTGCATTTGTTAGGTACATATGTACAAGCATTGCAACTTGCTTGTTTGGTACCTTCTACTACTATGTACCTCAGAAAGTGCATTAATAGGTGCCAATTTGAAGGAAGCCACATGTATCTTAACCCTCGCCCGTACATATGTGTTTTTCCAGCCGCTTACGTATAAGGGGAGGGGGGTCCGTTGGACCCCCTTGCTGTTTCGCCCCTGATCAATCTAGAGCTTCGCAGAAAAAAACGAGCGTGCTGCCCGTGACGAGAGAAAGCCGATGATACCCAATTTTAAGGTCCTAGGTCATTGGTTGAACTTCCAGGTCAGGTCAATGACCCAAAAGTCGGGAAAATCGGGACCTGTTAGAATGTCGTAAAGTGTGGCTGCTGTACTTTATTTCGGGGTGCTGATCACTAATGTCATGTTAGTTTTGATCACAGATGATGTCTTCATGCATTTAAGCCAGGTCGGGTCAGGTCAGGTCAGGTCAACCAGTAGGGGTCCTGCCGGGTATTCGTAGTACGTGTCAACCGCCTATGGCAGCTTCGTAACATGTTACGAAGTCACCAAAACTACTTCGTAAATGTTCATGTGGTTGCTAAATTCGAATTCAGCTCCAAAAACTAGCCTAGGAAAATGTTAAACTAGAAAAAGTGAACCGAGGTCATCAAAGGTCAATGACCTGACCTGAACTTCAGGTGGCCTTGACACCCACCCTATAGCATGGGGAGCGATCGGCATGGCGGGGAAATTCACATAGCACAGACGTTCTGGCGACTGCACACTGTATAATGTTTAGTGTAAAGCACCTCTTCTAATCGGTATGCGATGCCGCGTCAGGTGCCAGCCAGTCGACATAACCTTGGAAAGTTGCTAGCCTTGGTCGGTTGGAACTGGCATCTTGGCCTCTCATTTGAGATGATCAAACCGCAAACGATTCGAACAAAATAATGTCGCATCGCTGCTACATAGGAATGGAGCGCATGTTTGAGCTCCCTTCTGCAAATTACGCTTGTAGCGAATCGAATCCATTCTTTTATCCTTATATACTCGTACTAATCTTATCTATCTCGACAGCGGTAAAGATTTCCACTCTAGTCTCTAGAGACCGTGATTTTCGGAAGCAGCTTGCCGAGAAGGCTCTGTGAGCAAATTTTCAGCCCAATCGGGATGACCCGGTCATGGGTGGAAACAACTTTAGAGGGTTCTATCTCGAGAACAGTAAAGAATCTCACCCTAGCCCGCGCCGGGCCGGTGCTCTGAGATTCCGCGCCGGGCCGGGGGGGGGGGGGTGTCTGAACACCCCCCGTCTAACTCGGCTCCTGGGCCACGTAGCGACACGCGGTAAGCGGCAATCGAAAGAACGTCTAAAATAAGGACGAAAACACTTCGGTCATTTTTTGGGTCAGGTCAAAGGTCAGGTCACCAGAGGTCACCAAAGGTAAAATATTGACTATTTCAACATTTTGGAAACTGCCAACGGCTATCTCGGGAACCGATAGAGCTACAGCGCCGCGGAAAAGCGCATTCGATAGCCCTTTTACAGACCTTTTTGAATAATGCTCTCAGATTTGACCTCAGGTCAACGGTTTAGCCTCCAGAGGGCAAAAACTCCAAAAGTAGCCGTTTTTACGAAAAGCGTTTTTTTGGCAATAACTTTTGACTCAAAAGAGCCATGACATTACTTTTGCCAGCAACGTGTTCCTCTCGTCGAGACGCGTCGAATGAACTATAATTTGACCTTGAAAGGTGAGCTTGAAAATTTGACCTCAGGTCAAGGTCATGACCTGACCGGAAAAGGTCATGTTGCATATCAGTCGATCCGCAACGTCGAGCCGAACACATCTAAGGCGTTTTCAGCGCTCTAGCACGCCTCTATCAGAAGTTATTAGCGAAAAACTGATAGATTCTGTTCGTGACCTGAGATGACCTCGGGGACATAACGAGGGGTCACAGTTGCCATTTTCCGGTTCAGTGTGTCAATTGTACCTATATCTCGATGTTTGAGAGTGTCTAGAATAGTGTCCGTGCAAAACAGACGCTTTTCAATTTTCTCCCATTGACTTATAATGGAGAGGCCGCAAAATTGACCTGACCTTAGGTCACCGAATTCCGAGATAAACATTTTGTAGATATAGTTGCTCTTATCAATCGCTGAAAGTTTCAAGACAATCGATCAATCGGTGTAGCTATGACGAGCATTCCTATTTTTTCTGACGTGAGGTCACTTGGCGTGACCTGGTGACCTGACCTAAGGCGACCTGGGTCTGAAATTTTCACAACATGTGCGGAAAAGATGCACGAACAGGTGTGCCAAAAACGGCGGCGCTCCGCGCCGCCGTTTTTGAGATATCTGCGAAAAACCGCAGGGGGGGGGGTGTTCAAACACCCCCCCGGCCCGGCGCGGGCTAGAGACAATGATTTTCGGAATCAGCGTGCTGAGAAGGCTCTGCTAAGCAAATTGAAATGTATAGCCAAATCGGGATGGCCCGGTCATGGGTGGGAAAAAGTTTAGAGGGTTCTATCTCGAGAACGGTTAATTGTTTCCCACCCTAGAAACCATTACCTATTTTCTGAATCAGCGTGCTGAGAAGGCTCTATGAATAAATTTTATGGCCCGTTTCTCGCTGCTGGACTCGCTGCTAGTTTGACAGACGTGAAATAATTACTCCACTGAACTAATTACGCGAATTTGAATCCGAATACGAATATGAATACAACGCTAACTTTATGGACATGACGTGAATGGGATCATTCCCTACAGTTTTGGGAATTGGGTTATCATCAAGTATCATAATGCTCCTAGGATTTTTTCATTTTTCACTTCAAATGCATAACAAAAACACCGTGATACCGAAAACCCTTCCCGAGAAGCACCTCACCTGAATATGACGGCTTCGATGTTGATGTGCAGCACTGGTGCATTGAAACCTACATTTCGACTTGGAACGTGAGGCGCAGTCCTGTATTATGTCACCCGCATAAAATACTTCTATTGTATACTCTGAACTTGCTCTGAACCCCAGATCCCGGTGATTGATATATGTAGGATAATGATAAATTGCAGTAATGCATGCGACCTTGTGACGCGGAAACTGCGCGGAAACGCACCGTTGTTTTCTCACTCGCGTGATATTTTGAAACAGCTGCGCAGATATCGTCAACAAGTCAGCAAGTAAAAAAATGACAGCTCCCAGCCCCTAATGCATTATTATATATTTTATCAATTATCCTCAATTAAGTAAAACTGAAATAATACAACCTATTTACAAAAACGACCATATTGATATCTAAAATAAAAGCAAAAAACTAAAATATCTTATTCAAAACGAGGGATTTCTTCTTATTGAATGACGATAGCAGAATATTTACATCAGAGGTGCATTATGAGTCAATGCGGTTGCTAAGCAACCAACTCATTCACGTAAGAAAATTAGGTATGGTCACGTCACGTGATGTATCAAAATCAAAACAATGCATATCATTGGATGGGGGGAACCGACGGGTGAATGATGATTGGTAGATTCGATGTTATTAAATGCCATCGAGCGCGTGGTTTAGCGCGTGTTGCAGCGCATGGCATTGTTTACAAGTTTACGACTTGCGAGTTGGACGAGTGGTGGCCGTGGCTTGGCCGTGGCGTTGTTTGCTTGGTTTGTAAATCTGGTAAATTTTATTTCCCGGTGAAATAAATTGTGAAAGCAGTTCACTGCCTTCTCGCTTAATACCTTTAATTCTTGGTGATAGTAGCCGTTTTCACGACGGCCATCTGGTACACATTTCAACTTGGTGCACATCTGGTGCAGATTAGGTGCAGATTTGGTCAAATTAGGTTCAGTGTCAGGTCAGTACCTATGTCTCGTAGTACCTATCAGCTAGGGCTGCATTAATTGCTTAAATGCCTCCTTTGTCATATTATCAGAGAGTATTATCGATTAAATCACTGAAATAAATTAATGAAATAAAGATATTTGCTGTAGAAGTGATTAGGTGCAGATTTGGTCAAAAAAAGGTGCACTCGCCGGATAGCCCGTCGTGAAAACGGATAGTACCTAACCTACACGTTTTTAGAGTGGATACCCATACCTATGCGGCGGAACGGGGAGGGCACCGGGGCAACGTGCCCCCCTTTGATTTTGGCATTTTAACATTAGGCATATGGGCGTTGCATGGAAAGAATGGGACCAAAAGTCGGCAGTGTCCCCCTCCCCTTAATTGAAGGTGTTCCGCCGCTACTGTGGATACTGGATACCTATTATTGGACGATTGATTTCTCATTGCGTTCGGACTGCAAGACAGGTAGGGGTAGGTACCTATCGGTAAGGACGCCCGCTCGTCCGACAGCTGGGCCAGGGACGTAGCCAAGGGGGGGCGGAGGGGGCGCCCGCCCCTCCCTTGGGGTTTTCAGGAGGCCCCCCGAAAGGATTCAGGCCAACGTGGGCCGAAGGCCCACGTTGGCCTGAATCCTTTCGGCCTGAATCCAACGTGGGCCGAAGGCCCACGTTGGCCAAAATCACGTCGGAGGCGAACGAAATTCACGCAGGAATCTAAAAAATGACGTCAGAACAATCAGGGCCCTCTGACCAGCCTGACAAGTGACAGCTAGGGCCCTTCTCATCTCCTGTGAATAACCACTAGTGTCTGTGTCTGACCGCTAGGGCCCCTCTGACTCCTCAGTAGAGAGGAGGCCCTCTGTGGGTAGGAGGCCCTGTGTAGAGAGGAGGCCCCCTTAGAGAGGAGACCCCCTGTAGAGAGGAGGCCCTCTGCAAAAAGGACGCCCTCTGTAAAAAGAGGCCCTCTGTAAAAAGGAGGCCCTCCGTAGAGAGCAGGCCCTCTGTAAAGAGGAAACCGTCTGAAATCAGAAGGCCCTTTGAAGAGAGGAGGCCCTCTGTAGAGGAGGACTCCCTCAGTAGAAAGGAGGTCCTCTGTAGGTAGGAGGCCGTCTGTAGAGTGAAGGCCCTCTGAAGAGAGGAGGCCCTTTGCAGAGATGAGGTCCTCTGTATAGAGGAGGTCCTGTGTAGAGACGAGATTCTGAAGAGAGGAGGCCCTACATATGTAGATAGGAATCCCTCTGTAGAGAGGAGGTCCCTGTAGAGACTAGAGAGGAGGCCCTCTGTAGAGAGGATGCCCTCTGTAAAGGAGGCCCTCTGGAGAGAAAGACACCCTCAGCAGAGAGGAGGCCCTCTGTAGATAAGAGGCAATCTGTAGAGAGTAAGCCCTCTGTAGATAAGAGGCCCTCTGTGGGCAGGAGGCCCCCGGTAGTCAGACAGCGTCGTATATTAAGTACATACATAGAGTGGAGGCCCACTGTAAGCAAATTACCTTCCGTCTTCTGTTCCCTGCTACTCTCTATAGAGAGTTCTCAGTTCTCACTATAACTGAGAACTCAGGAAACTGTACAGAATAGACTCCCAACCGCGTCGCCGCCCACTGTAGGAAGGGACAGGGGAGGAGGTCCTCTGTAAACAGAAGGCCCTATCCTATGTAGACAAATTATTTGTATAAATGCGCTCAGAGAAATCATGCCGGGTGCCGTCAACGGTTTTGCCGTCAACGGTTTTACCTGCAGTGGCCGCAAAAACTGCCAAAATAGCCGATATTTTCGGAAACCAGTTTTCGGCAATAACTTTCGTCTCAAAATTTGCACGAACTTCCCTTTACCAGCATCGTGTTCCTCTCGTCAAGACGTGTGAAATGAACTATCAATTGACCTTGAAAGGTCAACTTGAAAATTTGGCCTCAGGTCAAGGTCATGACCTGACCGATAAGGGCTAAGTTCCATATCAGTCCATCCGTATCGTCGAGCCAAACACAACTAAGGTGTATTCATCGCTCTAGCATGCCTCTATCAAAAGTTATTCGCGAAAAAGTCAGATACCATTGGTGACCTGAGATGACCTCAGGGTTATAAAAAGGGGTCACGGGTGCCATTTTCATGTTCAGTGTGTCAAAGATACTAGTAATTCAGTGTGTTAGAGTGTTTATAATGACTTCCGTCTAAAAACGCGACTTTCAATTAAAGGTCGCAAAATTGACCTGACCTTATGTCATCGATATCAAAATTCCAAGACATACATTTTTTGCATTTTGTCGCTCTTGTGCATTTGCATCTCTGAAAGTTTCAAAGCGTTGGTCACTCCGTGTAGCTTTAGCAGACATTGAAACTTATGTAGTGAGGTCATTTGACCTGACCTGGTGACCTGACTTTAAGTGACCAGGGTCTGAAATTTTCACAACATATGTAGAAATGATGTAGGATAAAGTGTGGCGCGCCGCCGTTTTTGAGATATTCACGGTAAACTGCAGGGGCTGTTTAACACCCCCCCCCCCCCCGGCAGGGCGCGGGTTAATGCATGAACACAGCAGCCCATTTCTGTAATATATAGTTACCTGTGGCTGTGTTGGTATTTTTACGATGCATGAAATAACCCAAACCATTTATCAGACCGTGGTGATATTCCCATAGCCATGCTTCGCACAACTCATGATAATTCATTTGACCGGGAAATTAATATATACCTATCCATCGATTTGTTTGTTTCATCTACGGCGTAAATGAAGCAAACCACCTGGACCTAGGAAAATTTACTAACGAAACCATGTTTTACTTACAGCAAGTAAACGTGGCATCATTCACACAGAAAGAATTGATAACCGTATAGTTTCAATCTTGCAGACGTCAGTCAGGTCAGAATCGTGACAAGCCTATTGGAAAATATAATGAACTGTGTCCTGCTTTGGGTAAACGAGTCAAAATCACCCAATTCTTTCTGAATTACGTCAGATTAGCTGATCTGTAAGCACCCAGGTGGCATTTACTGACAGGGGCACCGGGAAGGATCATCTGAGGTGAGGTGAGGTCATCAACAGTTTTTAGCCAATAAATCACGACATGATGGGGCTAAATAGTTGTTAGTGTACCAAACCGTTCGCCTGGTCATGACGCGCCGATTGGTACCCAGCGTGACCTTCCTAGGTCAGATTTTGAAGTTGACCTATCTATGTAGGTCGTTATAAACCATATTATTTGTTATGACCTCTGGCGACCTCAATATTGACCTGACCCAAAAAAGTTGTTTACAAAAGTTGTAAGTCGTTCAACGAACTATCAAACGCCGTTGCCGTTTGTCGCTAGTCGCTACGATTCGTGCTTTTCGAGTTCTGACGAGGGCCAAAAAGGCCCCCGCCCGATTCAGAGTCTTTCAGAGCCCGCCCGGAATACGGTTAAGCGCTTGAACGATATATGATAATACACCAAGTGTTACTCTTGCCGTCATCCAGTATCCACCCATTCCTCGCAGATCCTCCCCCTCCTGCTGCGGTCCGGCCGCCGCCGCCGCCGCCGGCGGCGCCCAAGTTTTTTTTTTGCCAATGCCACTCGGAGACTTGTGATATGTGTACCTATGTTTCTTACCGCTGCAGCGGTTAGAATAAAGAAACATACCAGTGCGCTGGCCATATGAAAGCTGAACAAAAGTCTGCATTATATTGTATATGTAATTATGTAGGCATGAGACCCTCTGTAGAAAGGAGGCCCCTTTAGGGAGGAGGCCCTCTGTAGAAAGGAGGCCCCCGGGATTCCTCCGCCCCTCCCTTGGCCAAATCCTAGCTACGTGCCTGCAGCTGGCTGTCTGGAATTTTCCTTGCCGTGCTAGGGGGGGGGGGGGGAATAGCATTGGGGCGCTTGCATGTCCGGATGCCCCCTGCTATTTATAGTCACTGTGCCCCCTACTAACTCGGCTCCTGGGCCACATTGCGACACGCGGTAAGCGGCCTGCGGCTGCGGCACTTGAAAGAGCGTAAAAAAATAGAGAAATATTTTGCCATTTTTAGGTCAGGTCAAAGATCAGGTCACGAATAGTTGTCTAAGGTTAAATTTTGCCCATTGTGACATTTTTGACAAATCGGCGCATATCTGAGCAGCTAATAATGTTACAGCGCCGTGGAATAAGCGCAATCGTCAGTTCTTGTAAGCTCCTTCTTTCTGAGATAATTTCTCAGATTGGTCCTTGGGTCAACGGTTTAGCCTCAAGAGGGCTACGTTGACTGAATTACCGTCACACACCACGAGCTTTGAAACAGCCATTTTTTTACGAAAAGTGTTTTTCTGTAATTGATCTTCTAACTCCGGAAGTCACGACATTTCACGGCATTGCTTTAGCCAGCATCGGGTTCCTCTCGTCGAGACGTGTCAAATTAACTATAGTTTGACCTTGAATGGGCATTTTGAAAATTTGACATAAGGTCAGAGTCATGTTGTGTCAGCCGATCCGTATCGTCGAGCTGAACTCATCTAAGGTGTTTTCATCGCTCTAGCACGTCTCTATCAAAAGTTGTATAAAAAAAAAACTGTGGAAACTCTTCATGACCTCAACCTGAGATGACCTCAGGGACATTAAGTTAAAGAGGGGTCATTGGTGGCAATTTCCTGATTCAGTGTATCATGTTAACCTGTTATCCGATGTTTGAGTGTTTAGTTTGACTTTGGTCCAAAAGAGGCACATTTCAATTTTCTCCTATTGACTCATAGTCGAGAGGTCGCAAAATTTACCTGACCTTTGGTCGTAAATATCAAAATTCCGATATAATATAATTGTTTCTCCTATCAATCGCTGAAAGTTTCAAAGCGATGGTTTAGTCGGTGCAGCTGTGGCTGTGGAACTTTTTCTGAGGTAGGGTCCCTTGAAATAACGTGGTGACCTGATCAGGTCTGAAATTTTTAAAACATGGGAGGAAAAGATGCATGATATGGTGTGCCAAGTCTGAAGGTATTAGCATTCTTTAATTCCTTTATTTACAGGTGCACCGTTTGATTGACAGCAGCAACTGGAGCTCTAAGTCCATCTATTACGATGGCCTGTCTGGAATCATCATTTTACCAGGACCACCGATCACCGGCTCACATCACACCGTTGGTACGTTAAAGGCATTTAGATTTCCGTTACCTGCAGGTATCGTGGTTTCAATGCACTTGATGTCTTGTTGGGTTGGGGAATGTCTACCTTAGACGCGGATACCGATTATTTCCGCTGCCAATAATACCATTCGTCAGTCATCTGAGGATTATTGGGTCAAACAGCTCGATCTTGTGTTGCCAGGCCGAGAGCTGCTTTGAAGGTGTTTGCGGATGAGTACACAGGACACCATAATTGTCGTTCGTTGTGGCAGGTCGGACCGGATCGTTGATCACTGCGGCAGTTGTCTAGGTCGGTTGTTGTGCTGTTGTCTGTTGTCTGTTGGTTCTTGTGCTGTTGTCTGTTGGTTGTTGTCTGTCCATCCACGGTGTATTTCTCTCCACTCACCTCGGCTGGCTGGCGGCAGCCGGGCGCGCTGGACTGCGTGGACGAGGAGCTGCTGCGCACCTACGTGGCGTGCGTGGACGGCGACCGGTGCCAGCGGACGCAGCAGCTGCTGGCAGAGGACTGCGAGCTCGACTGGTTCGGAGTGCTGCTGCAGGGCCGCGGCCGGGTCATGTCGTTCCTGCAGTGCGAGCTGCCCGTCACACACCACGAGTACAGCCGCGCCGAACGGGTGCCGCACATCTGCAGGTCAGCACCGCCCCGCGCGCCACGGGCCGCCCCGTGCTGCCTCGGTGTCACTGCAATGGTGAATATGCTACTCTTTCCACTGGCAGCCTCAGCATATCCGTTGTCTTTGAACCAGTGGGCGTTAGTTTGTAGCTGCGATTCTGAAAGTCAATAACGATCAACTGAAAGAGACGTCAGTAGAGCTCACGAGTGTCATTTCCCGTTTCCGTTTGTCCAGTTTCTATGTCCAGGCCTCCTCTGTAACCGTTTCTGTGTAAAGTCATTGCATTGCTCCAGTTCGTCTTCACATGGCTGCATTTGCTTATCATACTGCGCCTTCCAGTGCTGTCAGCTTTATGATGCATAGGTAATCCAATTTTTTTCATTGATGCTTTATTGAGGTAGCGTCGTGTCAAAGTAATTCAGTTTCCGACGTATTCGCCACCGTTCTTTCGACAATGATGAGCTCGAAGTACGGAAATGCATGCATTGCCCGACGTCAGACTTAATGTTTAGTTCCTGTATGTTTGATTGATGCAGTCTTGCAATGCAATCCAGCCATCCAAGAAACTTTGCGCGAGACGTTTTCTTGGATGGTTTTCTTGGATAGCTTGATTTCATCGAGGGCTTCTGTTTTATTCATTTATAAACGTAAAAATTGAATTTATGATAACGTTTCGAATTAACCCACAGGAATCAGGATCCACAATCGGGAGTAGATATTAGCCGTTTTCACGACGGCCATCTGGTACACATTTGGTGCACATCTGGTGCAGACAGGTGCAGATTTGGTCAAATCAGGTTCAGTTTGTCTCTTAGTAGGTAGCTATCAGCTAGGGTTGCACTATTTGCTTATATGCCTGCTTTGCCATGTTATCAGAGAGTATCATCGATCAAAACACTTAAATAAATTCACAAAATAAAGATATTTGCTGTAAAAGAAATTAGGTGCAGATTTGGTCGAATCAGGTTCAATCAGGTGAACTCGCCGGATAGCCCGTCGTGAAAATGGCTATTATAGTTTCACTAAGCAGTGGCCATTTCTTGACTTTGAGGAGTTTCAGTCACCTTCAGGCTTCAGAGCTCCTTCTCTGACATTCAGCGTCCTTGTGGTCTCTGCCGGTAACAGCGCGACCTCGACCGCTGCTTTGTTTGCTGCCCGCCAGAGTCTCAGAATATGGTCCGCATTTGACCCTGGCATAAATTATACATGCAAAATACTGGTCTGCCGGTACCTACCTGCAGTCTTGAGTCTGTCCCTCCCATGGTAAACAGCACGGCATTTGGCGATAGGATCCTGCAGCTTGATGAGAACACGGCTCTGGGCACCCCTGCCTAGGCGCGACCGTTCATGGCCGAACACTGCAACCGACGTTTGAGCGCTGCACTAAAGCCGCCGGCCGGCGCGGGGATGTATGACACCCGACACCCAGCCTGTCCGGCGCCGTGTGACACCTGACGGCCGGCCGGCCACGCGCCGCCCGCCACCCGACACCGGGTATGTCTCCGCCGACAGACGGGTGCGGAAGCGGGCGCCGGCGCGCGACGAGGCCGACGGTGACGACGCGTCGCTGACGGCCGGCCTGCTGGCGCTGAGTCTGCTGGCGCCACCGGCCGGCGGCGGCGGCGGCGGCGGCGGCACGGGCCACTCGCGTCACTCGTCCATGTCGGCCGGCTCTGACTCCACGTTCAGGTGCGGACCGCCGTATAAGGCACGATGATCAAGCGACACATTAAATAGCGTACTTGCAAGATGATTCAAAACACTATTAGAATACTGAATATTCCCCAACTGTTGCAATCTTATGAATATGGCCCGGGCCCCGATCGCATGAGCCGAGCTCTGTCTCCGGTCGGGTGTCCCGCTGCTGTTCCCGACTATAACCCCGCTGTCTCCGGCCATAACCCTGATCCCCGGCTACAACCCACTCCGTCCGTGTCCAACTGTAACCCCGCTGTCCCAGGCTATAACCAGCTGTTCCCGACTATAACCCCGCTGTCCCCGGCTATATCCCCGATCCCCGGCTACAACCCGCTCCGCCCGTGTCCAACTGTAACCCCGCTGTCCCAGGCTATAACCCCACTGTCCCCGGCTATAACCCCGCTGTCCCCGGCTATATCCCCGATCCCCGGCTACAACCCGCTCCGCCCGTGTCCAACTGTAACCCCGCTGTCCCAGGCTATAACCCCACTGTCCCCGGCTATAACCCCGCTGTCCCCGGCTATATCCCCGATCCCCGGCTACAACCCGCTCCGCCCGTGTCCAACTGTAACCCCGCTGTCCCAGGCTATAACCCCACTGTCCCCGGCTATAACCCCGCTGTCCCCGGCTATATCCCCGATCCCCGGCTACAACCCGCTCTGCCCGTGTCCAACTGTAACCTTGCTGTCCCTGGCCATAATCCTGAGCTGTCCCCGGCTATGACCCCGCTGTCCCCGGCTATGACCCCGCGCTGTCCCCGGCTATAACTCCGCTCCGCCCGTGTCCAGCTGTAACTCCGGTGTCCGGCCAGCTATATGTAACCCCGATCCGTCCGTGTGCTGCCAGCAGTCTGTGCAGCAGCTACGACAGCTCGCAGCTCGAGGAGAGCGAGTTCGGTCCGATGCGACTGCTGCGCCTGTCCGGAGCGCTGGCCTTCGACGGACCCTGGGCCGACAGGGACACCGTGGAAGGTGAGATATACCCCCGCTGACATCCGGGGGGCCAGTGACAGGGACACCGTAGACGATGGGTTTTGGGTACTTACGCCCGCAGCGCCCGCCAACCCGTGTGTGTGTGGGGGGGGGGGGGGGGCAGCCACGAACCATGTCAGTCAGTTATTTCCAAATGGTACAGGGAAAAACTGCGCGGAAAGACGTATGTAACGCATTTTTGACAAGTATTTTTCTGCTCTATTGTTGGCACCGTTTTGAGAGACATGCTTAAATATGTAATCAAGTAACATAACCGTGCAGCTCTCATAAATATACAAAAAAAAAAATGTAAGAAAATGACTGATAATTCCGGGTTTATCAAGCATGTTTCTTACGATTTTCGATATGAATTATGAGTGTACGGCTATTTTACTTGGTTAAGCGTTTTATTCGACGGTCACAGCAGCCTATGGCTACGATGAAACCATTTGATCTATCAATGGTTCGGCTTGAGTTTTTTTTTAGGGTATGGTAATGCTGATCTTTCTTACAAGCAATAATGCCATTGATTCGATGCAGGTGTTTCGATGCGTTTTACGGTGACCACTGGCCATGCTACAACAGGCGTAACGTTTACCTTCTATTACGTTGCTTTTTTTGTACACTGAATATCTCACAGTTATAAATCCAGATATAGGACGTTGCGGAAAATGTACCCATGCAGTTATAGTTAACTACATCAGACGTACTTTCCTGGTAGATTATTACCTATATAGCGATGGCGAAACCATTTCATTGTCCTTTTTTAGTTTTTTTTTTTTTTTGCTGGCTTCTTTGTGGATATATCATAATCGTCAACCAATCAGCTTGGTTTTAACGGCAGGAAGTGTTTGACATAAAACCTGTGCCGTGGAGGTGGTTTGCGTGGAACCGTAGGCCGTAGGGTGGGGGACATTTTACCCTGGTCTTCTAATTCGCTACAAAGTTACAGGCGGCAAGCTATGTCCAAAAGCTTGTCAAACGTTTCGGAGGCAATCTGGACATTCCCCAACTTAAATCCTTATAATTATTCCTGTCTGCCTATTGCAAATCCAGCTTAAAGCCTCAAAATAGTATTTAAAAAAGGACCTTTCTTATACCGCGGTATAGCACGGTGGTCCAGTCGTAACCGCAGGTTGTTTGAAATAGACAGACACTATGCGTTAGAATTGTGTTTTTCTATTGATAGGTAATTAAACGCACCGATGTTAGATGAGAGGGTTTCATCGCCCCCTCAACTTGGCTCCTTGGCTGGCATCGTAGCGGCACACGCCACGCGGCTATCGAGAGATCAAAATATTGTAGAAAGCACAAATGCCATTTTGTTTAGCGGTTAACGGCGAGGTTCCAGGGCATATCAAATGCTAGATTTCCCCGATTTTTGATATTTTATGACATATGGCTCATAACTTGTGAACTAGATCGGATTGCCCCGTAGGGACAGTCCGCCCGCCTCCCAAACGGTCACCCCGGAGAGGAATTACTGAGGTGCCGTTGGGGACCCGACGTCATCCGCCGGTTGTCAGGTGGGATGACCGTCAGGGAGAGTGAGCCTGGACAGGCCGGAGAGTGAGCCGGGGATGCGGATGGGTTTGTTGGACTGAGGATGGCGAGGACGGATACCGGCCGTGCCCTACATTGATATGGAGGGGGCTAGGACTGATGATATGTCTGACGGGCGCCGACCGTGCCCCGCCGTAACTGTATGTAGGTATGTAGGACTGATGATATGTCTGACGGGCGCCGACCGTGCCCCATCGTGGCTATATGTTGATTTAGGGTATGTAGGACTGATGATATGTCTGACGGGCGCCGACCGTGCCCCATCGTGGCTATATGTTGATTTAGGGTATGTAGGACTGATGATATGTCTGACGGGCGCCGACCGTGCCCCACCGTGGCTATATGTTGATTTAGGGTATGTAGGACTGATGATATGTCTGACGGGCGCCGACTGTGCCCCCCGCCGCAGACGGCGACGCCACGATGCCGCCGCCGCCGCCCGAGGCCAAGTGGCGCCGGCGGATGCGGCTCAGCCTGGCCTACACCAGCGCGCCGTTCCGGATCCACAAGATCTACTACGAGGAGAACACCAAGGCGCGGCGCTCGCTCAACTTCTAGCCGCCGCCGAGTGGCCGCCCTGACCGGGGCAGCCGCGATGGGGACGGCCGCCGTGCCACCGGGACAGGTGGGGGCCGCCGCTGACGGGTAGGATTGCCTGCAGTCGGGCCTTCACTGCCGCCGCACCGGACTGATAAGACACCCCCGCTGCAGCGTCCCGTAGCCACCTAGGGATTCCCACTTCAAACGCATCGTCATCTGTACATAGCTCACGTTCATCTTTCCATGTTACTATTCTTGTTTCGATTTTTGTATTACGTTTAATTAACTTATTTATTAACTTATTTATATATTTATCACACTGTATTTGTTGTGGATTGTTTTGTAGCAGTGTTTCGATTTCGTGTAGTTTTTCTATAGTATCTATCGCTGGTCATATCATTGGTGTGCAATAGAGTACCTACCGGCCGGATGCTACAATCTACCTGTTCATAAACAGAACAATTTACAGTGATCATACGTGTGCTTCATATTTGATATTTCCGCAACATTTTTTTCTCATTTTATTACTTGCGCAATGCGCATTGTTGTGTTGTTATTGTTATGTTCTTCCTGAAGCATTATTTATCAAAAGTGTGAGTGTTACTCGTTTCGACTTTCGAGCAGCCTGTGCTGTTGCCGACGCGTTTCATTATAAGTTCCTCGGCTGTCGTATGACTTTTATTCATAGAACCGTTTCAACTTGCATAAATATGTTGTGTTTGAAATTGCTGGTTGTTTTCTATAGAGTACAATTTCGGCGACTGCTGGTCATCCGTATTATTTGCCCGCTGTTTGTTTTATGAGTGCATCGTAATTCAGCTTCCATATTTAGTTGTTACTTTCCATTGCCCCGCAATTTGTTTGTTGTTGGTATATTGTGAAGTGTGAAATTGTCCCAAAGTGCTCTCTCAGTGACACATTTCGCACTGAAAAGCTATGGTTGCGTCTCATACAGTTACGGAATATGGATAAGCTACACTTAGCTTTTGATATCAAATAGAACATTTACGAATATTTATCTCACCTTTCTCGAAGACGTTTGATGCCACTGGCGGCCTGGCCGCATTGACTTCGTGCAATACACGTTTTTATGACTTGTAATTGTGATTTAGACATGGAGTCGCACGGGGTGACCCCATATGTAGCACAAGGTGGTTTGGTCGGCACTGAGCGCCCTGGCGTCGGCACCGTGCGGGGCCAGCGATGGTCGGGGGGAGGGGAACTGCCAGTGGCGCCTAAAAGGAACGTCCCACACTGAAAACAATTTAACCCGAGGCCGACGAGTAAACCGGTGTTTCGCGGGTACCCCTATCCGCAACCATTTTTAACCACCCTCCCAGGAGTACAGTAATGTCCCATAACAGTGTAGTCGTCCCTGCTCTCAGCGGACATGTTCGCTGAGAGCGGTTATATCCGCTCAGAGCAAGTACGACTACACCGCAATGGGATCTAGCACTACTCCTGGGAGGGTGGTTAAAAATGGTTGCGGATAGGGGTACCCGTGAAACACCGGTTTACTCGCCGGCCTTGGGTTAAATTGCTTTCAGTGCATGGGGCCGGCAGAGCTCACGGCCGGCGATAGTCACTCGAATGGCGCGGGGGGGGGAGGGGGGACGGGTCACTGACAGTGCAGTGGGGCTTTGGTAGGAATAAGCAGAGAATGATGAAGGGCTGACAATGTGACTGTATTTATTAACATTCGACCCTCGCCGTATTGGTGTTTTGCCAGCCGCTAACGGACATGAGCCCGTTGGAGAGAGATCCGACTAAATAAAAAGCACAGCAAATACGCGACAACACCACCGTTCCGTGCTTCTATCATCGGGATATTAAAATCCTTCCCCTCCACGCCGCAACCTCCCTCCGGGCTGGACACCCAGCTAACAGGAAACGTTACTACAACGTTGTCACAACGTCGTGTTTCGGTAAGTTGCGAAATTACGTTTTAATTACGTTGTAGCAACGTTCTGAACGTTGTGAAGCCATGGTTTGGTCCGAAAGTCGTGGTAAAACGTCGTGACAACGTTTTATTGGTACGTTGCAGCAACCGCGCACTTGCAGCATTCTATTTTGATAATGCATGGTGACATATATGGCCATATAATGCATTTCCTTTGACTTTCAATGCGCATATTAAGCTTTCATCGTTAAATTTGACATATTTTAACACTTGGACTGTTCACGTTGTCAGCTGGTGGTCGCCAACACGTTGTTAAAACGGTTTTTCACAACCTTGACATTATAGGTACTGAATAATTAGCGGTGTTTTTACAAGTAAATTCTGATACCTTTCTCTCTCTATCTCTCTTTAATATATATATATATATATATATATATATATATATATATATATATATATATATATATATATATATATATATATATATATATATATATATATATATATATATATATATATACCTGAGCATGACCGTATGTACCTACTGTGCACTCAACATAATGGTCTGTTCGTTTATTGCAGAGAGTTGCCTCATTCAATGAACAATAAACTCGAATGTTTGAAATGCTTATCCAGCTATGAGGCAACTCCACTGAAGTTTTGCTATCTGATCGAGCCGACAAGCCTGCAACTACAGCTATGACCACTCCTGCTCAACCTACGCCCTCTGCAATCCAGTTGCAGTGCCCCTGGCCCAACTGTGGGTTCCAGACTCCGGCGCTTGACGGGTCAGTGGGCATTCAGCTGCTGCAGATGCATCAGACAGCGTCGCACCCACCAACCGCTGCTGCCGCCCCTGAGAAGGCCAAGTTACCAACACTGGAGGTCTCGCCAGATGGTGTTGTAACAGACACGGCGCTGGGGGTCTTCAGGCAGCAGCTCACAACCTACAAGCGAAGGGCCGGCATATCTGGCGATGACCCAGACACTGTCTTGCAAGCGCTGCCTTCGCCTGCGTACAGCCTGTTGTACGCCCGATTTGGTGCTGGACTCACATCCTTGAGCGAGCACCAACTCCTGACTCATATCGCAGACCTCATGGTGCGACCTGAGAACCGGCTATCCCACATCCTCAAGCTCCAGCGGATGAAGCAAGATCCCGGTCAGCCCGTGGCGCAATTCGCGGCGAGGCTGCGTGAGGTGGCGCGACAGTGTCACTTGGTCGTACAGTGCCGTTGTGACCGGGCAGTAAGCTTCGAGGAGGAAATGGTGCTATTCCAGTTCTTGTCGGGCCTGTGCGACACCGAGGTGCAATCAGAGTTGCTGACTCACACTCCGCTTACACTTGCGGCGGCCGAGCAGTATGCAGTGACGAAGGAAACCGCCAAACGGAGCCAGCAAGCTATCCAGAGTGAAGAACTGGGTCGGATTCGCTCCTCGTATCAAAAATTGAAACTTTCTGGACCCCGCACCAACGCACCGCCACAGCCAAGCGGCCAGGCATCCCACACAGTCTGTCGCAACTGTGGGGAGGCTGCCCACGACCACCGTCGCCAGTGTAAGGCAGTCAACCACATCTGCACCTGTGGTCGTCGTGGCCATCTGCCAGCTGTTTGCCGTAGCCAACACCGGCCTCGTCAGCCCGCTCGTAGAGAAACAGCAGATGAGATTGACGCCACTCTCCTAGAGCTGAGCTCCCGGTTTATCCTGGAACCGAGCAGCAGCTCCATCGCCGACGCTGGCCCAGCATCAAACCGTCTGCCGGTGCAGGTCCAAGTCGACGTGGCCAGCCTCCCATGCACCGACCGGGCCCGTGACAGTGTCGCGGTCCCGCCACCAGTTACGTGCGTGGCAGTGGCTGACACGGGTGCCACAGTGACCTGCTGCGGCCCGGATACCCTCAGCGCCCTAGGTGTGCGGCGGTCGTCCTTGCTGCCGTCACGTATCACGCTCTCGACCGCCAACCGGGCCCGACTTACGATCTGGGGAACCCTCCCTGCCACCATCCAAGTGAGTAACGGGGGCCGGTCGGCGTCTACGCTGGAGGCTGTGTATGTGGCGGAGGAACTGACTGGACTGTACCTCTCTGCCCGTGCACTCCAGGCGCTGGGCTCCATTTCCTCCGAGTTCCCCTACCCACCTTCGGGTAAACCAGGAGCTGTCTCCGCGCTCGACACCGAGCCGGCTGCTTCGGCTCCGTCTGCACCTGACCTGGCACCATGCGGATGCCCTCGCCGCGCTCCGACACCCGAGCCGCCACCTCTGCCAGATAACCCCACCGATGCTGACATCCCTGCCCTGAAGCAGCTGCTGCTCGACCATTACGCGTCATCCACGTTTAACACTTGCTGCCACCAGCCCCTCCCCCTCATGCACGGCCCACCCCTCGAGTTCGCCGTGAAGCCTGGCGCGACCCCTCACGCCGTGTACACACCAGCTGTCGTTCCCCTACACTGGGAAGACAGGGTGCGTCGGGACCTTGACAGGGACGTCGCCATGGGGGTACTGGAAAAAGTAGACGTCAACGAGCCAGTCACGTGGTGCTCACGAATGGTAGTGACCCGCAAGCACAACGGCGAGCCCCGCCGAACCATCAACTTCCAGGCCCTCAACGAGGCCAGCATCCGTCAGACGCATCCCACAATGCCCCCTTTCCAAAAAGCCATGGCCGTGCCCGCGGATCAGTGGAAAACCACTACAGATGCCTTCAACGGCTACCACTCCGTCGCCATTCGCGAATCGGACCGCCACCTCACGACCTTTCTGACACCATGGGGCAGGTACCGCTACAAAACCGTCCCTCAAGGGTACAAGGTCTCCGGAGATGCCTACACTCACCGATTCGATCGGGTCACACTGAATGTGAAGTCTTGTGACAGGGTCATCGACGACTCCATCCTGTACCAGCCCACGATTCGATGCATGTTCCAACATGCGGCGGAGTATCTGACGCTCTGTGGCCGAAACGGCATCCTCCAGAACCGCGACAAGTTCGTGTTCTGTGAAAAGACCGTGGACTGGGCCGGCTTTCGGCTGGGCCCTGACGGCGTCCGACCGTTGCCGTCCCACACGGAGGCTATTCGGTCGTTTCCGACGCCGACCTCGGTGACCGACCTTCGATCATTCATGGCTCTGGTCAATCAAGTGTCGGCTTTCTATGCCACCCAGCCTAAACTCCTCCCCTTCCGCGCCCTCCTTAAGAAGGACTGTCCTTGGTACTGGGACGAGACTCTGGACCAGCTGTTCCGAAACACCAGGGAGGTCATCGCTCGGGAGGTGGAGAAAGGAATCCAGTCGTTTGACCGCGCCAAGCCCACGTGCATCCTCACGGACTGGTGTAAAACAGGACTCGGGTACGTCCTCCTTCAAAAACACTGTACCTGCACCGAACTCAAGCCGACCTGCTGCCCCGCTGGGTGGCGTGTGTGTGGCGTCGGGTCTCGGTTCACCTCTAGCGCCGAGAGTCGCTATTCCCCAACAGAGGGCGAGGCATTGAGCGTCACCAATGCCCTCGAAAAAACTAAATACTTTACACTCGGCTGTGACCAACTGGTGGTGGGAACCGACCACAAACCTCTCCTGGGTATTTTCGGCGACCGTTCCCTGGACGGCATAGACAATCCTAGGCTGAGACGCCTAAAAGAGAAAAGCTTCGGCTGGTCCTTCTCTCTGGTCCACGTCCCGGGTCGCCTCCATGGAGGCCCCGACGCTCTCTCGAGGTATGGTGTGAGGGAACAGCGCGAGGGGTCCGATGACAGCTTTGTCGAGTCACAGATCGACGAGCTGTTTGTGGTCGATGAGGGCTACTCTTTCCATCACCTATTCTCTCTAATGGCACGCCCGCAGGATCCAGGTGATGAAGACGACTCCGACATTCTGTGCTCGGTGTCGCCAGCACTGCAACCGATCGACTGGCCCACCCTGTCTCGGGCGTCGGAACAAGACCCCATCATCCGCCAGGCAGTTCAAATGGCGAACACGTCATTCCCTGCGTGTCCGGATGGTTTCCCTCATCCACTCCGCGCTCTTTGGCGCATCCGGCACGACCTCAGCACGTCGGGGCCCGTCCTTCTCTTCCACGGCCGACCTGTCATCCCCGAGGCTCTCAGGTCCCGTGTCCTAGACACCCTCCATGCCGCGCACCAGGGAGTGACTGGCATGAGGCTACGCGCGGAACGCTCCGTGTTTTGGCCCCACATGTCCCAGGACATTGAAGCGGTCCGGCAACGCTGCGCGGCTTGCAACAGACATGCGCCATCACAGGCCGACATGCCGCCTATCCCACCAGCCACGCCGGAATATCCATTCCAACACGTGGCTGCCGATTACTTCACGTACATGGGGAACACATACGGGGTCGTTGTTGACCGATTCAGCAATTGGTTTCAGATCTGGCGCGGCATCAGCCTAAAAGACGTCCTCATGGAACTCTGCCGCGGTCTGGGGGTCCCCGAAACACTCACAAGTGATGGTGGGCCTCAGTTCATGGCCCAAGAGGTAAAGGATTTCCTCGTTCAGCACGGGATCCACCACCGCCTCACATCGGTCGCTTTTCCTCACGCGAACTGCCGTGCTGAGGTCGCTGTGAAAACGGCCAAACGCCTCATACGGGACAACGTCACTGCTGATGGGTCCCTCGACTCTGTGAAACTCACTCGCGCACTCTTGCAGCACCGCAACACCCCTGACAGAGACACCGGCTTGTCCCCAGCTGAGCTAGTCCTCGGGAGACAGTTGCGGGACTTCCTCCCAGGGCTACCGCTGCAGCCCCCCCTACGTAACCACAAGGATCTCAGCCAGACGTGGCAAGATGTCGCATGCTGGAGGGAGAAAGCACTAGCCAAGCGCACCTCTCGTGACCATGAGCGTCTGCAAGCACACACTAAGGACCTGCCTCCACTAAAAGCTGGCCAGCATGTGCTGGTTCAAAATCAGTCGGGCAACCACCCTCGAAACTGGGACCGCCGTGGAGTGGTGGTGGCCGCATTGCCGTTTCGGCAATACCAGATCATGCTCGACGGATCACGACGGATGACCCTACGCAATCGGAAGTTCTTGCGCTCGTTTGTACCCCTCGCGCACACGACACCTACTGTCCCTCTTCCCGCGCCCAGGCCCCACCCCGCCGATCACGGTCTGCACCACCCACAGCTGCGACCTGGCACTGCTCAGTCTTCGCTGACTGGCACACCACCGTCCCAGACCGACGGGGCTGAGTCACTTCCGCCCCCCGCGCAGGGCCCCAGTCCAGAGCCAGATCCTGCAAACGCCGCCTCATCGCCCTCGGCGACCCCTCCAGCTGTGGCCCTTGAATCAGGGACGCACTCCCCTGACCGACAGCCTACTGCTATACCGGTGTGTCTCCCGAATCACTGTCACCCGTGCTCGCGTTCCCTAACCACCCCTCGCTCAGACCGGGAGCTGCCACAGTCCTCTCGGGGTCGCCGACGGTTCGCACGTGATGTTCTCGATCTGTAGTATCTCTGCGCCACCTATGTGCTGCTTACCGACTACTAGCGCCCAGTGATGCACAACATGTACCCGACAAGCGCCCGGTGTGCGCACTCGTGTGTTCGTCGTCACTGCGTGTGTTTTACGAGTCATGTGCGCACTCGTGTGTTCGTCGTAACTGCGTGTGCTTTACGAGTCATCCAGTGTTTCTTTCACATGCGTTCCAGACCTTCCTGTAATGCGGATTATGCCATGTCTTTTTTGACCATCATGTTGCTTACTGGGGAAGTTACCACGTTCATTTTCATTTTTAGCTTCCGCAACAAGATCTCGTGCCTGCGTTTCGCATCCACTCGTTTCCGTGGGGGCATACCTGAGCATGACCGTATGTACCTACTGTGCACTCAACATAATGGTCTGTTCGTTTATTGCAGAGAGTTGCCTCATTCAATGAACAATAAACTCGAATGTTTGAAATGCTTATCCAGCCAGCTAATATATATATATATATATATATATATATATATATATATATATATATATATATATATATATGTATATATATATATATATATATATATATATATATATATATATATATAACATGTGCAAATTGCAAAGCGTCATTGGCATGTTTTGCAACATCACAGGCAGAGCTACAGGCTTGCAACTATCCCTATGTAAACGCGGCTGTTATCCGCGGCTGCCAGCAAGCCACGCGGGCCGCCACTCAGGCGAACGGTGGCTCGCGCCCTGACCTCGCCTGAGGGGCCGTGACGTCAGTGTCACCGGCCGGCGTTCAGAGCCAGCCGGCCGAGCCGCAGTCTACGCGGCGCGAGCGAGCAGCGAGGGCCGGCGGCGGGCGCGGCTGAGATAGCTGGAAGATGAAAGATAGCGCCAGTTGTCTGCGTTTGAGGCGATTGTTGCTTTGACTGGTAAGTACCATTTACGAGTAGCATTTGCAAGATTGTGCCTTGAAATATCGTGCGGTCTAGGCTATAGTTCATTGTAGCTCTAGCCTCTAAGGTGTTGACATGTTTGATCTAGCCTGTCGCACTGTTACGGAAAGTGGTGCAGGTATTTTTGTGATTTTTTCATGAATTGAATGTCTGATTTTCCCTCATGTCTTCCCGCAGACGTCCTGCAACTCGTCAGCGCGCCTTGTGGCAGGCCTACTGTCGGCAATGCGGTAGCGAAGTGGCTGTCCGGAAGCTGCGACCGGAACGGGGGGTGCGCAGACCGTCTAGTCAAGCACTGCCAGCTGCCTAGGGACATCGAGGCCGCAAATGAGCCGATGCCTAACGGTCCGCCGAGTGATCCTCCCAGCGAGGGTTAGTGAAGAAGTGAACTTCCACCAGTTCTGGAGTGCTAGCGGCTAGCGCCAGAGCCGGTAGAACCCAATTCCGTCCCACGCCCCCATGGGGGCGCCCCTGGGCCCCATGCCCATCACCGATGCCGCCGCTGTCGTTTTTTTTTTTGTAAATTGACCTGTGTGATGTATTGAAATATACACTTCTTACATGCCTTTTTACAAGTCTAGAGAACGGGAAGAGAGCGTCGGAAACACATTCTGAGTATGTTGCGAACACGTTGAGAGGACGTTGCGAAAATGTTTAGGACGTTTACTCAGGGTCGCAGGGACGGCAATACGAAGCAGCGACAACGTGGTGCGTACGTGACAAAAACGTCGCAGAGACGTTGCCAAAGCGTTCTATACTCCTTGTAGTCACGTTGCGGAAACGTGGTGACAACGTTCCAGAAACACTGTTGGTACGTTACAGAAAACATTTCATAACGTTGGCGGGACGTTGTAAGAACAGTTTTGGGACGTCACGGCCACGTTACAGAAACGTTGTGATGACATTCAAATGCATGGTCGGATGACGTTGTCACGCCGTTGTCTGGAGTCTACAAAATTACGTTGTCACAACGATAAATCGGGACGTTGTGGTAACCATTTGACAACGTTTAAACGACGTTGTAACAACGGCAAATTGTTAGCTGGGCAGGCAACTTTATCTCATGCGGGCTGCTCCCTTGGAGCGGCACCGCTGCTCCCGAGGGAGCGCACCCCGTAGCCGGGTGCAGTGAGTACCTTGGGGCTGGTCGGCCTGTCTTTCGGGACGGGTTCAGCCCCGGTGACTCACTAGGGTGCCTGCCCAGACCATTGTCTCCCCCTAATTCCTATCACCCTTCCGGCTCTGAAATGGTCTCGTCAGACCGAAATGGCCTATCCCCCCCCCCCAAAAAAAAAACGCGACAACCTCGACCCGCAACGGCATCCGGCCGGGCATGGTAAGAGAGCTGGTATACCCGGGAGGTGCACTCGGTATACCTACGGCAGCGCCGACGATGCGCTCAGCTCAGCGCTGACTTTGCGGACGGACTATGCGAAGCCAAAGGACCCGGACGCGCCGCCATCGACTACATCTGCATCTCGTTGGGGAGCAAGATGCCTTCTGTGCATGATGGGAGGGGCTGAGTCGGGCTGAAAATCAGAATATTACGACTAGTCGCGGATGCTGCGCCTTAGGCCTTTACTGGAACCGATACGCCATTCGCGCCGGCGCGGCGCGTACAACCTATGTAGCACAAAGCCGAAAGGTCCGGTGAGCAGCATTCCCATTTCCCTTATTCAAAGCGGCTGATGAAATCGATAACATTATCATTGAAAATTATTGAACTAATGCTTTTGTTTGTTTGTTTGTTTGTTTATTTGTTTGTTTGTTTGTTTGTTTGTTTGTTTGTTTGTTTGTTTGTTTTTTCTTTGCTGTTTGCTTTACGTTGAGGCTCGATTTGGCTTATGAATAGTGATTGCTGCGCATTTACAATAAGATTGCAGCAGAATAGTGAAATAAGCTTTGCATAGTATTTGGCGCAGCTCAGACAAACGCGCCGCAGATGGCCGCAGCAGAGAATTTTCTTGAAAAAGTCGATTAAAAACAAGGATAAAATTCGAATTTAAAAGTTTTCGTTGTTTTTGGATGCCAGAATATGACTGGAAGTTGCAGGTATTTGCTATAAACGCTTCTTACTTATTATTTTTACCGCAGGCACAATTTTCCGCCTCTCACTCTCCTTCTTTGCTGGGAAATTGAAATCTAAATGCCACTTCAGACGGCCTTGATTTTGATTTGTAGAGGTGCGCTGGAATGAATCCCTGCTAATTTCCGTTACATAAGTCTGGAAGTTTAAGTAGGAAGTGTAAAAAGTAGGGTATATTTAATAGGTTCAATAGGATAAAAGGAGCCTTCAGTCAAAAATTTCTACTAGAGACACTGGAACAGGCTCAAACTGAATGAATCTAGCTAAACATAGGTACAATGGCATCAACAAAAGTCATGGCTTTTCAGCCGAGCCTCTGAGGTGAATATGATAATGAACAAGATAATGATACCTTAACATAAACCGGTTTAACGTAACTTTTGCATCCCGGCGAAAACTGCCGGGCTAACTGTCCTTCCGCTCGAGGCTGGCGCTAGGCTGGCTGAGCAAAAAAAAAAGTCCTAATGCAGGGTTGCACTTGTTTTTTTGGCAGCCAAGGAGAGGTACTATTATATACCAATAGATGCTTTCTAATCAAACCCACAAACCTAACCAAACCTGACCAAACCAGTTGTAAAAAATTACTTTTAACCTGAATCATAAAACCTACAACTTAACCTACAGGACCTCTCCTTGTTCTTGGTTGCAAAAAACAAGTGTAACACCTGAGGGCTGTTCACGGGCCCTGTGTGCGGTCGGACCGCACACAGCCTCCAAGCTCCGCCCACTGCGTCCCTACATCAGCCTTCCATCACCGCACACAGCGACCGCTGTGGCTGGTTTGGGACTGGCCACAGCGGACCGTCCACCGCACGCAGCCGTGACGTCAGAGCCGCCTACCCATCCCCTACCCCACGCCTGCTGGACGCACCGCACACACCGCAGCAGAGGGCTGTTCACGGGCCCTGTGTGCGGTTGGACCGCACACAGCCTCCAATCTCTGCCCACTGCGTCCCTACGTCAGCCTTCCGTCACCGCACACAGCGACCGCTGTGGCCGGTCGGGACTGGCCACAGCGGACCGTCCACCGCACGCAGCTGTGACGTCAGAGCCGCCTACCCATCCCCTACCCCCCACGCCTGCTGGACGCACCGCACATACCGCACGCAGCAGTGTGCGGTGCCCGTGAACACCCCTCTGCTTTACTACCTTCTACCCAAGCTGATATGGCAAGGATAAGGATAGGGATGATTGGAGGATGGAGGATACAATATATCTGTGAGTGCTGCTGCTGCCTCAGTGTAGTGATGTGCACATCACTCATCCGCATACTAAGACTGTTGAAAGGAAAGGCCCAGAAGGTTGCATCAGGGTCCTTAAACAAAACAGTTAGGCACTTAAATGAAACACTATGCTTTAATTGAACACTTGTTTTCGAAGTCGTTTGCTTGTTTTTGCGGTCGTTAGAGAATCAGTCTGGATAAATTGGGCTGAGCTCAAGCTAGGACTTGGCCAACGCTATATCAATAATAGATATAAACCTGAACTGGCGGAGCAGTAGTGCCTGGGCTGTGCCACTCACCTCTGCAGTTACCATTTGTGCCTCCCCAGTCCCCACCCTCAAAGGAGCCAGGGGGAGGCGTCTTCTCTTGGCCCCTCGTTCTCGCCTGTTCTTACACGTATGCATTCGGCAGGAGTTGCAAACGACAGCACCTGCAGTGGTGATTTGTCTGATACAGCTTCTATTTAGCATTTCTCACAAGTTTGAGCACAGTCAAGAGCTGATCTGAGGATATTTCAAGCAATAAGCATGGAAGTAGCTGATACTTCTGTGCCAGGGAATGTCCACTCTGAGAAACTTCAAAAGGTTAGTAGTAAAAAACTGTTCTGATTTTTAGTTTGCATACTTTTAAGAAATGTGGCACACAGATTAGGTAATAAAAACTAGAAAGTCCATAATTCATGTTGTCAGTGTTTTTCTTAATTTGATTTGGAATCTACTATGAAACTGTATACGGTCACATTTCAATTTCGAGTCATAATTAGTGTCTGTTCCCTAGCTCCGTTGGTAGAGCGTAGGACTCCTGGTAGTGAGAGCCCGGGTTCGAGTCGCTCCAGTGCTCGATATTCGAGACTCGACGAGAATGGTCTGCAGTTGGTGGGAGCAGCTGCAGCTAGTAGAAGTCAGTTGAGTGGGACAGGTCGTGTCCGGCTTTGAAGGGTGCGTTAAATTTTGCCATCTGAATTATCCCGTTACCCGGTATTGCGCGATCGGACGGTAGGGGTCAGGGTCTACGCAACAAGCTCCGCTTAGCGTAGGCTCTGGGCCTGACGTCAGTCCGTCCATTCACACATTGGAGCTAAATTTATAGAAAAGTTATGTCTGATGAAGGTACAGCCCACCGCTAAAGTAATGTGTGGTTTTACCAATCTCAACGGATGGCTTTGACCGACGATTTTTAAATGCGGACTGATTGAAAAGAAGACGTCAATAGATAAAGATGTAGCTGCAAGGGTGAAGATACATGTAAGCTACAATTAAAGTCTCGTTGCAGTCTGGCTAATCGTTCCTAGGCTTCAGAAGCAGAACATACCCATGACTGAAACCACACATTACTTCTGCTGTGGACTGTACTTGTATTCTTTGTGCTTATATCACCACCACCAGAGCTTTATACCGCCACCAGCTGCCTTACCTGGTGGCCCGTCCTCCGCAGGAGCTGGCGCGGATGGCCAAGGTCCGCGAGGTGCTGGCCGCCTCCGACCAGCTGACGCATGGCATGACCAGCATTCTGGACTCGTTCGAACGGCGGCTGGCCAGTCTGGAGCAGACTGTGCTGCCCGTCTACCACGAGACAGGCAACCTGCAGCGGCGCAAACAAAGTGAGGAGGACTGTGCAGCGTACTTGGCTGCCGTTAATGCAGTTCTAAAGCGTCTGGCTGTCCTAAACTGAAGAAAGACATATATGTACTGCCTATCAAGGCAGCGTTTGGGAGTGTCTGACACCCGAGCTGTCTGGCGTAGTGTGAGACGCTTTGATCCGTTTCGGCAGTAACCATTTGCCATTGATGGGGATGTCACAGCCATTGACAGAACAGAGGAAAACATTGAGCGTGGCTGGTTATGGTTAGGCTCTGTTTGTTTTTGTAAATGTTTAGTTTATAAATTATGTTGTTTACCCAAGGTTCCTCAGGTAAAGGAAAAATGACAATAGTATGATTTCCTCGGGAGCTTAAAATGGATAGATCAGGGAAGCCAGGATTCTAGCCAGCAGAGTCAGCTGCACAGCGCACACGCTAATTGGACTCTCACTCCATCCCATCATCCAGCGCTAACTGAATGGACTGGCGAGGACGTCTAGGGCGTACCATCCTCTGACCCGACTTTACTATTTTCCTTCAGATATTGAGAAGACGCTCAGCCGATTTGATCACGTTATATCCTACTATAACGTCAGCAAAGAGGTGGACCCAATTATCAGAAATGGTAAGTATAAGTTAGCTGTTGTTTACGTCGTATCCTGCTGGTAAGTGAAGCTGACGTCACAAATAACTCTTTTAATAGCGTCTTTAGGTTGTTCTCATATTATTACCAGATACTTCTTGTCTTACGATGCAACTTTTTCTATACTAACTTGCGAAACAGTGCAAGCTGTGCACTGCCGTGTTCATGCCTTTGGTCTGGCATCTCCTCTGTTGACTCGTGCCCGTGTTGTCCTCAGGTCCGGGCGCCACCAACACGGAGACGTACCTGATGGCCATGGCGCGCCTGCAGGATGCGCTCACCTTCTTCCAGTCCAACAACTCGCAGTCGGTCGAGCTGGAGAACGTGATGTTGCTCTTCACCAGCGGTGCGTGCAGACACACGCTAACCACTCGTCATTGATACGTGAATCCTTACGGTTCCAGTCTGATTCATAGCTGTAAAGCCTTTCGTGTTTCAACTTTCAAGCCATGTTTGCACTGTTATAGTGCAGTGTAAGGAAGCGTAGTGCAGTGCACCCTAGTGGTTACAGTGTAAGTAAACATCACTCGTGCTATTTGTTTGAACATCCCAACTAGCAGTTCTACACACGTTGGTGCCTAGTCACACCTTATTAAGTTAATGGGTTTGTGGCGTTGACCGTTTTCTGATGCAGATTTTGTTAACGCCGCTGATTTGCCTCACGTATCCCGTCGCTGTTCCGCCGCATGTTGACCGGTTTTCTCTGACAATCCGGGGCAGGTATGGAGCTGTTGAACAAGGAGTTCAACGACCTGGTGTCCAAGTACAGCAAGCAGCTGCAGCCGGTGGCGGTGCTGGACCTGCTGGACCGCGACGACGGGCAGGGTCAGTACTCGCTCCTTCACTGCGCCCACCACCTTTTCACCCGTGAATCACTCACCAAGTCAACTGGACTAGACGCCTAAGCCGAAACTCTACGAAAGAAGTCGTATTCCATTAAATTTCCGATAATAAGCGCCATGTTTACTCAAGCTAAGACTGTGGCTCTCTCGGGCTTTGAAAATCGTTATCGGGACCCGTTAGAATCGACTTGGGAAACGGCGCCAAACCATAAAGAGGACTCCCAAGTGTCCGCCTTTCTTCTCAGTGTAATTTGTTTCGTGGATTCATATGCTTTACCAGGCGCGGATACAAGGGGGGGGGGGCATGGGGGCCATGCCCCCCCCCCTTGGCCGATTTTTTTTCAAAAATAAAATAAAAAGTTAAGCTGAAAAGGGGGCCTCCTGAAAATAAAGTGGCCGAAATCCGAAAAATGTTGCCTGAACAGCTAGATAAGCTCAATAGACGCAGTTTTTTTTTTGGGGGGGGGGCCAACAAGTGGGAAGATGGGGCCTCCAACAGGTGGGATTATGGGGGCCTCCTGGTTTCTAATGGCCCCTCCCTTGGAGATTTTCTGGATCCGCCCCTGTGCTTTACATTCGAATTGCCAGTTTCCTTGGCCAGATATCTGACTTTCTCGTACTTTTTTGGGGTGAACGCCGTCGTCCTTTTACCTTGGCGGGTTACCCGAATCGCTAACAATTTTTGTACGTCTCCTTCGAACAGGACCGCCGTCAGAAACGTACACATTCGACATTCCCGAGAACGTAATGGTGGACGTGCGGCTGATCGCCAACTGGCTGTCCAACCACAACAGTGACGGCTACATGACCACGTACGCCCGTCTGCGCGCCGGCATACTGGTCAGGTAGGTATGCGCACCCTTCTCTTGACCGAGTCAATCGTCACCTCTAAACATATTCTGGTCCGATTTACATACTGAGGGAATCCTGCATGTCTGATGTACTCTCATCTGTGAAGGATTTCGTGTTTAATGTTCACTGACCCAGTTGGGTGCGTTTCCCATCCACAGAACGATCCAGGCGCTGCAGAAACACCACAAATCGCGCAGTAACGCCAGCGCCAAATCGAGCGACACACAGTCTCCGGCCGCACTCAGTCAGGTAAGTGGACAGTCTGTGTGGAAGGACTCTGGTAACCGCGCATTCTTTGTAACCTGCTCGGACCGCCGTGCAGCTGTGACAGTATTTTCACGCCTGCCCGTTCGTAACTCTATTGTGACAGTGTCTCGATCTGACCCGCGTGTGACGTCTGTCTGTCCGTCCGTCTGACCGTCTCCCTCCGCCCCTGTCGCCAGCTGTCGCGGTCTCGGGCCGACCTGACGCCGACGGGCGCGGCCCGCTCGTCGCGCGCGCCGCGCCGCATCGCCAGCCGACTGGAGAAGAAGGCCAACCGGATGCTGCAGCGCGCGCACAAGTCGCTGGCGCAGGCCGGCGTCCAGTTGGGATCGGGCACGCCGCGCTCCCAGCTCGGTCAGTCCTGGCGCTAAGGGAGGGCCGCCCGTGGCGTATGAGGAATGGGGCGCACTATCAGCGCGATGGGCGTTTTCCCGCGCGCCTCGAGTATTGAGTGCTAATTGTCGGTATTTGTTGTGGTTGATTATGTGCAGACTAGGTAAGGGTATACTATAATTTTGGATCCTAATTTTTTCTCACAGACAATGACAATAGGTACAAAAACGATGTAATAAGACCAGACGTTTCGACAACAAAGTGCCTTCGTCAGTGGAAAAACAAGATATAGGCTTTACATCGATAAAAAATATAGAAGACGACCAGCCTGGTCGTCTTCTATATTTTTTATCGATGTAAAGCCTATATCTTGTTTTTCCACTGACGAAGGCACTTTGTTGTCGAAACGTCTGGTCTTATTACATCGTTTTTGTACCTATTGTCATTGTCTGTGAGAAAAAACGAAATGTCTGACTCTTCTAATTTGGATCCTAACTCTGAAGTCGCATCAATGCTGGGGTCCCGAAAATACAAACCTCATTTAGCGAAGACAAGTGCTGAGCCCAGACCATTCTTTTTGAAATTGAATCCCAGTCATCGTGCGAAGTGTCAAGTGAAACTATGTGTGACAAGCGTAAGCAATTTTACCCTCAGAAGTACGATTTGCATGTTGTTGGTATCGGATGAAGCCATCCAGGGACGTCCCGCGTCTCCTGGAATCCACCCTGACACCCTGGATATCCCCGGCCACCCCCGGACTCCTCCGTGTACCTCCGCAGACCACCTAGAAGACCTGATTGACGAGCACGAGGTGGAGGCCTACCTGACGACCACGTCCGCCCTGCTGCGGCTCTTCAGCTACGAGCTCACGCAGCTGACGCCGCTGGTGCCGCAGAACCAGCTGAAGAAGGTCTTCCAGACCATCATCCAGGACGCCCTGGACCTGGTGGTCAAGGACGGGGAGGTGAGCCGATCAGCTGGAGATCTGATGTTGACGTGGAGTCGCGATGTGAAGTGTTCAGAGTCAAGCCAGCTCGGATGTGGAAGAGTTTAGAGTGTCAGAGTTGGTTAGAGGAAAGAGAATGCGGCGGCTAATGCGCTGCTTGTAACAGCAGCAGAGTCGATCAAAGGACCGCCTCGGGGCCCGGGCTACTCTGTATAGTGATAAGTGTATACGACTTCTCCTACCACCGATCTTGAGCCGTCTGGACCAGTCCCGCTGCTGCGTGACCCACTTCTGACCCGTCGCCCCTACCCGCTGTACCGTTCCCCGCTGACCCTGCGACGGCGGCAGGCGATGGCCGGCAAGGCGCGGCGCAGTATCGCGCGCCAGGACTTTGCGCCCGTGCTGAACCTGTTCCCGCTGGTGTCGCACCTGATGGCGATGCGCGGCGAGTTCGAGCGCTCGCTGCAGGGCTGCGACCCGTCCGTACGCAACCGGATCTCGGGCATCATTGACGTGCTCCACCAAACGGTCGGTGGTGGGAGGGGAGGGGGGAGGGCAGGGACCGGGCATGGGCCGGTGGGGTGGAGGCCGCAGGACCTGGATGGGACGTGAATGTGTAGGTAGTTTTGTATTGAATTCTGTATTTATCATACTAGGGCCGTGTTTTGACCTAATAATCAAGTCCACTGTGCCAGAGTTCTCCGCTAACAGTGCAGAGCCGTATTCTTTCCACCCCGTTTGTGTGACTGACGTATCTTTGCCTGTCCTCGGTTGGCAGTGCGTCAAGTCTCTGGACGACTTTATGGAGTGGGTGCTGAACGACCCGGACCGACAGCTGCCGCGGGACGGCACCGTCCACCAGCGCACCTCCAACGTCATCATGTTCTGCGACCAGCTGGTCAGTCGCGCCGACGAACGGTAACGCTGGCAGTGCCATCGTGTGATGAAACCGCATGTTCCGAGGACCGAGGGCGAGATGAGATAGATTACGTGAAGTGCTTTTGATGTACTTATGTCATGCCATACGCATTGCTATATTGTGCTCTTCGTATGCGTGTAGTCGATATTTAGTTTTCGCAATGACGTCCCTGCCCTGACCTCGTCGAGCACACGGACGCCGTCGGGTGGATTTTGTCCCTGACCTGACCTGACCTCTCCGTGTGGTGACCTCAGGTCGAGTACACAGACACCGTCAACTGGAAATGGTCTCTGACCTGACCTGACCTCTCCATCTGATGACCTCAGGTCGAGTACACGGACACGGTCGGCTAGCTGTAATCTCTGACCTGACCTGACCTCTCCGCGTGGTGACCTCAGGTTGAGTGCACGGACATGGTCGACTGGATGCTGTCCTTGGCCTGACGTGACCTGACCTGACCTCAGGTCGAGTACACGGACATGGTCGGCTGGCCTGGTCTTTGACCTGACCTGACCTCCGTCTGGTGACCCCAGGTCGAGTATACGGACACGGTCGGCTGGATGCTCTGCCAGCACTCCAACTACGACATTGTGACCACGTCCAAGGTGGACAAGAACAAGGCGCTGCTCGGCGTCTACATCAAGAAGGTGCTGAACGCACTGAGCCAGTCGCTGCTCGCCACTTCCGAACAGTATAGGTGAGTAGCGAGGAGAGTATATTATCATCTTCTAACAGTTATACTACAATGAGGAACCGCGAGGAAGGTATTTTATGCTGTCACATCCGAACAGTACAGGTGAGGACCGACGAGGGTATATTATCACCTTCTAACAGTACAGATGCGTAGCGGGGAGGGTATTTAGGGCATATTAATGCCTTCGTACTATACTGCGACTTATGCTAATGCGCTTCGCCAACAATGGTAAACCGTATTTGAGCTCGATGCCGATAAGGTAGATCTCATTAGTGGACCGGATTATGCCACCATTGTTTAAGTGTTACGCTACATGATAATGTATCATTATCCTGGATTAAGGATCACAATCCTGGCCCAATGCGGTTACCAGTGAGTACTGTTGTAATCATATTGTGACGTCGAGTGCGATGTGTGCCCCCGCCAGCGACCCGTACCTGCGCTCCGTGTTTCGGCTCAACAACTACCACTACGTCCTCAAGTGCACGCAGCACTCTGGTCTGCTGGACCTGGTGTCGCTCTCTGAGCCCACTGCCGAGGCCACCTACAACAGCCTCATCATGGAACAGAAGCGGCTCTACTCGCAGAGGTGAGCGTCGGTAGATCGGACACGTGCGCCTGCTGTGTTTTCATGTTAGACATCCGTTTTGGAAGTCGCTTTTATTTAACCGGTCGGTGCACTTACCAGTAAAATGTACTCACCGGCCCTTCAAGCATTTTGCAACTTCTTTGACGATTTTCGACTTCCGTTCGTGATATGCTCATGTCCTTTCATCTGGTATCTGATGTGTTGTTTGTCAGTATCGGCTGACCTTCCCCTGGCCGTGTGTGACCCGTGTGTGACCTGCGTGTGGCCCGTGGGTGACCTCTGCCGGCAGCTGGAGTCGCGTGCTGCAGGCCATGACGTTCGCAGAGGACATCCCCTCCTTCCGTCTGGACATCGACAAACTCTCCGACAAGGAGAAACAGACCATCAAGGAAAAGTTTGCAGTGAGTTTCAGTCGACTGATGCATACAATATGGGTGGTACATGACAGTGTTGTCTGCTCCTGCCGGTATTGACCGATACTTTTGTTTTGACGGCAACAATATTGTTGCTATTACCTATTCATAGAAATGTAAAACGCCTATCCGTCCTTGATAATGTATTTAATGCCGAAACTGGTCCGGTCTGAGTCATCTGACGGATGGCTCCGCTGCTCCCCAGACGTTCAACCGTGAGATGGAGGAGCTGTGTAAGGTTCAGCGCGAGTACTCGCTGCCTGACGTGCAGCTCAGGGAGTCGCTCAAACGCGACAACAAGGAGTTCGTGCTGCCCAAGTACACCAGCTTCTACGACAAGTGAGTGGGCGGGCGAGGGCTGTGAGGGGAGGCTGGTGAGCGCGTCACTGACGGGACTTTGATGGTTTGTCGGTGTCTGTGTGCATGCAGGAAGCCCTGAGTTGCCTGTGACGCCTTATACTTGTTGGGTTAGGGCGCAAAGCCTTGACCCATGTGCCCTGTTGGTGACCATCTGTCAGCCTGTGATCAGCAGTGCGCTCTGCAAGTGTACGTGTTATGCTGTTGTTTTGTTGTTTTCGTACCCAGCCGGTGAGATATAATGTGTTCTTTGATAGGTCTCTGTCTGAACAGGTGCAGCTGACACTTTTTCTATTGGGCGGGTACGGTGCTGACGCGTTTTCTGTTGGGCAGGTACGGCAGCGTAACGTTCTCCAAGAACAAGGACAAGTACGTCAAGTACACGCCGGCCCAAATATCGGCCATGATCGACAGCTTCTTCGACACGGCGGCGTAGCCGGTCGGTCTCGGCGCGAGGCCCGATGTCAGGGGGTGGGACGTGTTACCTACTGATAGGACCGGCTCGTGACGGCACACTGAGTGACTGCTGTGATGATGGACCGTGATAGCTGTGGACGGTACTGCGAAAATGAAGACATGCCTTCACTCATTCGTGGCATCTCGGAGGATTTACGGATTTCTTGCTATTATGGTTCCCGGCTGGGGAAATGCCACGGCTGGATTATTACCTTTCTAGTACTCGCTCTTCTCTATCGCCACACTGGATAAGTTACTTCGGTTGACATTTTATGCTCTCAATTTTGGAGAAGCTATTTTTATAGACTTGGTGACCACCAATCAATTGCATATTATGTTACCTTGTTACGTATTCCAGTAACCTTGTTACGTATTACAGTCTTCCTGTAGGCTGTATTGCGAGAGAATGCTGTGTTGTATCATGTTGATGGGTTATGCGCATGTAGTAAGGCCACTGATGTGTATGATGAAACTAGTATTGCCCACTGTTTTCTTTGGATATCACGCTATAATTTACTGCTTATACTGCTGTAGTCTTATTGAATACAATATTATCGTGTGGACGTAAGTGTGCTGTCATGCTGCTTTAATACAGATGATATTTTTCAGATACTTAAAACATTTTAAACATAATTTGACGTCATTTGCCTGAGCCCATTGACATCAAATGCGGAATTTATGCATCAGCTTGCATTGATATCCATTTGTGGGTACCTATATATAAAATCTATATATAGGTTTATACCTATATAAAAAAAGATTGTGTATAGTTGAATTTTGGCAATTTCTTTTCTGTTTTGCTTTTGTTTTGGAAGCAAAGCACCCATAAATATATGGCGTCTTTATTTTTTCCCACATCAAGGATAATTGGATCAATAATTACCAGCCATCAGTGGTCGCTGGCGGCGGTCGACTGGGAGCTGCTCCCGCTGCATGATCTGCCTCGGCTGTGATCTCGCCTGCTGCATGACCTGCCTCTGCATGATCACCTGCAAATCTGGACTACCTACTGGGCCTGGCTCAACCTCTTGGCAGTACTGATTGTCTATCCTTTCCTGCCCACAACAACCATCCCCTCCTGCTTGTCTGCTTGCCTCGTCCCTACAGCCTACCCCTTGTGTTTGGTGTCTTGCTTTCTGTGCTACTTGCACGCCACTGGCTGTCTGGTCCACCTTGCCAGCTGTGCACGCATCTCACTATCAAGCACGGAAGACCATGGCCAGGGGCAAGAGAACTGGAGCTGGGAGAGGGAGATCTGCTAGTGTCAGTGCACCCACCAGTAGGGATGTCACAGGGTCACGGCCGGCAGGCACACAAACCTGTATAACATGTTCCAAAGATGTCGGAGACACTGCGATAGGCTGTGATAAATGTGAACATTGGGTACACAACACTGAAATGTGTTCCGGCCTGCCCCAGCACATGCTCGATGCAATTGCTAAGTATGAGGGTGCCGGTATTAGCTTTATCTGCACGAACTGTCGGCTTGACAGGGGGAAATCTCCATCTAGCAGTCAGGTGCCAGTAAATGAGGTTATAGCCCAACTGTTCCAACAGATCAAAGGTATTTGCGGCACAGTAAAGGACCTTGTTGACCAGGTTAAGACCCTGACAGCATCAGTGTCAGCTCAAGCCTCCAGCACCCCCTCCTCAACCAGACCTCATCCTGAACCACCAAGACTGCAACAGCCTGCTGCCGACTACAGGTCCATTGTTCATGAGGAAATGAAAGAGATGAGAGAGCGTGAAAAGCGCAAACAGTCTGTCATAATCAAGGGCCTCCATGCTGATTCCACAGCTGATCTAGCCTCAAAGTTCGAACAGTTGACCGATCAGGTTATGGGCATGAAAGTTGGGCTGACTGACATCTCATCCATCCCTGGCCACTCGCATATCTATCGTGCAAAGATCATGAATAGTGATAATCGAAAGCTTGTGCTAGACAAGGCAAAGGCTTTGCGAAACACTGACTACTCCTCAGTCTATATATCTAGAGACTTGACCTATGCACAGAGATCTGAACTGCTTGCCCGTCGTAGGGCCCGTCAACAAGAACAGGCACAGACTGGGCTGCCCCCAGCCCAGCCTAACACCGGACAAGACACACGGACTGCCCCCTCAGTGGGTGCACCACCCCCTGCCTCCCAGGGAAACTAACATGGAACCAAGACTGTAAGACTAAATCTGCCACCAGTGCCACCAATGTTCTTAATATCATGCTTACAAACATCAATGGTCTGGCACCCAAATTTAACATGCTTGTGGATTTGCATGCCAAACTTAAATGGGATATTATGTGTATTACTGAGACTCATCTACTGCCCAGCATTTCCAGTTCCATTGTTGATATACCTGGCTACACTCTCCTACGTCATGATGTTTGTGGGCATGTGCAAAAGCATGGTGTGTGCTGCTACATTCAAAACAGATTGAGCATTGACCATATAACCCAACCCTTACCTAATCTCCTTTCCTTTCGCCTGAGTTCACTCAATACGTTTGTGCTTATTGTGTATAGACCACCTTCTAACTCACCAGATTCAAATGACAGTTTAAACCAGTTCATACTTCACTTTTGCAGTGGAAAAGAAGTGATTGTCCTAGGTGACTTCAACCTTCCTGGTATTGATTGGCCAACCCAACTGTCCCGTTGTCCTCCTCTAGAAAGGATGTTCCTTGACACATTCCTATCCTTAGGTCTCCATCAATGGATCTCCGAGCCAACATATCCCAAATCTGGAAATATCCTTGACCTGATCTTTACCTCTGAGGCAGATCGAATAGGATCTCTTGATATCATGGCCCCACTGCCTGGATGTGACCACTGTGCCATTTCATTTGATTACATATTTGATGCTTCACCATCACTCAACTCAATTCCTGGACATATCACTCCTCAGAGAGCCTGGCACAGGGGTAAGTACCAAGCAGCAAATCGCATGCTCAGTAACATTGACTGGGACTTGGAGCTAGCTTTTCTAGATTCGGATCAGTGCTTTAAGCGATTTGCCGCGATACTTAATGATGTGTGCACAGAATACATCCCACTTAAGCCACCTAGTGAAGGTAGGCCTCCCTGGTCAACCAATCCTCCCACCAGCCTTATCAAACGAAGGCATGCTGCATGGTCCCGTTATAAATCGGTAAGGCATCAGCTTGGTCGTCACTCTGGTGAAGCTCGTTCTAAGTATGCTAGTTTTGCAAGTCTAAACCAGCAGTGTCGTAAATTTGCCGTCCAAGCCCAAGCTAAGTATGAAGAGGACCTAATCTCAAAGTCTAAGGAAAACCCCAAGCTTTTCCATTCATATATCCGCAAGAAGAAGGTGAGTCGCCCTTCAGTGGGTCCTTTAAGACTTCCCTCAGGACAACTTACTGATGATCCCGATTGCATGTCCGAACTATTTGCTGACTCATTTTCCTCTGTTTACACCAGAACAATCCCAGGAAACCCTGCTCCTCACCAGCGATTCCTTGGGGAACTTCATAACATCAGTATTACCCAGAATGATGTTCTCAAAGTACTTCTAGATCTAGATGGCAACTCTGCCATGGGGCCTGATAACATCCACCCACTCTTACTTAAGAACTGTGCCACTCACTTAGCTTATCCCCTCACAGTTATTTTTAACAGATCACTTCAGGAAGGGTCCTTACCCTCTGATTGGAAAACATCCTTGGTTGTTCCCATCTTTAAGAAGGGTCAAAGATATGAAGCACTTAACTACCGACCTATAAGTCTAACATCTGTTCCTTCAAAGAGAATGGAACGCTTGCTGTGTGACTCACTTACATCTTACTTGGAATCCAACCAACTCCTGAATCCTCACCAGTTTGGTTTCAGGGCAGGTAGGACTACTATGGACCAGCTGCTCCTAGTGTACGATACAGTATCAAAACAGATTGACATCGGGGCTGTCAGTGACGTCATACTGTTTGATTTCAATAAGGCATTTGATGTGGTAGTACATGACTTATTGATCGACAAACTACAAAACATTGGAATTCAGGGAAACGTTCTTAACTGGGTCAGATCATTCCTGACAGGTAGAACCATGAGAGTGTGTGTTAAAGGGTACAAAAGTCAACCTAAAGCGGTACTTAGCGGAGTCCCACAAGGATCGGTACTTGGTCCTCTCCTTTTTCTGATTTATGTAAACACCATTGCATCCTCACTAAAAAGCAGTTACAAGATATTTGCCGACGATCTTAAGATTTATACTTGCGTCAAACACAGTAATAGGCCCGTCTTAAACCCTCTGTCTGTAGCGGCGGTGCAGAACGACATAGATATTCTCCACGCTACCGCGTTATCGTGGGGCCTCAACATGAATGTTAAAAAATGTGCTGTACTCCGTTTCTCAAGAAACTGTGCCAACCTTACCCAGCCCTCCTACTACTTGGATGGAAATCTGATCACAGTGGTTAACAGGGCAACTGACTTAGGTGTAATAATTGACACTAGCATGAGATTTCATGACCACATACAATCTACTGTCCATAAAGCGGGAGGGCTGGCGCAGAGTTTCCTGAAATCTACAGTGTGTCGCACCCCAAACTTCATGATTTTCCTGTTCACAACACACATACGTCCAATTTTAGAATATTGTTCATGCATATGGAACACTGGATACGCGATGGATCTTCGTTCTCTAGAGCGTATTCAACGGCAGTGGACGAAGCACATCGACGGTATGGAGGGCCTTACGTATGGCGAACGATTAAAAAGTTTGAAACTGTACTCGGTACAAGGCAGGCTGTTACGGGCAGACTTGATCCAGTATTGGAAAATTTTCAATGGATATTCCTGTATCTCACCCACTGACCTTTTCCTTCGCCCACCCCTTGCTAGAACTAGAGGCCACTGTCACAAAGTGTTTCCCCCTGTCACAGTAACCGACACGCGAAAACGATTTTTCTCCATTCGATGTATTTCACTCTGGAACTCATTGCCATATGATGTTGTGTGCGCACCAGATGTTACCAGTTTCAAACGCTTGCTTGACACATGTATAACAGACAGCCTCTATAACTATTTAGATTGATAGGTACCTGTCATTGTGATTATGCTTGCGACAATGTGCTCATATTGTATGCATGTTTTTTCCGAACATAGGAAAAGCAAAAGGCTTTACTCCGATGAGACACACAATTCCAGTCAATGTCAAACTGCACAATTTAGGAAACAGCCATTGTAATGTAGGACTGGCGTGTCTCTTGTGTTCGTGGTTCTCTCATTCCTCATTTGCCTTCCTTCTCGCTATCCTGAAACCTAAGACATGATGGAACCCAACGAGGTAAGAATACGAGGTAAGAATATATCATTTGTGAGTACCTATCCATTGCCATGACCAAACCAAAAGTTTCTATCGTTGAAGTGCCCGCCCGGTCCAGCATCGGGCACAATCGGGTATCCTTAGGAACTTTATTTTAGTAGCCAGAACTGCGCAGCTGCTTGTCTTTGCTGCGCCATATCAGCGGGCAAAATATTCCCCTCCCCCTTCAGTGCAATCGCGATTCGCGATTCGATTGGAGTGTGTGGAATTGGAGTCCGCCCACCGGAAATCAATTATTAACTATTCCGGTTTCCGCTTTCGCCGGCGTGTACCGTGATTTTGGATTCGTCTGGTACTACCAAATCTTTTCATTTTATGTTTGTCATTTTACTTTAAAAGGCAAGTACCTATCTATGCAACATGAAAAGCAGTTATTTCATTTTCTTGAATTTTGGGAATCTATCACCATCTTGATCTTCAGTTATTTGCTATTTTAGCTGTTTGAGTTTGTTTTCAGTTCAAAATAAAATTGATTCGCATTTGGGGGTTTCATATGATGAACTCGAATTAAACTGATAAATTGAAATATTTTGCAGTGCCCACTTCTCTCGGTCGCTAAAGGTTCAATCGTGGCCCTGTTCGCCTGTTCGGTCGCTGTTTTTATATCAGCGTGCTGTCGGTTTTCCCCATATAAGGAAGTTATTGCTGGAGCGGTTTGGCATCTCATTGGTCTATCGAATAGACCACTTGAATTCGACCAATGAGGAGCCAAGAAGCAGCAGCATGGTCGCAGCCTGCTGATAAATAAACGGGGTGTGAACAGAGCTCGTATTAAGGTTGATGCTGAGAGTGCTGTTGGCCCAGTTTTTTTATCAGCATGCTCCTTGTTTTTCCATATAAGAAAGGTACCTAATTGCTGGCCTTTCTTGGCCTCTCATTCGTCAGTGACGCATCCAATTGAATTTGACCAATGAGAAGCCAAGAAATAACAACAGGCTTGCAACCTGCTGGCTGCTGATAAATGGTGATTGGACAGTGCCCCAACAATGTATCAACCTGTGATGTATTCAAAAGAAAACTGTTGGTGACACCAGACACCTGCCCCACCATTTCCCTGATTAAAAAAATCAATCAAAAAATGATATGGCTCAAAGAATCAGTCCCAGGTATAGATCCGATATAGTTTTGAAAATACAGATACAGATACTGATACAGATATGGAACCACATGGCATGCCGCATGGAGACTTGGTTTCCTGATTCCCTTTTTAAATGCTAAATTTTCCTAGTAATATATGAATTATGCATGCTGTTATAAGAAGCAATATAAATTACACTTAAGGTACCTAGTGGCTATTTGTGGTAGATACATTTTTTAGCAATATTTTTTTTTTGCTTTTGTGAAAAAAGTTTCCAGTTACCTGTTCAGGGTTTCCTGTGCTTAGCTCAAATAGCTGAAACAGGCACTGACTTATCCCACTGTTTGCAGATGGGTGAGATTGATGGCGAGGAGCCCGCTGCTGTGGATGTGGTGCCTCAGGCTGAAGATCCCAGGCCTCCCACTGGTGAGTCACACATGCCAACTGCTGCTGACTGACAGTTGGAAGTGACTGAATTATGACAGCCTAAAAAGGCCTGGGGATTGTTTTGGATGTAGATAATGCTCTATGTGCACTTAGGGGTCATTACACCTTTCAATGTTTATAGTTCATAAGATATCCTTGAAGACTTTGGCAGTTAGGGTAAGGGCGGGTAAGAGTACGCGGGCGATAAGAGTACGCATCAGCTGTTTTGGTTGCTTAGCAACGCGGGCTTGTCGAGTTCATGAAGTGACATGAAGCCGCCAGTGCGTGCTTGTCACCAACGGAACGTGGGCGTTGAGCGGCGACGCTGTTGAGTTTAAGGCGATGAATATTATTTTCGAGCGTTATGATATTATTATGATATGGTACAATAATTTTGATACTTGGCAGTTGAGATAAGGAACATTTCCGTGATTGTTGTGGGAAACTTGTGAGCTTATCTGGGGAAATACTGTGCAGTGCAATATTATGTTTCCGAAGTTTTGCACAACGTTTCGGGGTTGTTTTGTGCGCGAATTGCATGTACGGTAAGAGGACGCACTGTTCAGGAGGGTAAGAGTACGCAGAATTATACATTAAATCGAATATACAGAAATATAAAATTATTAATATATCGCTCAATGACGTTTGTTTTGTAGGTATATTATCAATGGAGCACTGTGATGCAGATGCATACCCGAAATTCTTCCAAATACGAGTTATTCTCCCTTTTGATTGTGCATTTTTTTAAAGAAACACACGACATGATTATTTCCTGATTTATAGACTTGAAATATTTATTTTAAGTTTTTCTTTTTGGATACTAGAATTAACTGAAATGCCTTCTGAGTTTGAAGTTAAGCATTTGGACAGTACAAGCTGCATAGGTGTGTGTTCATATGCTTGCGTACTCCATCCGCCTGGCGTGCGTACTCTTACACACCCCATATGGTAAGAGTACGCAACTGCAGCGGTTCAGAAAATGTCAGTTTTAGACCACTTCCATTTACGCTGAAGGATCGTTGCCCCATGGGTTGATGGCTAATTCAATGAACTTTAATATTCCCTATTTGCGATTTCTTTCTTTCAAATATTAAACAAATGAGAACAAGAAATCCACTAAGTGCGTACTCTTATACGACTTCACCCTATCTGGTTAAATGTATCCCCTTCACTAGAATGCAACCTGAACAAAATTAGGTGGATGCAGTGTGCACACACACTACAGTGCTTGTCTTTCTGTGGCTCTGTGTACCTCATGTTGTGACACTCATCATTGTAAGTTCAAAGACAATGATAGTCTGTGGCCTGGACAGTTGTTATCTCAGTGTGTTCAGATGACCAGGTGCTTTGTTTGGAGCTAGCATCTGAATGGTTGGCACACATGACAAGTCTTGCATTCAGACGTGCCGTTTTTCGCGTGGAATTTCCACGCTGAGGAATTCCTCACGAAAACAGCCTCGCCTGCGAGGCGTCTCGAAACGCAAGGAATCCCGCGGGATCCCGCGAAACGGGTATACCCGAACGACCGTTTTTGTGAGGGATTCCTCGGTGTGGAAATTGCACCGATCGCACGGTCCGATCGCACGGTTGGTTATAAGAGGTTGAAACTACACCGCCAGCACACAGAGAGCCGCTCTGTGACCTGTGTGCGGTCTGTGGCTGATTTCAGTGACGTCTCGCGCCTCCTAACTAGTCCCATGGCGAGCACCAAAGGTAACGCGGCCGGCGCGGCCAGCGAGGGCCGCCGGCCGTCGGACGGTTTCCACTCTCTGCTCGGTATTACCGCTCTCACACACACCCCGTAGTGCCTGGTGGCCTCGGTCACGGCTGCCGCGTCGCTGCTTGCCCTCCTGCAGTCTGCCGTGGGTCGGCCTGCTACGGCCCCGCCGTCCCCCTGGCCCGGCCCGTGCCCTGTGCTTGGAGCTCTCCGCGTCAGGTGCGCCTGTGGCGCTGTGGCTGTGACCTAGTCTGTTTTATTGTTCCGTTGGCATGGTTTTGGTCTCAAAAGTCTTTAATTGGTAGCGTGATATGATGACAATGTGGCTGAAGTAGATCCCATGCTAGTCATTAACAGTTTGTTTTTGCGCACGGTTTGCAATATTCACAAGATTAGTTTCCGTCGTTTCATTTCATCGCAACAAGACCTTCGTGATTCTTACCTGCCGATTTGATGCATGCCTTCTATTGCCTGCTTGCGATATAGTGTTTGAAGTATTTGATAATTTCTTGTCCATGCCTAGATGATTGTTTTCACTTTGTGGGCTGAACTGTACCTAGAGTCTATTTTTTGTTTGTTACGTAGTTGAAATGCAAATTGAACAATATAAAGCTCCAATCCAAAAGAGCACCATGCACCACTGGCTCAAGGTGCATGGTGCTCTTTTACACAATCGGGGAATTATATGACCTACCAACAGTATTCAAGGCTTGCCGCGGCCTCGGGGTCGGTCAACTAAAGGCTCATGATGCGTTCATCCACTAGCCGTCAGAATCTTTCGTCTTATTGCAGTTTAAATACATACCGGCGAAGTGCCCTTGCGCATTGTAATGTGATTGCATGGTTAGTCAGGTTAGGTTGTCTGCCCAGCCGTTTCACCCGCGAGGCGCATCACATCAGGTATATCTGCTCCGTCAAACAAGGCCTGCTGTTACCTACACATACGCACCGATGTATCGCCACGACCAACCCCCACTCCTCCCCCCATTGCTTACGCCGGTCGTGAGCAGCGTGCTGACGTGATCATTGAGCTGGGCGCAGGTCTGAGCGACCGCCTGCTTGATGACTGAATGGCTGCTTAGAGACTGAGGACTGAGGGACCGACTGGGATGGGGACTGAGGAATGGGGGCCTGTTAGGGATTGGGGATTGAGAACTGAGCCCCAAGGACTGAGTGACCTAATGAGGACTGAGCGGTCGACTGAAGACTGGTGACTCAACGGTGACTGAAGAATGAGGACCGACAACTGAGGACTGAACGAATTGCGAGCAGAGCGGTAGGACATAACGACGGGCTGGGAAACTGAAGCCGAGTGGCGGAGTGCTGAACCAACTAGGGACGGAGTGCTCGTGGGCGTTCGGTATCTCCGTCAGGCGATGCCTTCGTGGAGCAGCGTCCTACGTCTATCATGGGCGCAGTTGGCTTGACATCTCAGCGTGTTTGCCTCGGCGAAAGATACGGCGTGGTAGAGAGCAGCTCTGACTCATTCTTTACACATTGACTGCGATAATGAACCAACGCGCGATTTAATATCACTATCGTAGTATGCTATATATATATATATTCGCCACAACTCGTAAATTGCTACGCATGCCAGACAGAGTGTTTTGGAACTTTGACTTGCCTCTGTCCTCAGTAAAGGTAATTTGATAAGGATGCGTTCGTTTTTCGCTTTTCATTCCATTGTAGCATGGTTTGTTCACACACCTTAACTTTCGCCCTGTGGTCGACCTCGAATAGAATTCGGGGCACAGTCTGAAACATTGCCCGGGCTGTGACTGTGCCCCTGTGATCCCCGGTGGCTGCGTGCCGCGTCGTTACTCGGTGTCAGGTGACCGGCCCGCCCGCACGTGTCTCCCGTGACGCAGTACCCGGAGAGGTCTGTCCGGTGACGCAGTGACGCACCTACCGACAGCTGCGCCGATTCAGCACAAATGACGTGGTGTGTTTGGTAACGTGTATCTATCTATACGCGACGTTATATGACGAATATGCGCACGTTTGGCGATGCTTTTTGGTCGTGGTTTTCGGTTGTGACGTGTCTTTACAGTGTACAGGGTGTCCGGAAAGTCATGGCGCTTTTCAATTTTTTTCGCAAACAAATGCGGCTGGTTCATATATATTTAACAACTGGATGAAACAATGATCGGGGACAACAAGAGATATCCTTCCGCCAACTGTTCACTCGATATAGCCGCCGTCGGCGGCGACGACGGCCTCGACGCGGGGGCGGAAGCCCTTGCATGTCTTGACGATGTATGCCGCCTCCAGACCCTCCCACGCTGCCACGATGCGAGCCTTCAGCGACTCCAGGTTGGGATGAGAGGTAGCCTGGACCTCATCCTGCAAGACGCTCCACACGCTGTAATCGAGAGGGTTGAGGTCGGGGGACTGAGGCGGCCACATCTTCTTTTGCCAGAAGTGGTCTGGCCCGCCCAGCTCCTCTGTCAGCTTGGCTTGGACGGCGGCAGCGTTGTGGGCGGGCGCTCCGTCCTGTTGAAACACGAAGTTGCCCTCCGGGTAAGTCGCCTTGATCCACGGGATGACGTGCCTGTCCAGGAGCTCCTCGTAGACCAGCCTGTTGATCTTTTCGTTGGCATCAACGAAGATGATGGGACATTTCTGCCCGTCCGATCCGATGACCCCCAGGACCATCACCTTCTGCGGGTGCTTGTTGACTGGGTTGAACCGAATCCGGGGATCCACTTCGTCAACAGGCTTGTCGGACAAGTAGCGAGAGTTCCTTCGGTTGATCTGAGCGTCGACGTGGAAGAGCTTCTCATCGGAAAAGATCCGAACGAAGCTGGAGGTCACTGGGCTCTTTAAGAAGTTCAAGAGCAACTTGCTTTTCTCCAGACGGCGAAGACGCGTGACCTCGGTTAGACGCGGCCTGTTCTGGATCACCCTGGACTTCATCCCCAAATCTTGGTGAATCAGTTCGTGCATGGATGACTTCGGAAAGCCGAACTTCTTTGCCAGTTTTCTGATCGGCTGCCGCGGATTCTCTTCGATTGCCGCTGACACGGCAGCCACGTTCTTGGCAGTTCTGACCGACCGGGGCCTTCCCGATCTGGGGGCATCTTCTAAAGAATCCCCACATCGGATCTTGGCTTTCACCCGCTGAACCGTTCGCCGAGAAACGCCACATCGTGCTGCGACTTGCGCCTCGGTCATGCCGGACCCGGCCGCCGCGCGCAGACAGCCAGCGACAAGTTGCCTCTTCGTCTGTTTTTCCATGACTGAACGCGATTTCAAGGTCAAATTTACACGGCCCACGGCTGACCGGTCAGTGAGGGGTCACGCCTGCGGTGATTGGCTGATCGTCCACCAATCACAGCGCTCGTTAGACGGCATATAAGAGAAGCGCCAGGACTTTCCGGACACCCTGTACAATCAGTCTTGGAAGTAGGTATCGCGCAACGGTGCGGTGGATCCATCAAGCCCGACCGAGGAAGGGCTGCTAAATTTGAGAGGCAGTGAGCCATTTGACATCCTCATCCATCCCCCAGGTCAATTGTTTCGGTGACTCTCAAACTTAGCAGCTCTTCCTCGGTCAGGCTTGATGGATCCACACCGATGCGCGGTACTTTCAAGACAGACTGTACAGTGCTACTTGTATCTCTGTCGGATGTTACCGTCCTGGGACACGGCAGGACACGGTGCCCAATGTCCGAGCTCGGTAACTGTTAATCGGTATGGCTCACTCCTAATTAGATGCACCGTCCTCAGTTCTGTGTCCATTCCGTGATTACCCTCCGTGCACCGTTTGATGAGTCAGGATGCCGACCTTACCCACTGTCCTGGCGTGTCCCGAGCTCGCCAACGGACTAGTTTTGTTGTCTACTGAGTGCCATTTTGCCTGCCGTCTAGCATCGTTTGACCAACCGGTTCCGTCGTTCTGTCCCGTTCAGTAACTGCGATTCACCAATTTACATTCCCTCTCACCACATGTCGCGTCCCGTAGCTAATATAAACTGGCTCCCGTAGCTACTATATAGAAGTTATATTATAGCTAACTTCCCCTCAGTTGTGCCGCGCCCTGTGCTCACTAACTAACCTGTGTCGGCTGGGGTGCCGCTGCCCATGTCTGCTGACTAACCTGTGCCGGGAGCCGGCTGAGGTACCGGTTGGACGCCTTACTAACCCGTGTCCCGTGGGCCGCCATGCTCCCTAACTAACCCGTGTCCCGTGCAGGCCGCTATGTCCCCCAACTAACCCGTATCCCGTGGGCCGCTATGCTCCCTAACTAACCCGTGTCCCGTGGGCCGCTATGCTCCCTAACTAACCCGTGTGCCGTGGGCCGCTATGCCCCCTGACTAACCCGTGCGCCTGGGGTGCCGCTATGCTGTGTCCAGCGGAGCTGCTGCGCGTCGGCCGCCGCCTACAGCGGCGCTCGGTCAGTCAGAGCAGCACCGACTCCACCTGCCACCCGGCGCACCCAGGTCAGAACGAGGAGCGGGTACCTACCTGTGGCTGTGGCCTGTGACCCAGGTCGGAATGTGCGGGCATGACTGTGTGACTCGGGTCACACAGACTCGGGGGGTATGGCCGGAGACCAGGGCTGCGCGACTTTCGAGCCACGCCGGGCCGACCACGGAGCGCCGCCTGCGATGGTCGCATGCTTGGCTGTCGCCAGTAGCTAGCTGCTTGATCGTGCCGCTCTGCTTGTAACGTCTCGACGCTTTTGTCTTTGTCAATTGGCTTCTAAGTTCTCAAGTGCTGCTATATGCTACGCTGCTAAATAAAAACTCCATTCTTTCATTGTTAACGCTGTGTCGTGTTCGCTGTGGTTTGTTCAATTGACCTTTTTGTGCTTTCTTTGGGTCTCATATTATGTCTGTTGTCATTATTATGTGTCTGTTGTCATGCTTGTAAATATGTCCAGAGTCCTTGTCCCGCTCGCATTTATCCGATTTTATCCGATTTTATGGTGTTGAAAGTACTTTTTTCGTACCAAAGTGTATCCAAAGGTATCCAAAGTGCAAAAAAGTACTTCGAAACATAACGTTATTTTAAGCTATTTACGTTATATAAAGTCATTTACTTCGAAACATAACGGAGCAAAAGGTTATTTCGAACCTTTTGCTAAGCTATCTTCTTTCCTACGAAATTGAGCGTTTTTAATTGTTTCATTCGAGACTGCTGATTGCATGTCACTGCTATGGCTGATTATATGTATTTTGAATGCCCTTTTATGCGCAGCTGTTTTATATGACGTAGCATGAATTGAAGGACAATAAAGCTGATGATGAAAAGAGCAAACTCCACCTCAGGCCTGACATTTAAAAGGCACATTGCCACCCTCTAATCTCTAGGTACAGTCATTTTAACATGCTCCTGAGCAAGACAGACTTATTTTATGCTCGGAGAAATGACCCATACCAGCAAGGAGGCTGATACGCTCTCACTGATTTTGAGACACACATGGATGTATCCTACTCCCTGGGAAACCGTGTCGGAGGCACCAGCGGAGAACTTTTGGTAACGGCTTGGGCTGACTCAGACGGCCGCGGTCGGCGGCGCGCTGTTGCGGCGGCGCCGCTGACTTTCCACGCTCTCGGCTCGTATTCCCCTTCATGGCACCCGCTGGTCCTTCTGCTGTCCCCTAGTCGGTCTCACTTCCCAAGTCAGTTTTTAACCCATTGGTCCTGGTCACTTTCCCGTCGACGGCCGGGTTCGCCTTCAACCCTGGACCCCAGTCTTCCTCCCGAATATCGACTGAATTCGAGTCGAAGCATTCTCTCCCTCCCACACAAAGTCAAGGTTTTTCGTCGAGACCCGAGCTTTGGTTGCATTCACCCACTGGTGGTCTGTCGGTGGAGCTATTGTGTTTGCAAATGACCCCGCTCCAGCGTCGCTCGGAGGTCCCTGTCCCGTGACCGGTGTGCGTCGGTATGCGTTTGTGTGCCGGCGCGGCCCTGTGATGTGGGCCGGTCGGTGAACAGTCGCGCACCTATTGCGTAAGGTGAGCAGTGTGCACTGCTCTCATTGGCCGGGCTTTCCGCGCCCTATCGCTCTGCCGTCGGAGCAGTAACGTTTCATCCCCACTGCCATCGCAGCAGCGGTGACCGTCGGCCCGCTCAGGTGAAAAGGGTGACGAAACGAAAAACAAACATACCTACTGGTGCTGCAGGAACAGAGGTTGTCAGTGCTAAAGTGCTCTAAAGTTTTACCCACGCCCTCTTCTTATCCAGACATCCCGTTAATCACGGGCGCCAACATAGCGAGTGCGTGAGCCGTGAATGCATAACTCATTGCTCTTTCTCTGCTCGCCATCAGCCAGGTTGAACATTGGCACATGTTTTACTGAATTAACCCGTTGCCGCCCATGGTGTCAAAAATGGTCGCTGCGCTTGGAGGGCTGGCCTGCCCACGTAGTCCATCTGATGGCTTTTCCATACCGTTTGGGCATGTTAAAGGTATGTCGGCTGCCCGGTGCCCATCGTTCCCACGACTCGTTCTGTCCTAAACCGAATGCAAACCTTTTCTTCTCCGTTCTATTTCTAGTCTATTTTCGTTGGTTCATAGAACTCTTCAAAGTCTAGGGCTGGTAAGAATGAATTAAATCACGAATTCACCTCGTTCTCCTAACTGTAGCAGTGTTAACCAGTACCAACTACAATACCTTTTCTGGCCGCCAAGAGATATTTAAGGGTCAAAGTACACACGTGTAATTCAGTGATGTATCTCTTGTATGAAAGGGTCTATTGCAAACACATTACCAAGTGGAGTTTAGGGTTCATTGACATGAGTGGCTGCCTGATATCAGCTGAATAGTCAACTCTAGTGGTATCCGACCAGTCGAACAGTATCGCCCAGATAGGCTGACGTTCCTTACAGTGTATAATGCAACTGCCGCTTTCCCTAGCATTGATCGTGCTGTTATTGGTAAATTTGGGGCAGGCATCTTTAGGATGCCGTTCGCAGACAGATTTTGATCTTGTGTGGGTCACTCGTAATTACTTTCAATGTTAATTGGTAATCAGTGCTATCAACCTATCTCCAACCCAAGTGACACTTCAAATAAGCTGTTCACAGAAGTACCCTTTTCACATTCACTTTTAGCTTTTAGGGTAAGTTATGATTTATGGAAGTTGTCTGTACTGCTTGTTCGGCAGCACGCAACACAATATACTGCCACAACAGGACGCGGGCACTTGACAGAACTGTGTCACATCGAGCACACCATTGTGCAATAGAGATACGTGCGTACATGACTGATCAGCCATCACTGACCGGTACAGTGCCGCCCGTGGTCGAGCCTGGTAGACATAACACTAAGGTCCCTCTGCAATGTCGCCAATTATTTATTTATTTTTCTTTTTTTTGTGACTTATAACTGACGTCCCTCCCCCGGGCGATAGCAGGTAACTACAGCTGTATATCGAACAGGGCACCAGCGAGCCAGCCTGCTAGTGAGCAGCGGTACGTGCCCTGCTAGCCACCTGAGAGCTACACTAAATGCTCAGAGCTACTACGCCGGGCGTTTCCATGAGATCCACATAAACTGAGGGTTTGTGTGTGTGTCTATAGCCATATGTTTCTACTGTCTGATGTCTCATTCATCCATACATGTTTTATGTTCCACTGCCCCGTGCTCCTGTCAGGTGTTCTGTTACCAGGACCTCCGTCCCCCTCATCACCAGTATTTGTGTGCACGAATGCTGGCCGAGCTTCCGTCGGACAAATGACATACTGACACTGACACCGACACTGACACTAACACGGGCACTGACAATGGCAATGACACCGATGCCGCCACTGACACACTGGCGATAACACACTGACACTGACACTGACACTGACACCGACACCGTCTGCCTGCAGGAGCCGACCAGGCGGCCAACGACTCGGCCGGCAGCGGGAAGGCGGGCGACCTCTCGACCAGCGCCTCCGGACGACTGGTAGGTGCCCTCGGTGCCCTGATTGCCTGGGGAAGGAGAGGAACTTTTCAACTAACGCCTCAGGACGACTGGTAGGTGCCCTCGGCGTCCTGACTGCGTAGGGAAGGGGGATAGTTGATGCGTGTCTCCGGACGACTGGTAGGTGCCCTCGCGAGGGCACCGAGGCCTCGGTGCCCTGATTGCCTGGGGAATGAGGGAACTTGTCACCTGGCACGTACCCTGATTGGCTTTAGAAGGCGTGGGGCCTGGCGCTTGGAAGGAACTCTTATTTCCAGGGAAAGGCGCTGTGGTGGGGTGGGGTAGGTGTCTACGGTTTCCTTTCCGTCGGGGCACGGCGGTCTGAATTGGCATTTTGCATGGTGTCGGCGAAGCGGAAGGTTGCGGTAAGGCGCCCGCCGCGCCACCAGTGACCCGGCACCATTAGCGGCAGGTCAGGACGCTCTGTTCCCGTGGGCGCGGCCAGATGTTCGTTCAGAGATCGATCATTGATGGAGACACACGCTGGCTGTGTTGAAAGCACTGCCGGGGCACAGACTGGCCACAGCCCGGGGGCCGGGAGATTGCCCTCGGTGTGGGATGAGACCACTGACCGGACACAGACTGCCCTAAGCCCAGGAAGCTGCCCTCGGTGTGGGATGGGACCACTAACCGTCTCCCCACCCGGGTGGTAACCGATACCGGAACCTTTGGTGCCGGTGTGCCGGCGGGGCGGCACAGAGGTCACACACGGTGCCGCTGGCCGCTCCGTTCCCGGTGGGAGGCGATGACCGGCTCAGTGGGCGGCCCGAGTGGAGTTCGCCGTCACTGCTGTCGGCGGCTAATGCGCGGACTGCGGCCTGCTCCCTCAACATGGTCACTACAGTCGGCGGCCAGGCACATGTTGTATTTTTATTTTAAGTTTTTATAATATTAATGGGTTTCCCGTTTCTTTTTTGCTTTAAGCTCTGAACTCTGATCGGTTTCAATTAAAGTGTAGTTACTTGGATGAGACTACTTTATCTGGGACGTAGGCTGCATTATCTGTCTTATTTTTCGTCGATTATCTCTACTGACTGATAGCGATGATAACTCTCTGACTAGACCTACTATTCCAAGTAACAAGGCCTCGAAACTACTACTCATCATTTATCTCGGCGTTTTATCAGAGTGGCATACCAGGAAAGACTACATCTGCCTTCTGATGCTCAGGGCCTGAATGCGGTTCAGGCGTATATGCCGGCCGGCAGTGCCACTGATTTCGGCCCGTGATTCCGATGGATTTCGGCCCTGGCTGTCAGTGGGCTGATACGTGGGCCGGGTAGTCGACCCCGGCGGGTGGACCTCGTCCGGTGGACCCCGTCCGGCGGACCCCGGCTGGTGGACCCCGGTGGGTGGACTCCTTCTGGTGGACCCCGGCTGGTGGACCTCGGCGGGTGGACCCCGTCCGGTGGACCCCGGCTGGTGGACTCCTTCTGGTGAACCCCGTCCGGTGGACCCCGTCCGGCGGACCCCGGCTGGTGGACCCCGGCCGGTGGACCCTCGGCTGGTGTACTCCGTCCGGTGGACCCCGGCTGGTGGTGGCGCGCCGCGTGCCCTATCCGCCTTCCACCCCCGTGGACCCGTGTCAGGCGGTGAGTGGACGGACGGGTGACGCTATCGATGTCATGAGAGCCGTCGGCCGGCGGGCTGTCGGTACCCCGCCCGCCGGCAATCGCACCGAGCGCGGCCGGCCGTCGGCGGCGGCAGCTGGGTGCGGGGCGGCGGGCGGCAGTCGGCCGGGAGGGCCCGTGGTAGGTGCGCGGCGGCACAGACCCTCCCGTGTGTGCCCCGCTCGACGGCGTGCGGCGGGGCCCGGTCAGGAGACGGTCGATCGTCGCTGCCCGCACCGCTCGCTGAGTCATGCGGACATGACGTGAGCACTAGTGACGGTTGTGACGCCGGCCGGTGATGTGACGTGTCACTGACGTGCGAGTGACGTGACACTACCGCGCCGGAAGGAACCGTGGTTCCGGTTCGAGGTGGCCGGAAGGGAACCAGACGAAACCCCGGCTAGTTTGGTGGGAAGTGACCCAGATTGACGGACTGATCTGAGCCGTGGTGAGTTGTGAGCGCGCTCACTATGAGTTTGGACAAGATCAAGAGCCGGTCATACGGAGGGTCGTCTCTCTTCACCAAGGTTCGTTTTGCCTTCCACTATGCTACATTCTCCAACAGAACCCAAGTGTGAATCCTGCCACTGCTTTAGGTCCCTGTTTAGCGGCAGCCTGTCTGACCGCCGCCTGTTTCGTCTCAGCTCAGTAGAATAACAGCGGTTCACGTGACCCGTACTGCTCATCAGCTGACCGGAGCGCCAGAAGGCTGCACGTGCCCACCGGACCACTGCCCGACGCCAGCTACGTTCTATTGGGCCAATCTCTTCCATCAGCTGCTGGGCCGGCTGGTCTGTGCGTGATACCTCACGAGGACAGGGCTGGGGTTGGGACGGTACCCCGGCCCACAGCTGTGGGGGGGGGGGGCGCACAGCCGGCGCCACAGACTACACCTGCCCTCAGACGCACTCAGCGCACAGGGCCCCCGGGTGGTCGGGCGATACGCCAGAGCCGAGTTTCACGGTCACGGCTCAGGTCCTCACGGTCCGTAATCAGCCAGCAGATAGACGTTTTGCCGTTTTTGTGTGACCGGCCCCCACTTTTTGCGTGTTTGATAGTATTTGCCCCAGGCGCCCTAGTTTTGTACCAATGTTTTCACAGCTATGGTGTCGGCCCAAACTCAGATATAAACAAGTTCAAGGCGGCTCGTATCCGGCGAAGCACAGTGCCAGGACACGTCCTGAGATAAACTAGGCGTCGGCCGATGTTGGTCCGGAAGGAGTTGTTATTCGATATATCCAATAAAAGCATCGCCACCACCATCGCGGCTCTCGAAATGAAAACACATTAATGTCGGCTGCCGTTGGAGATGCGCCGCGTCTGCTTGTCGATAGTCATTAAGGCGCCTGTATTGATATTCCAGCAATCATTATTCATTAGAGCTCAAGCGGGGAATTGGGATTGTATGTACGATAACGTGCTAGCGAAAACTCAGCCGGTCGTGTCGTGTTGCTGCTCTCCAATCCCGATTTCTGAGAGCTGTCTTATAATTTGGCGAGACATTCCCTTCCAGCTGCCGCCGATGAGGGCTGTGATCAGTTACAGTTGTGCGCGGGGATAGTGGACTGCTGGCCCGAAATACCCTGTCTGCTGGCAGTTTACACTGTAAATGCTGTGCCAAAACTTGGGTGGCTTGACCCATAAATTCGACTGAAAACTTTTGGAAAACAAGATTGATAACTTATGTGAATGGTGTGACCCATCACTCGTCATGTGCCAAGTAGAATCCATCCATATGGTTAACTTTGCCACCTTATCCTAAGTTGATTTTCCAAATTAATATGAAAAGGGATTTCAGGCATGTACAGGGTGTCTCAAAAGTTCGTTCACAGGTACCAGCCATGCTTTTTTGTCAATAATTCTGAATCAACAAGAAATTAACAGTCGAAATTTTGCATGGGCATTGGTGACAACCTTCCTCAAGCAGTCTCATTGTTTTCAAGTGCATTCGACCCTTCATGAGCTCACAAAAAGGGTTCAACTCTGACCATGGGTCAGGCACGAAAATGTAGGTTGCTAAGTCGGGTATGTTGTGAAACTCTCTGTTTCAGGAGTAATGGGAATGGTTAAGTCGGAAATGACACATGGGGCGTTCCACGACAAATCGACAAATAAAAAATTAAATTTGCACCCTCATATTTTATTCTTCGTTGAAAACTGGTGTAAGGGGTTGTGATGGGCGGGGAAGCCAGCTGTGGCAAGGATTTTTTTCTTCGAACAACGGTTTCCGAGATATAGCCTCGGGCAATTCCTGGATTTCGCGCTGCAGCCCTATGTTTGGCGGCCTATAACTCAGAAACTATTGGCTTTTTATGATAAAAACTTTATATGGTTCAACTCACAATCAACCAACAAACATTTTGGCTATCTCGGATTTTTAATTTTTGAAAATTTTGATCACGTGACCTTTTGTCCTATTTTTCGAAGAGTGACCTTGATATTTTCCCCACTGAAAGTTGCAATTTTGTCTGATGACGATTAAAGCCTTATCGATTGTCATTCATATGCGATAATAAAAAAAGTGGTTATCGCCCTGCGTTGACCTCAGGTCAGGTCATTTTTATGACCTGTCCATTATTACGAGCGGGAGCGACAGCGAGGTCTCGAGAATAAAGCAAGATAGCGACAAGCGGTAAACAGTAAAGGGTACACACGGATAAGGTCTATAATTTTTACTGAGGTCATTTTCAGGTCAGGTCAAAGATGACGTCACAGGAGCTAAAAGGAAGTCAAAATGCGGCACTATACATATATATGAAGTTTTTCTCAAATAACTTTCAAGGTATCCCAGCTAGGAACAAACTAATAGCACCATCGTGATCCTCTCGTCGATCCGCATCGAAACATATGTTTGTTGACCTCGAAAGGTCGAAAGGTCAAAAGTTGACCTTAGATCACGTGACCTAAAGTCAACCTTTGACCTTTCGACCTTTCGAGGTCAACAAACATATGTTTCGATGCGGATCGACGAGAGAATCACGATGGTGCTATTAGTTTGTTCCTAGCTGGGATACCTTGAAAGTTATTCGAGAAAAACTTCATATATATGTATAGTGCCGCTATTTTGACTTCCTTTTAGCTCCTGTGACGTCATCTTTGACCTGACCTGAAAATGACCTCAGTAAAAATTATAGACCTTATCCGTATGTACCCTTTATCGTTTACCGCTTGTCGCTATCTTGCTTTATTCTCGAGATCTCGCTGTCGCTCCCGCTCGTAATAATGGACAGGTCATAAAAATGACCTTACCGAAGTCAACTCAGGGCGATAACCACTTTTTTTATTATTGCATATGAATGACAATTGATAAGGCTTTAATCGTCATCAGACAAAATTGCAACTTTCAGTGGGGAAAATATCAACGTCACTCTT